TAAAACGTTGGACCTTGTTCGTTGTGGCTACAAATGCTGAGTGAGCGTTTATCTAGCGCTACTTGCTATTTATCTTAATAAGAGATCTTAAGTGCTAGCTAAACAGGGAAATCCGCAAGATAAGAGCAAGTGAGCGGCTCCGCGATCCACCCTGTTTAAAGACCACGTAGAATGCTCAAAAGCTTCAGTTCTGATGTTAAAGGCAAGATGTAGTTAGCAATCGCAATAAAATCATCCTTAGCACTGTAATCGCTTGCTAGGCCTAATGGATATAATGCGAAGCGATCACTAACGCGGAGGCTATAAGCAATACCTAACAGAATCCGATGGCTCCTATTATGTTGGAAGATGCCTGTGGGTCTTACAGTGCGGTGTAGTTTAGCTTGCCTAAAGAATGCTTAATTATTATTTCTATATAAAACAAGAAGTTGCACTTAGCAAGATTCCTAGAACTTAGCGCATAAATAACAATAGATTTCTTTGTGTCGTCTTCTAAGTCCGTGCTCAGATAAAGCTTTAAACAGGAAGTACAACAAAGCGCTATAATAAAGTCTGTTCTTCTTTTTTTTAAACCTGCCCTTAACCTTTTTATGTAGCCCGCACGCAGCGAGTACAGTGTATTAGTCTAGATTTAGAAGCTAGTTATTACGCATTAACGCATTGCGCATTAATGCATTATGGTTTATAAAAAGAGTGTTCCTATTAGCAAGATTGCCTTCTAGAATCAGATCATGTGTTAGTGCGCCTATGTTAGTAGATAGGAAGTACTAAACGTTAGGGTCACTGTTACAGTAAACGCTCCCTAAGAAGCAGCAATTAAGAACAAGAGTAACGACTAGTGTTTTTTCTACTATAGTCTTAAAAAGGCTAGCTAGGTGTGGCCCAGTTAGTTGCGGTTCGCAGAGTCGCGGCCTAGACAACAATCCCTCGCAGCTACTTTCCTTAGCCACCTCGTTAAGGAGAACTAAAGCTAAATCCCTAGTTAACTTGTTTAAGAGACCATAGCCCGGGTCCCTTCTAGTCCTATAGCTAGAGTAGTAGATGTAGACGAAGTTTCTAGGTTGCGCTTAGGATGTAATCATCTTAAGTGCTAAAGCCACGTTATTGCATGTTAGCTAGCTTTTGCCGTGCCTGCGCGGATCATCGTTGTTGCTTGCCGTAAGAGTTTAGATATTCACTAAGGGTAATTTGCTTTTAAGGCAGTCTTTAATCTTCTAAACATCCTGTACACAGCCTTCTAATGGCTTCTTAGCATAAGAGTTAATTTTAATTAGGAGAGCATAGTAAGAACAGCTAGGGCCTAAGTCCGCTATAGCTCTAAAACTAAGTAACTAATGTTGACCGACCTAAGTAGCTTCCTTAAGACTAACCATCCCCCCTAAGCGAGCTTGATCGTCTAGACATTCTTTAACCTTCAGGTTGGATGAAGATATTTCTATGCTTTACTCCTTAAGCTCATTGGTGAGCTAAGTTTCTTTGCCTATCTGTAATGCTTAAACGCTTCTTATAAGATTACCTACTACACCCGTACTATTAATAATCTAAACAGCTACTGCGACTAGTCTAGAGATATCTAGCAACTCGTTTATAAGTGCTTTAAGGTTACTTATTAAGCTCCTAAGATGTATTAGCTCTTATATACGGTACAGTAACATTCTGTACAAAGTAGAACAGAGGCTTGCAATAATCTTAAGGAACATAGTAAGTATACACCCTAGAAAGCTAACATTTTTAGCCTTATTTAATAACTATTGTAGGGAGAAGATAAAATGCATACCCTAATTCTAAACTAGATGTATTCTTACCGCTAGTTTCTATTTGTCTTACAATTTCTTTAATTTTCCTAATTTAATCCTTAAGCAACCAGACCATCCCCATATTTTGACGTTGGTACAGCATAAAAGGCTTTAAGTTAATAGCTATATCCTTCTTCCACAGTCGCAAGCGTATAAGGAGGTCTTAAAGTAAGGTAGCATCTTTGTAAAAATCTTAGGCTTGTAAGGCTCTAATGCAGCCGCGAATACGTCTAAGAAGCTAGGCAATATAGTTATCGCGTAAGAAAAAGGGGATTCGAGTAGTGTGCGTGTAATCTATCTTGTTGTTTAAAGCTAATACATCTTATGTAGTAAAGACTATTAAAGAAGAGCAACTATAACAAGTTAAAGAGATGAGGGGCAAGGCTAAAGTTAATTTGTTTCTTTTTCTGTTAGCTGACCGTTGGCTGATAACACAAAGTGGGGTAGGATAACAGCTGCCTAAAAAGAGGACAAAACGCTTATTTCTTAACTGTTATTCCCTTCCTTAAGAATTGCATAACTTAACAATAAGAGCCTCGCCGTAGAGATCTTAGAAATGGTGGAGCCACTAGCAGTTTTTAGTGCTGTTGGAACTACAGCGGGGCTAATTGCTACTATAGTTAACCTTCTAGTCAGCACTAGCAAAAACTTATATAAAAAATACAAAGATCTCTAGAACATAGGGGAACGCCTTAGGTACTATTATATTAGGCTCCTAATAACGAACCAAATCCTAAAGAATTATGCGGCTATATGGTTTAGCGACAATAGACTGCCTTTAAACAAAGCATGCAAAACTCGCTAGGGTAGATACAGTTACTAAGAGATTTAAGTTATGCTGCAAGACATTGGCACCTTAAACAGCAAAATAGAAGGAATTCTTTGCGAAAATTTGCAGGAGCACCTAGTACCCTTAACTTTACCTTAATTAGATTGGAAATGCAGTATTCAACAAAAGCTACAAGATAATGTAGAATTAATTCCAGGAAATGCGAGCGCAATTAGAAAGTTCCTGCTCGCGATCTTTAAAGCCCTATTTCTAAACAAGAGCATTAAAAGATTAAGAAAGCGAGCTAAAGACCTTAAGACGTTTTTACAACAAATATACTAGGCGCACCTTAGGGAGCAGGATTACGTTAAGAAAATTGCAACAAAAGATATAAAGCGCATAGACCTTAAGGATTAACATCTTAAGCGCCTTACAATTGTTATAGATAAACTATACTATTATCCTGTGCCAGTACAAGAAAAGCAGATGTTAGTGCTAGGTAGTTCAGTTCTTAAAAATGGTCTAGAAGGCCTCCAGTATAGAGCTAACTGCTAGGTTCGGTTCGTCATTAGTCGCAAGGGACAATACCACTTAGTCGCTATAAATGTTAATCTAGAGCCTAGATTGCCAGCGCTATTATAGAAAGACAGCTAACAGAAGGACCTGCTACGCTTAGATAATGGCGCCATTTTTGGGCAGCTATTGTGTTACTACAAGGGGGCCCGGGCTCTCCTAGTGCAGACAAAGCTAGCATTTGCTAAAGTGGCAAAGAATGTTGCTAACAGCATTCTATTTCTAAAGAGTTTTTGGACAGCAAACCTTTGCACATATAGCATTAAAACTGCGGATGATTTATATATGTTCTAGCATACCAAAGAGAAATGCGCTGGACATTTAAAGCAAGGCTATAATAATTTCTATAATTTTAGAGTAGTTCTAGCTCAGCTTAGTATCGGCGAGCTCTGTGAAAAGGATGACAAGTACAACCTTCTTGGTAAGGTCCTCAGGAGGGCCAGCATAAAATATTACAATGCTATAGAGATTTGCTTTAAGATAGGGAGGCTAAAGTATGGATGTTGTGCTGAGCACCTAAAGCGCGCCTTTAAAGTAGTTATAAAACCGTAAGTTAAGCGGAAGTCTAACTTAGTATGCTACCGCTAAGAAATACTAGAGTCCAGGAATACTACAACGTAGTTTATAAGGAGTTAAGAGAACTGCAAGGAGGCACAAAGAGGGAGCATAATAAGAATTTGTTTAAAGTAGAAGCGAAGAAGCCTAAATGAATAAATGCTGTTCTCGCACCCGGGGAAAAAATGCGGAAGAACAAGGGATTGTAGTGTATTTGTTAAAGACTTCTCTTGCAGTAAAACTAGTTTTAGGGCCTCTGCGTTAATGTTGCTTTAAATGTAGAACATTAAGCTAATGCAAAACTAGAGCAGCATAAGGTGTACGCATTATTTTAAATAATATCTAAAGGAAGTCTAAGCAGTTTAGTAGCAGCAATTTCCACCGCATGTAGGGAGGGCTAGCGATTTTTTAGTTAAGTATAGGAGAAAGGCATAAAAAATGCTAACCGTAAGTTGCTATTGGTAATTTTGATTAATTATGAACAATGCGAAGCGCAGCTATTGTAATATTAGCTAACAGCATTAGGCGGAATGTTACCTTACCACACAGGTTGAGCGATGAGAAGCCTGTGCCCTTATAAGTCGCTTATTCACACGTGGAGCGCTTCTCTAGCTACATCCCTGTATTCTGATTTGAACTCACTCACGATATGCTCAATAGCAGGCCAGCTGCGGGAACCAGCTCAACTTTGGTGTTTAGCACTCTACCACAGTAACATCTTCCCAGTATTACTCGGCCCTAGTCCAGGAAATGAAGGTTACTTAGTGTTTTGATCTTGTTTTGCGTCTACTTCTGGAGCCCGGGAGTTTCACAGGTGCGACAAGTAAAAGGTTTTCTACTCTATATTTCTTAACATGTTAAGCGAATAGTAGTGAACGGAAGATTGTACAAGGGTGGTACACCGAGAGGAAGTAGCTTTGAAATGATGCGTAAGCATGTTGCAGAGGTAGTGGTGTACTTTTACCCACTCCTAGTGTAGCGGATGGCCGACCCGCTCCTGCCCTGACCTTGTCCTGGAGGCGATGAATCATGAGCATAAATGAGAAGAGAAAGAGGGTGCACAGAGGTCTTACGATAAGCATCTAACCTGATATCAACCGCACTACGGGAACCATAAGCGGGTCAAATGAGATCAACAGGTTTATCTATGCCATTGGTGTTACGCCAAGTACAATATGCCATGGTGTTAGTAGATTGTTTCGCCGACACCCTGAATTGCTTGGCAAACATCCCACGCGTCATTGTCGACCTTGTAACTGAGAAGTTCATCAACAAGACATTCCCATGTCCGTCTCAATCCTAGCGCGTTCTTCACCGCAATACCAAGTATGAATTATTTTATCTTATGAACCTTTCCCGAGAGCCTTGCAAACCTCCGGAAGTCCCCCGTCGCTTTAGGGGCTCGCGCCGCCAAATCTTCTTTCGCCACCCTAGGTACCACAACTCAAACAATGTACTCCTTAAACTTTTCGCACCCGATGTAGGGCAATCATCCCAGAATTATAGCTTATATGCTGGGTATGCTCTGCAAGCCTGTGGTATAATTGCAGGAAATTGCTGGGACAGATGGCTATTAGAGGCTAGAGATAGTAATTCCTCGGCTCTAGTTAATTCTACCAGCACTCTAGACAAGAGCAGTTATTACTTCCACCTACCTCTAATACCAAGCAACGTGAACGCCAGCCTTCCATATCCAATCGTGCCAACTTTTCGCAAGTGGCGTTTTCCACACGATTAACTACCCGAATTGTGGCAACAGATGGGCTCAGTAGATTCCAACTTTGTGGCTCCCAAACAGTCTTATGCAACCTCAAACTTGACCCTTGCCCTCCAAGCTTAAGACGTCTTGTGTCGCATAACTAGTTGTAGAGAAGGAACGCAGGTTGCGCACATATGTCCACAGAAAGAAGCTAAATAGTAGTACAAGAACAACATGTCAAGATACAATTTCGGGCCCGCAAACACATTAGATAATCTCTCTAATGCGTTACTTCTTCGTGCTAATCTTCACATTGCGTTTGATAAACCAAAGTTTGTCTTCGTACCAAAACTGTCATCTGAGCTGGAGAAGCCGCGGTTCGTGATACATTTAGCTGAAGCGTCCGCCAAGCTGGAATTCCTATACCACAATCGCGCATTGCACACGTTGCATTCCAGTGTAGAAACACTATTTGCTCGTTTCGCCTAGTCCATATTTCCACTGCTCGACGCCTTCCTGACTTGCCGTGAACCACAACGCCTTAGCCTGGGCAATCAAAAAACAGTTTCTTTGGACAAGGACGGATTTGTTTCATGGGAGAGGTGCGCTCAATTTTCCAGAAAACGATCACAAAGTCCGAAAAAAAGAAAGCATGACTCTGGACCACCAGTAGATGACAATATCAACCTCACCATTGAATCGAATGAATCACGCGCGCGCAAAAAAAGACGATGTCAGTATCTAGCGCGTCGTAATGAAATCGACATGGACGAATTTCCCGTTTCTTCAGCGTCTACATCAGCTGTAAGCTCGCTAGACCTAGACACAGAGACTTTATCTAAATTCAATAATCCAAGCGAGCCTGGATACCCACTCTTACCGATTGAATCTCCTCAAGCTACTGGCAAAAACAAATGTTCTCATCTCTCTACATTATCGCATGCATGGTTGACAAAGGAGCGTCTTCGTTCCAACACATATGGCGAGTGGGGGAAAAAAGAGTCCTGGAGAAAAAATGTTTGGGCAGGAAAAGTCACATTGGAGGAGGAAGAGGCGGTAGAATGGCTCAAGAGTTGCGGGGTCGAAATTTCTGAGCTTGAGCGTTGACATGTTACGTTCGATATCATGAGAGTGTTTGATACTTGTTTACATATAGTTGCTCTGCCCAAGAAGCGACCTCTGCACTAATTTTAATCGATATTAGCGCCGAGCATTGCCAAAATCTTCGCGAATTTGAAGGTCTGGCTTCACTTGACTAAGCTGTGCAGAGCACCATGCCACTCCGTGTTAGTAATCGCTTTTTTATTTTGAGAAAAAAAAAAAAAACAAGATTACTATCGCCTCTTCCACAGCCTGGTGGCGCAAAGACCAGCCCTGACCGTGTCCTGGAGGCGAAAAGGCTTTTTGATTATTGAAAAGTAGGATTCCATTTTGAGGCTGATATGATTCAATCATATATGCTAGATCGGGTTAGTAAAGGATTGACATCGAGTTGATGTCGCTCGGCATTGTGAGTAGACGGAATGGTTCCTCTCCAATAAAACCGGTGCCTTGTCCGTTCGCCACCATTCGCTAGCTATTGATCTAATTACCGGAGATGATCTGATTGGAGGTTTAGCCTCATTATTGAGCGTTCTAACTGCGTGAAAAGCTGCGCTAATTGGTTAGAGCTTGTCCGAGAAAGCGCCACGGAATAGATTTTTATGATAACTTGCACACACATGTCAGCCGAGGACGAGCGAGGGCAAAGGGCAACGACCACCGGCCTACCCCCAATACGATCTTAGGTTGAAAAAATTCTGATCCTGCGGAAATGAGTTTGGCTATCTTATCAATCACTTCCATCTTATCAATCTGTCTTATAACCCTCGCCGCCGTCCTGTCGGGCGCATTCTTGCTTATTGTTTCTACTTTAAGCAGTATAATTTTTAGGGGCTTGATTCCTGCAGCTTGTAACTATGAAGGATTACGGCGAGAGAGGGGGCGCGACGCCTCAAAGCACAGACGGAGAGGACAGTCTTCCACAGTCCTTGACTGGCGAGAAAAGTCCTGGTGTTTTGCGCATCGAGGCGTTGAGCTCACATATCTCCAATTTAGATCGCATCTTCATCTTCTTTAGCATTTTCCTGATCGCCTATGCTTATGGTTTGGATGGCACTCTGCGTTATAGCTACCAGCCAAACGCAACTGATGGGTTTGCCAACCACTCGTTACTTTCGACCATCAATGTCGTTCGAGCTGTCGTTGCAGCTGCTGCTCAGGTAACACTACTCTGCGTCTACCATGGAACTAGAAATAGGAAGCTAATGCTGTGTAGCCTACTGCTGCAAAAATTGCTGATGTTTTTGGCCGTATAGAGCTCATCATTGTCTCTGTAGTCTTCTACGTTATTGGTGAGCCGTTTCACAATCGCTTCCCTGATACTTTTGGCTAATACGATATAGGTACAATTGTTGAAGCAACCTCTATCAATGTCCAGGGTTTCGCTGCCGGCGCTTTCTTGTACCAGATTGGCTATACCTGTGTTCTTCTCCTCGTGGAGGTCGTCATTGCAGACACAACGTCTCTGCGCTCGCGCCTTTTCTTTTCTTACATACCAGCCGCCCCTTTCATCATCAACACTTGGGTCTCTGGTGATGTCTCGCAAGCAGTTCTTAACAACTCCACATGGCGCTGGGGGATCGGCATGTGGTGCATCATCTATCCCGTCTGCGCACTTCCTTTGATTATTTCGCTTTGGTGGGTGGGCAGTAAGGCGAAGAGATCCGGCAATATGGATCAGTACAAGACCCCACTCCAGATCTGGGGATGGAAGCGACTAGCCATTGGTCTTTTCTGGCAACTTGATGTTGTCGGGATCATCTTGCTCATCGCGGTGTTTGGACTCACTCTGGTGCCTTTGACACTTGCTGGCGGTGCTTCGACCACATGGTCTCAAGGCAAGATTATTGCGCCTCTAATCCTGGGCATTCTCTGCATACCGGTTTGGATATGGTGGGAAAAATCATGCTCACATCCCATGGTCCCATTCCATGTAAGTCTATGAGTGCGCCTCCCCTCCAACCCAAACTGATCAAATTCCCAGCTTCTCAAAGATCGTGCCGTCTGGGGTGCACTTGGTATCGCCGTATTCCTCAACTTTGGTACGTGCCTGCCCATACTTGCATGGTTGTATGATCTGACATGGGATTCACAGCGTGGACGTGCCAGGGAGACTACCTGTATTCCGTGCTGAGAGTAGCCTTCAACGAGTCTGATAAATCAGCCTTACGCATCACCTCCCTGTACAGCTTCGCGTCTGTTATAACCGGCATTCTCCTCGGTCTCGTCGTCTTCCGCGTGCGCCGTCTCAAACCTTTCATTCTCTTCGGAACCTGCCTCTTTATGGTATCCTTCGGCCTCCTCATCCGCTACCGTGGTGGAGTCTCCAGATCCTCTCACAGCGGATTGACTGGTGCGCAAGTCTTGCTAGGTATCGCCGGTGGGTTCTTCCCATATCCCGCTCAAGCAAGTATCCAAGCCGCCACCAAGCATGAACACGTCGCCGTCATCACGGGTCTATTTCTCGCATGCTACCAGATCGGCTCCGCGCTCGGCAATTCCCTGTCGGGGGCAATCTGGACTCAAGTCACTCCTGGTGAGCTCAGCAGCCGTATCGCCAACTCTACCCAGGCTCTTTCATGGTACGCTGCACCTCTGACGCTCGTCCCACTTTACCCCCCAGGCACACCCGAGCGTGATGCAGCTATCGATGTGTACATGCATGTCCAGCGCCTTCTCTGCATCACCGGAATCTGTCTATGTGTCCCGCTCATCTTCTTCGCCTGCGTCATTCGCAACCCGAAGCTGGGCAAGGAGCAGAGTCTCCCGGATGCCGAAGAGAACTTGGAGAAGAATGAAGGCCAGCAGCCGATTGCCATGAGCAATTTGACAACGTTCTGGAAGCGTTAGACTTCCAATTTGGATTGGAACCAGTCTCTACAAGGCCACTCTGATCTTGGGTAACGCGGGGTAACGATTTCGATGTAGGTTGTGTTACAACTCGTTTTGTCGATATTGCTATTTCTTTCTTCAGCTACGTGTCACCGTAAGTTCCATATTTCCCTATTCTTCTCTTTGAATCAATCGTTCAACGAACGATAGCGAAGGCGAATGCGAGGATCTACGGTAAATCTGATATTGTAATGGCCTTGAACGGTTCTTGAATCATGAATTTGCTATTGGAATCCGGCAACACACGTTCTCATGACATGAGTCAATATCACAAGATATACTTCGACTCAAGCTCCCCCCCCAAAAAATCCTCTATGTCCGGCCAGTTGCGCCTGGGAACGACCCAATTAATACGGTGAGATGCGGGGGATTGCTAGGCGATAAAGACGAGCAGATTTCTGTGCTCTACTATGCATTCATCAAGTGCATCGATGATGAAGTACGTGTTTAATCTGGATCTCTAGCCTGGCCTGCCAACTGCTATCGCTGTCTCATCTCAGCCTTATAGTCCACACAGTCTCTGGCCTACCATGCTAGACAAAACCCGCCTCCAGAGTTGCGCCGATTTGCCACTGTGAGAAATAAATATCGTTCAGCTAAAAACTCGAAGGGCATGTATGGTATAGATGGGCATGAAGTAGAAGTCGTAGGAATAATGCGTCAGTGAATGGTAGATTTAGTGTGCGAGTGTGCAGTCGTGCAATCGCTGTGTTGCGGCTTGTTGGTGGATGACGCAATATGTTAGTGGTCGCTATGCCAACACGATCTTCACAGACCAAACATGGACTAATGTGTCTTGGCAACAAAGCGCGCTTCAGATCTAGTGACAGGTCCTCGCATGGCCCAAGAACGCGTTGGCTTCCGCTGTCGATCTCGAGCTAGTCGCGAGTCTCGACTGCCACCTATTTCGTCGCAGTCTCGCATTCAACACAGTATATGACTCTACGCCGCCAGAGAGGAATCGCCTCTCTGGTAAGGTCAGGGCAAGAACGGTTCGGCCAGTCCCCCTTCGGCTGGTGGCAACGCAATGTATCGTCTCAAATTGCTGCGCGTTGCGCTGATTGGTCAGCAAAACCTTGTATCTTGATAATGCAATTTCTGTTCTATGTCTAACTTGCTGCTTTAATAACTCTCCCCTTTCAAGTGCGATGTTGTTAATGCAGAACTTGCTGGGAAATCGTGTAGGGTTGTTTCGCTTTACCAGAAATCTTAGCTGCCTTCATCCCGTAGGAAGATGCAGGGCATTCTTGCTTCAGTGCGGGTGAGATGCTATTGGATGACACCGCTTTCTTCATTAATAAGCAGAACTATGGCTGACTCGCACTGCTACCTAAGATCGTAACGGCTCAGTCTGCCTTACACTTTTCTTATAGCCCGTTACCACTCAGTTTTAATCTAGTTAACTCGAGCCAACGTCTCCCGTCGAGTTGCCTGCTGTTCTGCCCCCCTCAAATCGCGTCCTAACATCAAGTCCTAACACCAAGGCTCTGACCATGAGACTTCTTCGCTTCGATCAGGCTGGACGACTCCTCTTGACCGACTTTAGCGGAAAGACCACTCCGCCATATGCCATTTTGTCGCATAGATGGGGGAACTCAGAAGTCCTCTTTACCGATATTGTAAACAGGAACTATGAAGAAAAAGAAGGGTACCGAAAAATCAAGTTCTGCGCCGAGCAGGCGGTCAAGGATCAGCTACAATACTTCTGGATCGATACCTGCTGCATCGACAAATGGAACCTCAGTGAGCTTTCAAGATCGATCAATTCTATGTTTTGTTGGTATAAGGATGCGAAAAGATGCTATGTGTTCCTGCCGGACGTTTCAGTGCCTACAGCAACAGCAATAGCCCCAAAAAGCGACTGGGAGGCATCTTTCCGGGCGAGTGAGTGGTTTCGTCGGGGTTGGACACTCCAGGAACTTATTGCTCCAGAGTCAGTTGAGTTCTTTTCTCTGGAAGGTCAGCGTATTGGCGATAAGCGATCCCTTGAGCAATTAGTCCATGAAATCAGTAACGTTCCAACTGAGGCACTGCAAGGGATTTGTATAGAGAAGTTTACCATAAAAGAGCGGATAGAGTGGGCAAAAAACCGCGAAACAACGGAAGAAGAAGACACCATATACTGTCTTCTTGGCGTCCTCGGTGTCTCCATGCCTTCATCCTATGGCGAGGGACGCGAGAAAGCACGGATACGTCTCGAAGCTGAATTAAATAGCAGCATGCCGTTTCTTGTTCCGTTTTCGCAAAACAACAATTTTGTCGGTCGAGAGTCGCAGCTGGCTGAACTGGAAGCAAAGTTTTTTAAGGGCAACCAAGCTACGATTGTGGCGATAGCAGGCCCTGGAGGGACTGGAAAGTCACAGCTAGCGCTCGAGCTTGCCTACAGGACCAGGCAACAAAACAAAAACCGTTCCGTATTCTGGATTGATGCAAGCAGCATAGACAGAGCACAACAATCATACGCGGACATCGCACAGAAGCTCAAGATTCCCGGTTGGGACGATGAGAAGGCAGACTTCAAGCAGATTGTGAAGCTGCATCTGAGTAGGAGGGACGCAGAGCAGTCGTTGCTCATTTTCGACAACGCGGATAGCGTCAACCTAAGTTCGAATGCGACTTCTGTGGGGCATGATGCCAATTTGGTAGATTATCTACCGCAATCTGAACACTGCTCTATTCTTCTTACAACCACAAATGGTGACGCTGCTAGGGAAATCGCATCTCATAAGATTATAGAGCTACAGGAAATGGAACAGGACACAGCTCACAGCATGTTGGAGCAATATCTAGACACTGCAATATCAAAGAGCGAACGACGGCACGCTGAGCTTCTGCTGCAGGAGTTGTCGCATCTCCCGCTAGCGATTGTCCAGGCAGCGGCCTACATCAATGTTAGGAACATCACGCTGCAGGACTACCGCATGCGGCTATCTAAGCAACATCAGGCAGACCTCCTTAGCATCAGCAACGTATTAGACAGTAAGCTACAAGAAAACGACATGGGCAGTTCTGTAGCGACGACGCTTCATCTATCAATTGAGCAGATTCGCCATGATAGTCCGCTGGCAGCCGAGTACGTTTTTCTTGCGGCGTGCGTTGACCGGAAAGACATCTTGCTTGAGTTCCTAGAAGCACCCTCGTCTCGCGAAAGGGAGGACGCTATACAAATCATTAATAGCTATAAGCTTGTTACGAGGCGGCCTGCTGAGTCTGCACTCGATCTACACCGGATGGTACACAGTGCTCTACGTGAGTGGATTGGGAAGCGGAGGATGCTAGGCGAATGGACTCAGACAGCCATTACCCGACTATGCAGGGTCTTTCCCAACGATAGTCACGGTAATAGAAGCAAATGGAGAAGGATGCTGCCACATGCGAAGTACGCTTTGTCGCATAGTCACCGTGATCAGGAAGGCACGGAAAAGATGGAGCTAGTATGGAAATGCGCTGAGGCGCTACTGAGTGACGGACAATACAATGACGCTGAAGGGCTGTTTCTGCAAGTGGTAGAGACGAGAAAGAGGGTGCTTGGGGACGAGCATCCCGAAACACTGCTCAGCATGGGCAACCTCGCATGGACGTACAGTAAGCAGGGCCGATGGAAGGAAGCTGAAGAACTGGAGGTGCAAGTGATGAAGACGAGAAAGAGGGTACTTGGGGACGAGCACCCCTACACACTGACCAGTATGGGCAACCTCGCATCGACTTACAGGGATCAGGGTCGATGGAAGGAGGCTGAAGAGCTGCAAGCAATAGAGCTACAGGTTTGCTCAAAGGTGCTTGGAGACGAGCATCCCTCTACGCTGGCCAGCATGGGCAACCTCGCATTGACGTACAGTAATCAGGGTCGATGGAAGGAAGCTGAAGAACTGGAGGTGCAAGTGATGAAGACGAGCTTGGGGGTACTTGGGGACGAGCATCCCCACACGCTAGCCAGTATGGGTAACCTCGCATCAACATACAGGAATCAGGGTCGATGGAAGGAGGCCGAAGAGCTGTTTGTGCAAGTGATAGAGATGAAAAAGAGGGTGCTTGGGGAAGAGCACCCCGAAACGCTGCTTAGCATAGGCAACCTCGCATGGACGTACAGTAATCAGGGCCGATGGAAGGAAGCTGAAGAGCTGGAGGTGCAAGTGATGAAGACAAGAAAGAGGGTGCTTGGAGATGAGCATCCCAACACGCTAACTAGCATGGGCAACCTCGCATCAACGTACAGCAGTCAGGGTCGATGGCAGGAGGCTGAAGAGCTGTTTGTGCAAGTGATAGAGATGAAAAAGAGGGTGTTTGGGAAAGAGCATCCCGAAACGCTGACCAGCATAGGCAACCTCGCATCAGCGTACAGGAATCAGGGTCGATGGAAAGAGGCCGAAAAGCTAGAGGTGCAAGTGATGGAGACGAGAGATAGGGTGCTTGGAGACGAGCATCCTAACACGCTGACTAGCATAGCCAACCTCGCATTGATATACTGGAATCAGGGTCGATGGAAGGAGGCCGAAAAGCTAGAGGTGCAAGTGATGGAGACGAGGAAGAGGGTGCTTGGGGAAGAGCATCCCTCCTCAATGACGAGTATGGCCAACTTAGCATTTACGTTAAAATCCCAGGGTGCTATAAGCAGGGCAATTTCGTTGATGACGAGCTGCTGCGAGCTGCGAACGGAAGTCCTAGGCCTTAAACATTCCGACACGGTATCCTCTCGCAAAACGCTTATGGAATGGCGACTTGACACCTCGCAATTTAGTGATCAAGGCATTTAATAGCTGGTGAGAAAGCGACATCAAGTAGCTCGCCTCTAAAGCGGCAGGTTAGAAGTTTTACAGACCCACTATGAACTAGATAGTCACGATAACTCGCTTACAAATCATCCTGAAGCGAAACCTGGGTGAAATGTACATTGAATTGCCAATGTCCCCATTTCCTTAGTCCTCGGATGCATTGGGTGTGACAACCGGCGGCGGTATTGTATGCAAATCTGGCGCTGGCAATGATGGAGGTACTGCGCGCTTCTGAAATGTTTGCCGTGGTGTTGCATTGAAGTCCACGACATGCTGCGTTGCAAGCAAATCATGCCTCTGTGACATCTTGCGCCCCCCTGGCAGCGCGGACGTTGGCCAGCCATGCGTCCGCGCAGGTCTTGGCCTGGACAACGGAGGAAGAGAGAAATGGCGGTTGTCGATGTGTGGGGAGAAACGTGCAAGTCTCAATACAAACGATGACAAAAGAGTCGTTGCATTGTTCTAGCGATCGGTTGCCAGGGCATGCTACGTGCCAAGCTTCTGTCGGGGGCTTATCTAGGTCTCGCGCGCTTTTTAATTTCCGCCGTGGAGCCCGGCTGCACACCACCTAGAATTACTAACATAGCATTTTCACATTTTTTGACGACTCGCAGCATCGCCTCGAGGGCAAGGTCAGGGCAGGAACGGGTCGGCCATGCTCTCAGCTTGTGGTGGCAACCGTTGACGCCGCGCCACTTCTGTGCCGTGACTCACCACTACGATACCTGCTTACTACACTGTCTACTTGTATTTAATAATTAAGTCCGATGTACACTTTACTACAAGCAAATACAATATATAGCTAGTGCTACCTTATGCCTTGTGTGCCTTCTTCTTAAATTTTCGCCACCAGTGCTCTTTTAGTGGCGACTCTGCTTTGGGTAACCTAATCATTAGGGGGCCAGGATAGGGCAGATGAGTACTGTTGTCGTGAACTTCGTGTCTTAGTTCATGCCTTGAACCACGATTTAAACTGCCAGTTCCATGTCTGTGTAACAACTGCTCGAGCGAAAGCTGATGATCTAGGCATGCCCGAGTTCTTGGATTATCTGGGCTAAGAGTTGTAGTGTAGCCAGATAAAGCCCTCTTGTAGAGTAGCGTGGTTTTTTCGTAGCGATCCCAACGATGCAACCGAAAGGCAAGGCAGCATACGCTGGTCAGCGTGTCGGGGTCCTCTTTCCCCAGCGCAAGTTCTGGCACACAAAAGCATCCGGCACAAAGACATCAAACCTAGCAACATCTTATCGCATGGTGAAAACGTCCCATTTACCGATTTTGGATTAGCATTTGGTATTACAAAATAGGACTATACTGTTTACAATAAGCCTCTGAGGGGTTGTTGAAAGCCTTTCCTCAATGAAATCCTCCTGAGAAAACAATTGTGACCACGTCGTAATCCAAATATCATTCATACACAAATCCCACTAGCTGATTTGCGACTGACATGAACCCTTTCAAAGTTCTCACGCGCTGTCGTTGTCAATCTGGTCCACGTCGCCCAACGGACCCGACAACTCCAATGCTTGTTGCACCACCGTAAACCGCGTTACATCTTGTTCTTTCTTTTGAGCGCACTTGTAGCCCCCGTGCCAGCTGCAATAGCCTGAGCAACAGCTAGAGTTAAACCTGCATTCTATTTAAGAGTCAGAATAACAAGAATTATAGAGGTAGTGCCGTGCACTCACTAGCGCCGTCAGGCCGACAGAAGGAGTTTGATGGTAGACTTGAGTCCTCGAAGATATTAACAACAACGTTGCTGGGACTGACAGGCGCTCCAGTTACTGCCAAAGCAGAAACTGCGAGGAGAATAGGATATGTGGCAATCATTATAGAAAGTTGTAGTATAAAGAATATTCAGCTGAGTAGATTGAGTATAAGCCAGAATTTCCACTCGATAGAAGGGGAAACACAGCAAATATTTATACGTAGGACCATAGTTTCGTACGCCATATATCATATAGGAGGTGGGGCGTTATCCTGGCAAATTGATGACGTACTTATCTCATACCAGCTATTGAAAACGTTGCAGGTTCAGTACCATATATTATTAGTTCATGTTCAACAAATATGCCAGCACAGTGTCAACAAAGGTTCGACTAATGATTGCTCAGTATCGACAGTCGCGGTGGTAGCCTCTAGCATACATAGTAATGAGGCGGAATATCGATACCTGTCTGCATGACTTGTAGCAGTGGAGACTTTCTTTTTCTGTTAAGCATACTTAAGCGTATGCTAGATACACGAAAATTGATATCATTGTAATAAAGTTTTTGAATAAAGTTTAGCTATACTGCCTTAGAATCTAGTCCTGTAGCCACCCTTGGATGCAATGAAACAGAACTAGATGTCTCTGAATGCAATGCGACGTTCTTATCAGCCATATTCATCATTATTACTTATCGAAACCATAGATTACTTTTGTGGAATGGCCGGGAAGAGTTGTATGTTCTCAAGACTGCGTGATTTCTATGTAATCAATTACGCGTGACGAGATATTCTTGCCACCAGGCTGGCTGACTAGGCACGTTTACTCTGGATGGAATGCCGCTAGCTTCCAACTCAGCCAATCAAACCGGCTATCGCATACCAAACTCGGGATGCTGGGTACAGTACCCAACATTCTTTGCTTACAACGCGAACGATCACCCTCAGAGAAGGCAGTACGATAGTGCGTTGAGATTCCGCTAACTACTGTTACGCCGATCATCAGAAGTGATCTTACATCTTAGTGTGGAACTCAAGCTTTACAAATATTCCACCAGTCCACCTTGATAAAAGGATAATTTTCTTTGGCCTTTCTCAAGACAGCATCTTTAGCCATGGCCATCACTTTCAAGCTTATCGCGGTTTATACTCTTATCACGTCCATCTCGGCTGTCGCTATCGGGACGCCCGGAAATGGTGAGTTTTTATCTTGGACAAGCAAGCGAATCAATGTAAACTTACAAAGTTCAGATCTAACAGCACGCGACTCTGTCACCATAATGATCGCCAAGGGCCACGGATCTCATCTGTTTCAAGGTCAGAAACGAGGTCTTCCTTGAGTGCTTTCCTTAATTATACACCTGCTAAACCTCTAATAGAGAAGCACAGTGTGGCTGATTGCGATGACAAAACGTGTAATGAAGTATGCTATCAGCACGGCGGTTCCCCCGGTAGGAAATGTGAAGCCCACGGCAGATGTGTCTGCCGTTATCCTCATGGCTTTTCGCTTGAGCAGGAGGTTATTGGCAAGCGTAAGTTCACCTCTACTTACTATTTATACTCAATTCTATTTTTCTATGTTTTATTATATGCTCTAAGCACTAACGTAACTACGTAGCGAGTCGCCACTCTAAGCGAGTCGCCACCCTAATTAGCTTTTTACGCTTTTATAGCTATATATCTTAACAACGCAGCGTAGTAGTATAATGTAGTAGCTATATATAATTAACTAGTATCTATAGCTTGCTTCTTGCACGTTCGTGAATTATGGCCAGTCTCCCTGCACCGTGTACAGCGCGCTGAAGCCTGACGGCTGACACCTGATCGAGCCCTCCCTTGACGCGTTTCCCCCTTAATCTGCTGCTCTACCTCCTTTTGAGCAATTTCTTCTTCTCCCTCTGCCTTTGTAAGGGTTCCACGCTTCTGAATACGCTTCTTCTTACGCGCCCTACGCGCTGTTGCAGCGTGGTTAGCTCGCTCAAGGCTGGCGATTCGCTCGCCCATCAGCGCGGCTCCATAGGCTATCTTCTCAGCGCCCTTTCGCAGCGAATCAAGCGCAGCAATAATAGAAGCAGGCGATGAGCTCTTATGCCTTTGAATGCGATCGCGAATAAGTGTTAATTGAGCCTCTATCTCACGCGCGTTGCTTGGTGTTTTGGCTTCCTAAGGAGCAGCCTCTAGGGTCGGCGGCGTTGGCGTGCGAAGCTTGATATCAAGCTTGCCTATTACCGCCTGTGGATCGTGTGGGACTAGGCCAGCGCCTTGAAAGCTAGAGCAGATATTCTCCTTTGTAATTGCCTTCTTATACGCGGCGTAGAAGGCGGGTAGGAACTCAAGCTTCGTGATATGGTTGATGCTGTCGCGAATCAGGTGACTGATCTGATCGCTGTACGCACGCTTCAACGGCGAGAAGCAGCCCACATCAAGTGGCTGGAGGAGGTGTGACGAATGCGAGGGCATATAAAGAGCAATAATATTGCTCTCCTTGCAGAGCTGCTCGAATTCAACTGAGTGGTGGCTCTCGTGGCTATCAAGAATCAGGAGCTGATACCCTCCTACTCTTTGATCCTTTGTATGCTTGATGAAGTGCTTCAGCCACTCAAGAGTAAGCTCATTCGTAGTCCAGCCATTGTCGCTTAGACTGATCGCCCAATTGCCTGGTATATCGTTGCCCTCATACCAGGCAGACAGGTGGTGCTGGCCAGCAAAGATAATAAAGGGTGGAATCGCCCACCCAGCAGCGCTGATCCCCTGGATCACAGTAACCCACTCGCGATTGCCAGGTTGGATAGCCTTCGGGCGAGAGCGTCTCTCAGAGCCAGTGACAACTAGCTGAGCTGAGATCTTGCCCATCAGGAAGCCAGTCTCGTCAAAGTTGTACGTGTCCTGGTCACAGATGCCGTACGTGGCCTTCATACACGCTACCCGCTCGAACCAGCCCTGGATAACCTGGGGATCCTCACAGAGAGCTCTCTGGCGATCATATGGTCGATTGAAACGCGTTGTAAGGCTATCTGTACGCTTTACAAAGTTCTTTGGCCAGTCTCTGCCAACCTGGCTAGCGCTGCGCCCAGCGAGCAGCTTATCCGCCATATCTCGTACAGCGCTTAGAGTAGGGGGAAATCCACGCGAATCCAGGTCAAGTATATACTTAATAATTACCTCCTCTTCTAGCTTAGAAAGCTTCTTTGAGTTGGGTTGACAATCGCGTCGTGCAGGCTTCCTAGCGCGTCGGTCGCGTAGCGTTGTTTGAGGTACGTTATACGCCTGTACAGCGCGATTTACGCTTTGAATCTGTTTCTGGTTAATAGCTGAAATAGCAAGTAGAATATCAGCTTCTTTATAGGGCAATTGAGTAGAAGGTGGTTGAGCCATTGTAGTTTGTAGGTAACGCGTTGCAGAAAGTTGGTGGGGCTGGCGACTCGCTTAGAGTGGCGACTCGCTACGTAGTTACGTTACCCACTTCATCCTAAACCGTAACATACAGTTAACGCCCAGCCCTCTTCTGGTAGATAACGACGATACACACACCCAGAACGCCTGTGACACGTATTCCGAGTGAGTCTCAGTTTATCCATCGGAAATCCACGGTGTGGGGCTCTTTATACTAATTAGATGATAGTTGCGCTTTTTGCATGTTTTATGAACGTTGCTGCTACAAGGAAGATGGTGCGCCGAGCCCAAAAAAGGGCTATTGCGTATGCGGAACTAGTGGACGCGAGAAATATTGCGCTTAAACACCTTTCTTTTTTTCGCTGGAAACCCCATTTAATATCGGGCTAGCTCATGCCTCCCAAAACACGTAGAAATCCAACTAATTACACTCCTTACTATCATGATGCGGTGAGTTGATGATATAGATGGAAGAATTCACCACTTGGAAAACTTTTACAAAAAGCCGGATGTAACCTTTTCTGGTCCTGATTTCTCAGGTTTTACCCCAAAAAAACACTCACCGTTGCTTGTGCTTGGGATTCTTATCGCAATTAATATACGTGTACCTCCCCTTCTTACGCCTCATACTAATTACGATAACGCACTCCAAGGAGCTTTAGGAGAAGGCTACGAGGCAGTATTGAAGCTCCTAGTGGCAAACGGCGCTAAGTTGTTGTTGTGAAGAGGTGTACATAGTTACCAGTAGCTAATTGGTTCTATAGCTGCTACTTAAAAACCATCGTATAATAGCAGCACTGGCATAGACAACACCCTGAAGGTGATGCATATATAATAAAAGTAGCATGCGGTGAATTTTCTACTACGAACAAAAGCGCTGGCTGATGTTGTTTATAGATCATCCGAAGCTAGAGGTACTTTAGATTGCCACAGCTAGAGAAAAGATGGTCGGCCCGCAACGGCCCTAATCTTGTGTTGATTGTAATGTCTCGAGGGCTTGATAAAGAAAAGTATGAGTACTCTTTGCAAAGGGATGAGAGAAGTTTACTAAGTATCATGAGTTCCGCGTCTCGGAAGCAGATACACAAAATAACCCCCCAGAACTATAAGTAGAGAATTACAGAATTAGATAAAAATTATTATTTTTCAATCCAATTGATTCATTTAGATTATTATAAAAATTTTGCTGACCTTAGCAACAGCCGTGGTAACCTTGCTAACCTAGTCAAATTTGGCAACAGATTTGATGACACCGACGGCGACGGTTTGGCGCATGTCACGAACGGAGAAACGACCAAGGGAAGGGTAGTCGGCAAATGATTCAACGCACATGGGCTTGGAGGGGATCATATTGACGATAGCAGCGTCGCCAGACGCAATAAACGTGGGGAAAGCCTCGATAGATTTGCCAGTTCGGCGATCAATCTTCTCGAGAAGTTCGGAGAATTTGCAAGCAATGTGTGAAGTATGACAATCAACCACAGGGGTGTAACCAGCACGGACCTGACCGGGGTGATTAAGTAGGATAACATGGGCGTTGAAGGACTCGACGGCCTTGGGGGGATCATCCTCGGAGTCACCGGCAACGTTACCACGACGGATCTCATTGAAGGAGACATTCTTGACGTTGAAGCCGACGTTTTCGCCGGGATAACCCACAGGGAGGGAGACGTGATGCATCTCGATGGACATGACTTCAGTGGTGACACCAGCAGGGGCGAAGGTGACGATCATACCAGGCTTGATCACACCAGTCTCAACACGACCAACCGGAACCGTGCCAATACCGCCTATCATGTAAACATCCTGGAGAGGAAGACGGAGGGGCTTGTCAAAAAGACGGGCAGGGGACTCCATAGCGTCGATGGCATCAACGAGGGTCTTGCCTTTGCACGTGCCTCCCCTAATATCTATCTGCCAGCCTTTGTACCAGGGGCAGTTGGAGGACTCTTCAATCATGTTATCACCGTTGAAACCAGAAATAGGGACAAAAGGGATGCGCCTGGGGTTGAATCCGACCTTCTTCATAAACAAAGAGGTCTCTTTGACGATGTCTAGGTAACGGTGCTCAGACCACTCCGTAGTGTCCATCTTGTTAACAGCAACGATGACCTGCCTGACACCAAGAGTGTAGGCGAGAAGAGAGTGCTCACGAGTCTGGCCATTCTTGGAGATACCAGCTTCGAACTCATCAGTACCAGCGGCGATGACGAGAATAGCGCAATCAGCCTGGGATGTACCCGTGATCATGTTTTTGACGAAATCACGATGACCGGGGGCGTCTAGAATAGATTAGCTAATCTATATCGTAAAGCATAATGCATGACGAGGTAAAGATGCATACCAATGACGGTGACATGGTGTCGGGGAGTCTCGAAGTCCCGGAGAGCGATATCGATGGTGATGCCCCGTTCACGCTCGGCCTTCAGCTTGTCAAGTACCCATGCGTACTTAAAAGAGGTCTTGCCGAGCTCGGCGGCGTCCTGTAACCATAGTCAATATGATGAACATAAAATGAGCTAACTGTGTTGGGGGAAAAATCAGGCGAAAGGAATACAATGTGCATACCTTCTCTAACTTCTTGATGGTACGCTTGTCAACACCACCGCACTGGTAGATCAAATCTGTATCCCGTGTGGGCTACTTGTGACCCCGCTATTGTATAAGAAGGGGAAGGCTTACGTCCAGTGGTGGTCGACTTCCCGGAGTCGACGTGGCCGATGACGACGATGTTGATGTGGGCCTTATTATGACTGTGAGGACTGTCAGCAGAGTAAACCAAACATACTGCAGCAAAAGCCTTATGCGGCGCCTGCTTCGCGTTGATGATACCACTCGATACCCCACGCATCCCTTTCAAGACTGTTCCAAGTGCCCAGCTTGCGCTTCTCCCCCCGTTCCACTCATTTTTACCCTGACTGTCCCTGTGCTGTACCCTACATACTGGATACATTGACATTGGCTAACTCACCCCATTATGGCTGTTCTATTATCTGTATTTGAGGTAGCCTGGTGTATGTGGAATCTCCTATCAAAGGCAGTCGCTAATAAGTTGAGCAAACGATGGCAGTAAATTTGGATAGATACAAATGTCAAATTATGAATCGAATGTGCTGAGGAAGTGTGGGATTACTCGGCCAGGACAATTGCAGAAAAAGGAAAATGAAAGAAAGGCAACACCTACGCTATGGTCAAGTTTGGAAAAAGTATCTATCCGCAGGAGACCCGATGGCAGAAATACAACTCAATTTCTCAGCAAAACTTTACTTCCATTCCTTAGCCAATGTACATATATTTGAAAATCACCCATATCCGTGTGGCAAAGTCGTCGTTTGGCGTAATAATATATACTGTTGACTATCGTACGTGCTTGTATGATATCTTGAAGGGTTAATAAGGGTCTATATGTAGAGCTGGGTATATTATTAGCGGAATATGAAGACAGCGTTGGTTACTTGATGAATGAACGCCGGTTAACTTCTCAACAAGATAACTGATGTTCCTGAGATCTTCAAAACAGCAGGTTGAGTCTTCTACTATTGGCTCACCTTGTTGGTTTGCACTGCATCTCATCGGCTCTCCGCACATACCCGTATCTGCTTACTGCCTCCCTCTTACCTTGTTTGAAATTCCAGAGCTTCCGGAAACTCTCGGACATTGTTCAGACCCTTGAAAGCAGGTGGTGCTGGGTTGCTCGCGAAATTACGACCTATAGGATTTGTCGGGTGGTGTTTAATGTAGTACCTTGATGTCGTCAACCATGATTTGCTGACTACATTGATAAATAGCGGAATCTCAACGCACTATCGTACTGCCTTCTCTGAGGGTGATCGTTCGCGTTGTAAGCAAAGAATGTTGGGTACTGTACCCAGCATCCCGAGTTTGGTATGCGATAGACGGCTTGATTGGCTGAGTTAGAAGCTAGCGGCATTTTATCCAGTAAACGTGCCTAGCCAGCCAGCCTGGTGACAAGAATATTTCGTCACGCGCAATTGATTACATAGGAATCACGCAGTCTTGTGAATAAACAACTGTGATACACTCTCTATACTCCTAGGGGGGTAATTTTTGTGTATCTGCTTCCGAGACGCGGAAATCATGAAATTTAGTAAACTGGCCTCATCCTTTTGCAAAGAGTATTCATAGCATTCTTCACCAAGCCCTCGAGATATTGCCATCAACGCAAGTTTAGGGCAGGTGCGGGCTGGCCATCATTCTATGCGTAGTGGCTATTTAAAGTACTACCTTGCGTAGACTGCATCTCACTATAACGCATAAGCAAACAGTCGTATATTGTAGTGATATTGCATTGCTATTATGATTTTGTGCGGAAACAACAGAGCCTGTTATGTCCGGCCTGAGCTTTAACCCTGCTGGAAACTCGAAAGAATAAATGAAACTTCTATATCCACCTAGTTATCTATCTAGTGTTGCTTGAGTTACCAAGTACAAGTTTGGGGCTATGTTACCAATATGCTATACTACGCAAAAGCGCTGAATATATCTACACACTACACCATCGCCAGCCGTTAGCAAGTTGTTCTATCAGCCTGCTACGCAAAAGCATAGGGTGCACTTACAGGCTACACCATCGCTTTGTACGAGTCTATGGGGATCAAAGCATCTCTTGCAGATGCGTAATTTGAAGGCAGAACCCCTCCCTATTGGTTAGCTTACACTGTTGATTTGCACTGTGTTTTCCCGGCACCCCACGCATACCCGTACATTCCGGTTGTCTGATTGTGTTAGATCCCCATCTACGCACGGCTCACAATTTTTTGTCTACTTGTGATTTTTTGAAAGTAATAATTAGCATACAGGCAAATACCACAATCCGATGGGGTGTAGTGGTAACATTGAGCTCTTCCAAAGCTTAGCCCCAGGGTATGTGGTCGCTCTACATTGTGAAGCATTGGCGAAGACATACTAACAGTGCACAGTTCGATTCCTGGCATCGGTAGCAACGATGCTTAGCCTCTCTTTTTAGCCTTCTGATTTTTAGTTTATATAACTATTATGGCTACAATCGACGCGGCTCTTTCATTTACGTTGGGACTATGATGTGAAGAACTCAATCATCATCACGCGGCAGATCTGTTTCTACTACATTCGCGAAACACGGCCATCTGCCGCCGGCTTGCTCTCGTAGATGAGCTTCTTTGACCGGCAAGGGATACCAGCGGATCTGCTTCGAGGTAGAACCGCGCAGACGGATACTAGCGAACAGCAAGAGCAGGAAGCGGATGACCCGCAAAGCGGTGAAGAAGGCGACACTACGTCACAGTCTAGCGAGGGCGATAACAGATTCGAGGACGATGTAGTAACCCTGCGAAACATTTGCTTCGTCTCTATTGAGGGGGATAGCACAACCTTCAAGATGCACGCGCTCGTGCAGCTAGCCACGCGGAAATGGCGCGATGCTAACAGCCAGCTTGGGCAGTGGAGGCGAGCATTCGTAACGTTGATGGCAAAAGAATTCCCCAGCGGGAGCTTTGAGAACCGGACAAGGTGTCAGATGCTACTTCCTCACGTAGCGCCGATGTTTGAGAAGAAGCCTACTGAGGAGGAACTTCTGCAAGACTGGGCGCAGGTGCTTTACAACGCCGGGTGGTACTTGTGGATGAAGGGGCAATACAGAGAGGCTGAAGATGTAGCAAAAAAAGGGGTAGAGACTCGAGAGTGTATAGCAGGGCAGGATGACGTTACTACGCTGGATAGCGTAAGCATCTTGGCGTTGGTGCTGCGGTACCAGGGATAGTACGAGGCGGCCGAGGCGATGAACCGGCGAGCGCTGGAGGGAAGTGAGAAGGCGCTGGGGAAAGAGCACCACGACAAGCTGACCAGCGTATACTGCCTTGCGTTTCTGTTGCATCGTTGGGGTCGGTACGAAGAAGCTATGCTGCTCTACAAGAGGGCTTCTTCTGGCTACATCACGACTCTTGGCCCAGATCATCCGAGAACTCAAGCATGTCTAGATCATCAGCTTTCACTCGAGCAGTTGTTGCACAGGCATGTAGCTGACAGTTTAAGTCACGGTTCAAGGAATGAATCAAGACATGAGATTATAGACGTCAGTACCCATCGACCCAACCCTGGCTCCCTAGAGAGTACTCTACTCAGTCCAGGCGCACTCCCAAAAGAGCGCTGGTGGCGAAAGTTCGCGAAGAAGGTACACAAGGCATGAGGTACCACTCACTATGTACTTTATTGGCTTGTAACATACTATACATCGGTCTTAATCATGAAGTACAAGTGGACAATGTAGTAAGCAGGTACCATAATGGTGAGTCACGGCACGGAAGTGGCTCGGCGTCAACGGTTGCCACCACCAGCTGAGAGCATGGCCGACCCGTTCCTGCCCTGACCTTGTCGAGCTGTCTATTTTAGACGAAAAAACGAGAGATGGCGTACTTCTGATATGGCATGTTGATAAGCCTGTGGGGTGGAGCACTCCAAAAAGGCACTTCATTGTCATGGTGGGTCCAGGGTCTGAAAACGGTTCGGAGATGGGGGACCCACTGCGGGAACCGAATTTGAGCCCGGGGAATCCACAGACTAGTTTTAATCTTGGCTATCGCGAAGCATTGTGGCCAGTTCAACCAACGTGCCCCGCATTCCAAGCTGTGATTATTCAATTGATCCCTATCGCGCAGTGCGGGAGGCTCTGACCTGAGTTTGGCAAAACACCGCGCTACATACAGATGCGTGTCGTTCATGTTTTCATTTTTGTTTACCACAAATTTATCGCCTCCCACACTTGCGCCGCAGGCGTTAGATTCCAGAAATATATGCAAAAAGGGAGGATTGCGATTCGTCAGTCCTACTAGAAATCTACAATAGTAATACCTAGTAGCCGCCAAAGGCTCACGCGAGTGCCTGATTGGCTTCCTTAACAAAAGGCGGCGCAGCACAACGTGCATTTCATCCAGCTGTTCAGCCTTGCTACAACACCCTTCGCAGCCTCTTCGCACATATCTCTCATCTACTTTCCATGCAATGCCACCAAACTCTTTATCAGCACTCTTCATCCGTTTGTTTCGCATGACGACTTCGTTAGAATATGGATCCGCTCAGCGTCACAGCCAGCATCATCGCAGTTCTACAGCTTTCGGCCAAAGTCCTCGGCTATCTGAGCGACGTCAAGGATGCCTCCAAAGACCGCATGCAGTGCGCTGTAGAAATCTCGAATTTGTATAATCTGCTTTTTAACCTAAGGGTCCACCTTGAAGAGGAAAACCCCGACGAGCCATGGTTCACCGCTGTGCGAGCCCTTGACGTCGAGAACGGTCCGCTCGACCAGTTCAAGCAAGCGCTGGAGATTCTGCAGACTACAATGACAGACGGAGGACGGTTGAACAAGGCTAGAAAGGCGCTGCGGTGGAAGTTCGAGAAAGAGGAGATTGCCAGTATATTAAGTCGGATGGAGCGCTTAAAGACGTTGATAAAAATCGCGTTGCAGATGGATCACTTGTAAGTTGTGAAGCTAGCACGTTTGAGCAACGTAACTTACACATGCAAGCAAACTCTCCCAAGCTCTCAAAAATGACACCCAACATATCAAAGTTGTTGTCACGTCTCTTCAGACACACGCAGACGATACGGAGCACCGCCGGCTGCTGGAGTGGGTCTCACCCACAGATTATCCCGCCCAGCAATCCGATATCATAAAGCGCAAACAAGAAGGAACGGGACAGTGGTTCCTGAACGCACCTGAGGTCGCAAAATGGCTCAGCGAAGCCAAGGGAACCCTCTTCTGTCCAGGCATTCCTGGGGCTGGTAAAACCATGGTAGCGGCCATCGCGATCGATCACCTCTTGACATCGGTACAGGATAGCGCACATGGAGTCGCTTATGTGTTTTGCAACTACAAAACTAAGGAAGAGCAGGACACTTCCAATATGCTGGCAGCTGTCCTCAAGCAACTGGTGCAGGCTCGGCCGTCAATCGCGGGTTCTGTCGGACAGTTGTACAAGCAACATAATAACCGAGGCACAAGGCCATCGCTTGACGAGGTGTTCTCTTGTCTTTGAGATGTGCTCGCGCATTACTCTGCTACCTACATTGTCATTGATGCTCTAGATGAGTGCTGAGATGGAATTCGTGGCCAGTTTCTGGCTAAACTCCGAGATCTGCAGGCGGGACGAGACATACGCTTGATGACAACGTCCCGGTTTATACCGGAGATCATGAACACATTTGAAAGAGCATTGAGGCTGGAGGTACTGGCAAGCGAGAAAGACGTGAAGCGCTTCGTAGCCGGTCAAATGTACCGACTGCCCAGGTGCATTCAGCACGATGATACGCTCCAAACTATGGTACAGGACCAAATCGCAAAAGCGGTGGATGGGATGTAAGTGTCTCCTTTAGCGAATTGGTATCAGGCTTACATTCTCAGATTCCTTCTTGCTCGCCTACACACGGAGTCGCTGTTGGACAAGAGAACGACAAAGGAAGTCAAGTTGACTCTATCTAGTCTCGCGAAGGGCTCTGATGCACTTGATAAGGCATATAGTGATGCTCTCCGAAGAATCGAAGGCCAGTTAGAGGGTGATGCTAGACTGGCTAAGAAGGCTCTGTCATGGATCACGCTGGCAAAGAGACCGCTCACCACCTCTGAGCTATGCTGTGCTCTAGCAGTAGAGCCAAACGAGTCGGAGCTTGACCCAGAGCACACACCTGACATCGAAGACATTGTGTCTGTATGCGCGGGTCTTGTTGTTATCGACCCGGAGAGCGCCATTATCCGCCTAGTACACTACACCACGCAAGAGTATTTTGAGCGCATTGGGGATGCATGGTATCCTACTATCCAGCAGGAGATTGCCTTAACATGCCTTACCTACCTATCGTTTACAGAGTTTCAGAGTGGGGCTTCCTCTACCGACGAAGACTTTGAAAGAAGAATCCAGCAAAGCAAGTTCCTAGACTACGCTTCTAAACACTGGGGAGAGCACGTATCGGCAGTTGGAGACGAGATATGCGAGTTAGCGGCTTCGATGCTTACAAACAGCGGATCAGTTTCATGTCTTACACAGGTAGCATCAGTTCCAAAGTACAAGTACCGTGGTTATAGCCAAGATTATCCGAGAGGGGTAACAGGGTTGCATGTCACCGCAAAATTTGAGCTGCCAATATTGACAGCATTGCTGCTCCTAAAACTTGGAACAGGGGCTACAGTTATTGTTAACAAAAAGAATTCTAATGGCCAAACTCCACTATACATTGCTGCACTTCATAGGCATAAAGGCATGGTTAAGCTGCTGCTTGAGAAGGGCGCAGATGCCAACGCGCAAGGTGGATACTACGGCAACGCACTCCAGTTGGCTTCATTTACAGGCTGCAAGGCGATTGTGAAGCTGCTACTTGAGAAGGGCGCCGATGTTAATGCGCGAGGTGGATACTACGGCAATGCATTTCAGGCAGCTTCATTTAGAGGATACGAGTGGATTCTGAAGCTGCTGCTTCAGAATGGTACCGATATCAATGCGCAGAGTGGAGAGTATGGCAATGCACTCCAGGCCGCTTCTAAAGAAGGCCACGAGGCAATTGTGAAGCTGCTGCTTCAAAATGGCGCCGATGTCAATACGCAGAGTGGAGAGCATAGCAATGCACTCCAGGTCGCATCTGAAGAAGGCCATGAGGTAATTGTGAGGCTGCTGCTCGAGAAGGGCGCCGATGTCAACGCGCAGAGTGGAGAGTATGGCAACGCACTCCAGGCGGCTTCAGAAGAAGGCCACGAGGCAATTATAAAGCTGCTGCTCGAGAAGGGCGCTGATGTCAACACGCAGAGTGGAGAGTATGGCAACGCACTCCAAGCAGCTTCACTCAGAGGCCACGAAGCGATTGTGAAGCTGCTACTCGAGAAGGGCGCCGATATCAACACGCAGAGTGGAGAGTATGGCAACGCACTCCAAGCAGCTTCACTCAGAGGCCACGAAGCGATTGTGAAGCTGCTACTCGAGAAGGGCGCCGATGTCAACGCGCAAGGTGGATACTACGGCAATGCACTCCAGGCAGCTTCATTTAGAGGATACGAGGGGATTGTAAAGTTGCTGATTGAGAAGGGCGCTAATGTCAACGCGAAGGGTGGAAAGTACAGCAACGCACTACAACCAGCTTTATCTAGAGGACATAAGGCGATTGTGAAGCTGTTGCTCGAGAAGGGTGCCGACGTCAACGCATAGGCTAGGGACCGGATCTATCTCCTTAGAAAAGACTGATGTAAATTAGGCTCAATAGTTTTTTGCCTTGGGCATCCTAACATCGTATTATCTCGTGACGTCCTTGCAATATGGCAGCTCGAAATTCTAGTACTCCAAGAGTAGGAGGAATCTTAAGGAAGAGGACTTATAGTCAGTACTAGAAGTTCTTTAAAGCAGCATCCCTAGTCGTACGTAGTACAAAGATAGCATAGTGAAAGTGCAGCAGTTCGCTTACGCACCACCGTGAGATACAGCTGTGGGAGATGGTACTTCGTGTCGCCACCACCAGCTGAGAAGATGGCCGACCCACTCCTGCCCTGACCTTGCGCTGAAGAAGCCGAAGATCCTTTCTTGTGTCAAATTGGGAAGTGTAATGTAACTTGTCGATTTGAATGGTGGATACTGACGCCAAGGATTGATCCGCATTAGTCATGGTGCCTTGTGATCTTGCTCAGCGGGACCCACTACCGTGTCCGTGCGCGTGATGCGCGGATTCGCGTAATGCGCGGGCAACAACAAAAACGCTCTACTAGAAATGAGGCAATAAAGCCACCTACAATTAATAGTATCACAAGATTTTTTAGCGGAGTACAAAGCTGGTAGCTGCGATCAATTTGTACTATCTATATCTATCAGAAAGCTTAACGCTGCGGCCGCGGCGCGTAGAGATTGCTAGGGTAGCAGATTCGCCCTGTGGAGCCTCTCTAGTATCTAGAGCATTAATAACACGTTTCTAACGCTTTCTACTCTGTAGAGGTGCCTGAGAGGCCTTCCTCTTACCCTTTTAAGATAATTGTAGAGCTTTTTCAGCGTTATGAGCAGACTTTAGGGCAGCGCGCTGAGCTGCCTTTTTAGCCTTCTCCTTCTTCTTCTTCTTTCTAGCTGCCTCGCGCGCAACACGCTTCTCCTGCTAGATCTTCTCTTTATATAGCTTAGCTGCCTTCTTAAGCTCTGCTCTGTTTGCTTTTTAAAGCTGTTGATTCTTCTCCTCTTGCTCTCTAATTGATTAACGTGTACATGCCTCCCTCACCTTTCTAGGTGACCAGAAGACTGCTCCACTATAATATTCCTCCCTCTGCTAGAGGTCTAGAGTCTTGCCTTTCTTCCTACGCTTCTGCTTAGTAGATAGCACCTGCTTAATCTCATCTATTTCATGCTTAAGTAGCTCATTTTAAACAGATAGGTGATGAAGTAATTAGCGTAGCTTCTGAGCATCCTGACTACCCTGATCCTTAACAGCTAATTGTACCAGCCTATCCATCTTTCGCCAGTCATGATCGCTGAGTCCTGATGAGGAGCTGTGACCTGAGTCCTTATCATGGGTGAACCTATTAAGGATAGAAGTAGGATCAGGTAGTGATATGCCTGTTGAGCTGAAAGAGCTAAAGATAGTTGATTTCTTAAAGGAGGCCTTCCATGCATTCCAGAATAGGGGAAAGAAATCACCCTTAGTAATAGGAGCTAGGCCCTGGCTTCTGTGGAGGTAATTTGAGAGCTCTGCTAAGTAGGCTGTTAATAGAGGCTTAAACATTGCAACATCAAGAGGCTAGAGCGTATAAGTTGAATAAGGAGGTAGGATAGCAAGGAGGATCCTATTCTGATTACAGTAGTTAATAAAGTCTATAGTAATATGGGATCCATGGCCATCAAGGACTAGGAGTTAATAGGATCGTCGGGCCTTCTCCTTTGTACAGCAATCAAATACCTGTTTAAGCTAGGCAAGCCTAATATCGTTGTTGGTCCAGTCAGAGGATGATGAGGTAATAAAGACTTCATGTTCTCCTGCCTTAATATCCTCTACCCAGGATAATTAGATAGCTTTGTTAGCAGCCTTATAGATAAGGCTTAGTAGCAGAGCTAATCCATCAGCACAGATACATGCTAAGAGCGTGATCTATGCCCAGTTGCCATCCTAGAGTGATGCAGTAACCTCCTTCTTCTCCTACATTTGCCTGCTAAAGATCCTTTTTAATCTGCTAATGATTCTAATCAGGAAGCCTTTCTCATCCATATTGTAGGTATAACAAGGATCTATCTAGTATTAATTAATCTTGCTATGCAGGTAGTTAAAGTAGAGGCGATATTTATCCTCTAAATTAGCTTTGTGGCAATTGCTGTCCATGCCGGCTGTCTAGCGAGAGATTAGATAGATACTGTAGCAGTTAATAAAGCGAGTAACCTAGCTCTTGCTAACTAGCTCCTTTGCTATTGTAGAGGCAAAGTTCTGTATTATCTCTCTAGTAGGAGAGAGGTGCCTCTCTGTAAGTTCTTTAATATACTGTACAAGCTCTAGCTCTTCCTCTAGGGTAAGCTTTTGCTAATTAGAGCTCTTGACCTAGAGAGGACGCGTCACCCTACAATGCCTTTAGATTAAGGTAGACCGTACAACACTATATTTAGTAGCAAAAGCTGTATACGAGAAAGGCTCTCCTGGCCCTAACGATTCAATATCAGTAATTGCCGCCTCGATTGGATCTATAACAGTGGAGTTATTGCGTGTTGAAAGTAGGGTGTTTTGGTGTTGCCCGCGCATTACGCGAATCCGCGCATCACGCGCACGGACACGGTACGGAAGCTAATGCGAGGCCCATCCATCAACAGCGCCCCGCAGGACTGAGATCACCAACAACACCGCATCAACACCAGGCATTCGTCAACCGTCCTTTTTGTCGCCGCCGTTGATGGCAATCGTCCGGTACTCATCTAAGCGCACATATGATGAAGCGTTGTTTGATGGTCTACACGTGCTACCGTCGTTAAAGCAAAGTCCCGACATTCAGCGATGGGTTGTCGCGTTGCCCGACTCCAAAGCCGGTTATGCTAAGAAAGTCCAACCCATCAAGCGGCAACGCGTGCTGCAAAGCCTTTCTACCACGTCAAAACGACTGAACTACACGGAAGGCGATATGGCTACTTCGCCGACGCGTCGATCGACCAGAAACAGGTCTCCCACAAAGGAGACGTTGCCAGCGAAGGAAGTGGTGGCAACAACGCAAGGAAAGGGACGGAGAGAAGAGGCGGAGGCAAGCTTTCAACGAAATACAACCCAAGCATTCTCGGAGAGCGCACCCTCATTCCGAGCGCCATCGTCATCTTTGCGCTCTCTGTCCCCTCCGAAGAAGAAGACAGCTTCTACAAAGGCCGATTTGGCATACCTCAACCCAAACATTGAGTTCCTACCCTTGGAGTATGCCGGGGAGACTGGAATATCGCTTCCTGAATCCCTGACAGAGCTGTGGAGCCGCTGCGAGGTAAGAAGGGCGTATGCTTTGCTGGGCATGGTATGCTGACAGCACCAGAACCGGCAGCTCGGCTCGCTAACCCTCCATTTCCTCTCACCGCTCACGACCACAGAATCATTGAAGACACCCTGTCCGACACACTGGAGCAATGAGAGAGGTGGCGGGACACAGCAACTGAGTCTCACTGGGCATCAGTAGTGGTAGGCCCCATACTGCACCTCTTGCGGCGGATCGAGGGTTTCAAAGATTCTTCTCGTCCTAATGCGAAGATCGCTGTGCTTGATGTGTATGTTTCAAACTATCATATCGCGATTTGATTTCTGGACTAAGAATGTTTTTTAGAACTCCCATCGAAATTTCACCTGTCGAACTTGTCCCTTTCTCGAAAGATCCCACCCTTTACCGCGATCTTGACAAGCGCATTGATTACGTTGTCGGCCTTGACCTACACCGCACGACGCTCAAAACGCTCCGTCGCACTCCCTCTATTAACCAGACTGCTTCATTTGCGAACGAGACTCCTATATTTTTGAACATCGAGGTCAAGCGTCGCCACGTTGCCCGTGACCCAACAGTTCAACTCGCTGCATGGATTGCTGCGGAATACACGAAACGAAGGTATGAGGAGTGGGACCTTGGGTTTCCCGTATTAGCTATTGAGATTGATGGCGATAATTGGGTTATGCGTGTCGCTGCTGCGCGCGTTGTGCCGCATACCACTGATGCAACCCAGTCTCCTCTAGCTAGAGAAATGGAGGCTCAGCCAGCGGAAGTAGATGAAGGACTGATATCGTTCCCCGAGGATGAATATGAGCTCTTCTTCTTTGGACCGCTGGACCTGGGCAACACTTTGACTCTTCAAAGCTCGAAGAGACTGCTCGCAAATCTGATTGATATCACTGGGTGGGGGCAATCTCAGTTTCGAGCATGGTGGGAATTAAATGTACAGAGGGTCTTGGAGAAGAGAATAGGACGCTGAGATATCACGAAAGAGAGAAACCCGATACCAAATGTATTCGACCAAACCGTAAGGGGAATACTCGTGCAGATTGTGGTTGATCATTTTTTGTCCTACATACAGGTTCCATGCTCCGTTTCAATCGAAAAATTCCGCGCCTGCTATGAAGGAACACATCTTTCGTCTGTTTCATCTTTTCGTTTTCAAATTCCCTTCCGCTTTGAGGCGTCCACTTCCCACCACATCGGAGTTTCAGGGTCTCAAGGGACTGACGCCTGGAGCTCTGCGACACTGGCCTTTTCGTGCTAATGCGCATTCTGAGGTATCCCAACAGCAAACAGATGAGAACCAGATGACAGTGCTGTCACTGAGGGCAGTCAAAGTTTTGGATCCTCTAGTTTGGAGTCCAACATGTTTCTCAGTGATATCCTTGTTCTCGTCATCCAGCCGTACGGATCCCTTCACAAGTACAACGGTGCATTCGTCTGGCAATGGGCAATGGACTTTGGAGCCAGCTCCCTTCGTCTCAGCAAATCCAGGGATGACATCCACTGTAAGCTACAGTCGTCAGCGGTACTGTGCGCTATCCCTATCCCAATAAAATTATCGCAACGTTGGACGTGACGTTGTTCGTTTCATCAACGCAATCAGCAAGTTCTTAAACCCGCTACAGTGAACGTCCATCACACGTTCCCGGGGATCCAAAGCTTCACGGTTACGCATAGAAAGACTTTATATAAAACACCAAATTTGATATGGGCAGATATAGAATAGAAGTCGCGACATCCATGGTCACCAAAGCTTCCCACAGAGAAGTTGCGCACTGCGCAGAAAAAAACAACAGGGTACCTAACAGCCAACTGGTACAAAACTAACTCGCGCTCACAGGCCCATCGTTGCGTTGAAGTGAACCATGCCCGCACGACTTGGCCGCGGGCGTGATGCACTGTCCACCGTCCCACCCGCAGCAGTAGGATTCGCAGCCAGAGTCGGCGATGCAGTATTCTCCCAGTTTCGCAGGCTCGGGTCCGTTGTTGGCCTGACTCTGTCCGAAACCGCACCCGCCATCATTGAGAACCGCATCCTGGGGCTTGAAACACTCTCCGGTTTTCCACCCGCAGCATTTAGACTGGCAAGCAGTGTCAGCGGTACATTTATCTCCAAGGTTTCCGGATGACACTGGGGTGCTGCTGCTTGCCGCTTTGCTGCTACTCGACGCTTTGCTGGTAGTTGACGCTTTGCTGCTGCTCGACGAAGTCTTTGCACTGGACGACTGGGACTTGCTTGAACTGGCGGATGGTGCACTTGTGGATGGCGCAAGGCTGCTTGTTGCTTTGCTACTTGCCCCCGAAGTCTTTGCACTCGTCGACTGGGGTTTGCTTGAGCTGGCGGACGAGCTGCCCGAGCTTGGTTTGGCACTGCTGGTTGCGGGCGGCGAAAGGGACTTGCCAATGCATTTGCCGAGGGCGCCATAGTCCAAATCACCGTCCGTGTTCTCCATTATGCTTTGGAAACAATCCTGCTTTTCTTCCCAGTTCGCTTCAGGCTCGGGGTGCGGGTAGAGGGTGCCTTGTGCCACTACGGTGCTACCTGTCCCTCAAGTCAGCGTTGGAACTCTGGGGCAGTGCTTTCTGAGATTGTATGGAAGATTTATACAAGAGGCATGAAAAGGGGGAATGACTCACTTGTCATGGAAGTGCTACCAGTACCTGAGCAAGTTTTGGTGGTTGAGCAGTCCGTCGCGAAGCTGCTGGTTTTACTGCCTGAGACGATTTGCGTCCCCTTACACTGGGTAACAGCTGATGCTGAGCAGGAGCTGGACGAGCTCGACTTGCTTGAAGACTTGCTTGATGACTTGCTTGACGACTTCTCGCTCGATGCTTTGCTCGTTTCCTTGCCCGATTCCTGAGGTTCGGTAGGCTTATTACTCGGCGGTGTATACCCTTTGAGGCCGGGGAACTTTGTCATGTCCACCCATCCGGGCAGGTTTCCAGTTATAACTGGAAATTCCATATGGCATGAAGCATCCACGACTGTGTTAACGAGCTTGTTAGCTACATTGGTTACAATACTAAGTAAACCTCCCGACTGGGGCTTTGGTAGCGGATTGCACACATCCTTTGGTAGCTCCAGTTTGGCAAAAATGACGGCGTCGTCGTCGTCTTCTTGGCTCTTCTTGACTTTCTGGGTAGGGACTGCACTGAGGTCTGTGATCTTGTCAATAAAGAAGGTCGATGTGGCGGATTCAATCTTCTCTAGCCACGTGGGGGTAGGCTTGCTGCAAGACTTGGATGCTGAGCATAGAAGGAAACCTTCTTCAGGAGTGACTGTAGGCTTCGCAGAGAAGAAGGCTGCTGGCAGGAACTGGGTTGAGCTGGTACTGTTACTGGAAGTGATGGCTCCAGATGACTGCTGTGATGAGCTGGAAGGGACGCCGGAAGAGCCTCCTGACTGTTTTGCAGTGCTTGCAGCAGAACTTGGAGCAGTAGGCCCTGGAGCGGCAGTAGTAGTTGGCTTGGGTTGTGAGGATGACGGTGCAGAAGAGCTCGATGGTTTAGAGGAGCCTGATACAGAATTGGTAGAAACGCCCGAAGAGCTTGGCCCAGTGCTCGCCTTTGAACTTTGGGAGCTTCCACTTTTCGTCCCGGAGATCGATGATGCTGATGCTGATTTGGACACGGACTTTGAAACGGAAGGCGAACTCGCCGGTTTGCTGGAACCAGCTACAGCGCTCGAGCGTGATGCAGATCCTGATGCAGAACTCGACTTCGAACCAGATGCAGATCCCGATGCAGAGCTTGATTTAAAGCCGGACTTAGATCCCGACGTAGAGCTCGACTTGGAAATGGACGCAGATCCCAACACTGTACTGCTCTTGACGCTCTGGGACGTTGATGCGGAGCTCGAATTCGCGGAACTGCCACTAGTGATGCCTGATTTTGAGGAAGAGGGAGAACTTTGCGACTTGGTACTGGCACTAGTGGTGATGGCGCGCATTTCGAGGGGATTGAAACTGAATCCCCTTGTGAGGGAATACCCCATTTCTGCATGTCCGGGCAATGCTCTTTTATGAGCTGGCGCAGCCCATTGGCCATCAACAGTCACGGCCTGTCTACCAAAGCTGTAGTCTTTGAGCTCGACCAAACATCCTGTGTTATCTATTTTTGTTGATTTGTGCTTCAACATCCAGGCACCTAGACAAGAAGTCAACCGGAGGAGAACCCAATGAGGGCCATCCGGTACTTACCCATTGCGTAATAGGCGTATGAATCTGACAGGGTTAGAGATACTCCTTCGTTAGATCGAGTACTTTCTTACCAGCGTTCATAAAGCCAGTCTTCTTGGATAGATCGTGGATATGATTCCATCGATATCCACCACCGGGGTCTTCATCCCAGGTGCGCTGTTCTTCGTAATCATCGTTGGCGAGCTTTGTGGCCCGGATACAATGGGACATCTGCCGGCAGCTGTCAGTCATAAAGCAAGTTATATAGAGCTATACATGTACTGACTTCGTGAACCAACGTCGAGTCGAGGAAAGAGTAAAAGTCTACTTCTTGCCAATCTGCCTTGTTCAAGCTATCGCAAAATTGCTTCCATTTCGAACGGCTCTTCATCCACTTCGCTTCTCGATCTGCGAGTTTTTTGTATTTACCCTTGGCCAGCTATTGTAGGGTTAGCCTATCTTTGACATGTTATCACAATCGATGAAAAGGCTTACCTTTTCCAAATCGCAAAGCTGTATAACTTGTCGGATGCCCGTTGTAGGCGAACTGATGCCTAGTGTTTGGCCACTGTTGCAATCGTTGTAGTCTTTCTTCGGGAAATAACCTTCCTCTTCTCTGTCTTTCGCATAATAACTGTCTCCTGACTTTTCCAGACGCTTCATATCGCAATAAACAAACTATTCATACTATCAGTGCTCAAACTCTCTCGCAGAGTCATACAAACTCAAGGGGCGCACTGAAACAACACATTCCAATGACTTACCACATCCGAATCCGTGAGTTTCTTGATTTCAGCATCAGTGCTCAGAAGCGTCCCTCTATTGCTTGCGAAGTTGCCGCGAATGAACTCGAAGTTTTCTTTGATAGGTTAGCCTCATTCCACTCTCTAGGGAGATGTTTGACCTACTTTTGACTGTAGTGTACCTTTTAACCAAAGGCTTCTGGGGGTTTGCGTTATTGGTTGCGTCACCAAAGATGCGGGCAGATAAGTCTCTGATCTCGGAATCAGGGAAAGTCCACCCGCCTCCCGTGCCAGCCGTTCCCACAGCATCTATGGCATCGTTGACCATTCCAAATGCCGATGTGAAGGCACCATTGAGAGTTTCCTCATATTCTACCAGAGTGAGTGTTTTTGCTGCTTCATCGGGAAATAGGAATCAAACGCACTCTTACAAGAAGCCTGATCGTAATACAGACCGGCATGAACACCACCAATCAACAGTGACGCCGCAAGAAGCTCAATCGAGATGAAAAATGAACGCATCACTCGGCTGGCGAGGAGCTTTCACTGCCGAAGAAAAATGATTGTATGAATTGAACACCTTTGGAAGTCGTCTACAGGTACAAAAAAGAGTGTGATAGAAGTAATCAAAGAAAAAAGAGCAAAATATTTCGTCGTGGCTGGGAAGAGAGGAAACTGAATTGCTTGACAAGAAGAAGACTCAATCTTATAAACATGTAACACTATTTTCTCAATAAATTCTAAAGATTGCTATTAGGTTTCCACCGAAAACTCTTGTACATTGTGACATGTTGTATTCCTTGTTTAGATGCCTAAAGTGTATACCAACAACTCACAAACCAACATAGCCATCGAAGTCCGGAATTCGAAATCCGCACTTCCCGCTAGGTAGTATGTCACCCAGCTTACGCGTGCATGCCCTTTGGGCGGCCTGGTCCTTACATATGCAGTCTGCACACACCCGCATACTTTGTAAATACTTCTTTGTAAGGGACGATAATGCCTCGCTCCCATCGAATGCACATTAAAATTTGGTATGTCATCCTAGCGTGTTGCTACGTCATACTCACTCTATATCTACCCCAGAGCTTGAATTCAAGCTTCGAACTTTTAAGGCAGCCCGCTTGGCCTCTGTTATTACAACTTCAGGCGATCCACCCATCCAGATCCCTCCGTGAAACCAGAACAATCCTACGAAGAGCACTAATCTCGGGCATGAAATAATTGCATGACGGCCGAACTATGGTTCTTGCCGGTGATTTTTACCGGAGGATCAAAAAGCTTATACTCAAGCGCAACGTTTTGCAGGTAAGGCTGACACTTCCTAGCATTCAAGTCAGCCTTTTCACTCAGAGACCAAGGGTTGAACTTTCCCCAAGTTTCAGTCACCCCCCACATTCGCAGCATTTGCAATGTTCGTGTTACTCACACCGGGCGCAACTCTCTCGCGACACAACTGTAGCTGCATTGCGTAACGGCGGACAACTGGCCAGCACTCCAACCGCCTTCGCCGATCGTAAACCGTTCCTTGGTGGTGTGACAAGATATTACTTCGAAAGCTTGTACAACATCGCTTCGTGTTGTCCGAGGTCAGATGGGTGCAGGTTGCTCCATTGCACAATGTTGAGATGCGATGGATGGGGGGTTAGAACCCAATGTAAGGAGCAGAGCGTTTTTGTAACACTTAAGGTTCAGTGTACAAGTTACGCAAAAGTCAGTTAGAGCAGGAATCTAGTAAGACTGCAATAACTTTGTGCAACTTTGTTAAGAGCGTAAATAGGCAAAGGCTAGCTCAAGCTGCGCAGTTTATTAACAGATGAACTTTGCAAACCCGTTTAAGCCTTAACCTACTTACGCCTCTATAATAGTTAGTGATAGCAGCATCTCCTTAGTACCTTTCTTAACCCTACCCTCCTACCTACTAAACACAGGTGCTAATTGTTCTGGCAATAGCGCGACAGCCGTTACGTCCTTATACAATAACTAAAAACAAGTAGATAGGACAGCTGTGATGCAAGCGCTCGCAGATCTAGCGCTTGCAGAATTAGTAGATTTAATAGAAAGAACAGCTAGGGCTTGTTAAATAAAATGTGATAAAAATGGTACATGCAGGTACGTAAGTCAAGTTTGTTTACAGCAAGGATTTGCTGTCTCTAATACAGTAGCAATAGCAGAGTGCTGACTTAAAATTAAGGGCCTAGCGAGTTGTTTGTCAGCTAAACAATAAGACTTTAAACAGAGCCTAGAGGGGGAACACATACTGGCTGTCCCCATTGCAAATGCACTGGTTCAGACAATGTTATAGGTTTAAGCTTAGGCTTTCGTATATTAAGAGAGGGAATAAAGCAGTACTAGGATCTGTCAGTGTTCTATAGAGGTTCATAACGTGGAGTCAGTTGAACGCTATAAATTAGAGCTATATTATAGGTTTGCCGTGACGAGTAACGCTCTGGGGCGGGTCCCACTGCAGGAACTTAATCCGGGAGCTATGGCACGTACGCAGATCAACCATGAAATTCCATTTGTCCCCAAAATATCCTCATCGCTACTAACCTGCCGCTTTAGAGACGAGCTATTTACTGTGCTGCTTTCCACTAGCCATCATATTCATTGTGAAAGTTGCATTTTGTCAAGTCGCCATTCTGTAAGTGTCAGGCGTGAGGATACAGTGTGGGGATGTTCAAGGCCTAGGACTTTCGCTTGCAGCTCGCAGCAGTTTGCGATTAACGAAATCGCTTTGCTTATAGAACTCTAAGATTGTAACGTCAATGTGAGGTTGGCTATGCTGGTCAGCGTGTAGAAATGCTTGTCCCCAAGCACCCTCCTTCTCATCTCTATCACTCGCACCCCCAGCTCTTCGGCCTCCTTCCATCGGCCCCGGTTGCCCATACTAGTCAGCATGGAGGGGCGCTGGTCCCTAAACATCGTCTTTCTCATCTTTATTATTTGCACCTCCAGTTCTTCTGCCAACTTCATTATCTGCTTAAGTGCATACTGTAGGATATGATGGCATGATTGCAAGTAAGATTGAAAATTGAAACGCTTAAAATACTAAGAAAGACGTAGAATCGCGATCAACGGGTGAGCAAATCGGTGCGTTGTGTGGTTTCACCAGCAGCCAACAGTAGCCTCGTTCCGCTAATATGATCTTGGAGGGCACGGTTCATTCTAAATTCTTTCTCTTGAGACCATAACGTCCAATCCCGCACGGCCTGAGTGCTGTACAGCCAATCTGTCGAGAATGGTGCTAAGAGGACGTCTTCCTCGCCATACATTTTGATAAACGGCGTACAGGGAGATTCATCACCGCCGCATGCCCACCGAGCATGTCCTATCACGTGATACGTGCTCAGTCCTTCGTGATGTGTACCAAGATTCCCCGCAGGGGCTGCAAAATAAGATATAAAGTGACGTCCATCCGTCTCGGGAACAAGTTGACAGATGATACGTTCTGCAGGTGTGGGGTATCGATCTGCGATCGAAAGGGAGGCTCCGTGCCTGCTTTCCTCAAATGCATGTAGGCAAGCCAGATTCGTAGCAAATGTGTGACCCTTGATTACGCCTTCTTGTTTTATCATGTCGCACGAGTTCTTGATCCACTCTAGCCAGGACGGCTGAGGGCTGCAGAGACCGATAATGTGGAGCACAGATAATACGCCGATATTGAGTGACTCACACGGGATATAGGGGTCTTCGATCCCACTCGCTACGGAAAAACGTGAAATGTGGGATGCAGCGTGGCGGAGGGCTTCATAGAAATAGAAGTTCGCTGTTGATTGATTGTTCTCTGGGTCTTCCCCAAGAGATGATAAAGCAAATTTCATGCGGGCAACGTAGAAATTGAAATGTACGGCTGCAACGGATGAGTGCCGGGTAGTAATTGTATAGGGTGGCGGTGGCATGGGAGTGCTTTGCCATTTGTAGACGAGCAGAGTGTTGAGCGCGGTATCCGTGTCCAATTCTGGAATGAGATGTAGGTGGCAATCTTTCCACTCTCTGAGTTTTCTCTCTACATTACGAATGGCATCAATGGGTGTGTCTCGAGCGTAAGTGGCAATGGGACTCCAGACAAGTTGTTTGACTTGTTGGTCTTCTGAGATGATACCGACAAGGCGTTGGAGTGCTTCGCCAACAGTAAACGCTCTGTAATCCTGCTCGCGATGACCTGGTTGGGAAGTAGCCATGTACTGCTCAATGATAATATGTATCCGGTTTAAAGGCAGGGCCACATAACAGGTTTGCCCGAGACATCTAAAGCAATCTTGCAAAGGATCCAGAGCCTCTTTGTGGGGGTTTTCGAGACCACACATACTACTATATTTTGATAGATAGGCCGCGAAGTAATGATGTGCAGATTGTACACGGCCGATAAAGGCAGGTATATTCCCACTCAAGGCCTGTTGTTAAGTTAGTCAAAGCCACATACATGTATAGAATCAATTTGTGTATGTACGCAGCATCTGAGTACCACCACATGCATGATTTGAATAGAAGGGTTATGAGCTCCACTGACCTCGAAGTAAGCCATCAAGCAAAGAGTCGCAACAAGCAGGGTAGGTGTCTGTTTCGCTTCTTCCAAATGAAACTCTAAATCTTCGAGTGCCTGGACATATAACTGAACAGCAGTGATCTTCATATCAAGCCCATTGGCTTTCTCGCGTTCGTCACACATCAGAGCTGCCCGGTGTATGTTGCCAAGAGCCACAAGAGTCAAGTAAAGATATTCGCAGCCCCAAGCTTCCTGGAAAAGTCCATCCCTCCAGAAATGAAGATGATTAGTGGGGAACAGTATAGGCACTGTCCTCAGGAGTGCTTGGTGGTAACCGAGTACGTGCCTTGCTCCAGGGCCAGCGTTTTGGCTCGGGCGCGGGCTGGAAGGAAACGAGATGAGTGGCTTCCGGTCATGTGATAGATGAGACGGTGCTGTATCGCTCATATAAACAGTACTGTACGGACTTGGGTCTTGATGAGGCGTCCTCGCTGGTGCAGGATTTATATCTTGCCCGTTGCTAGGAGAATTGACACAAACAATGACACGTCGCTGTTCATAACCAGCGCATTCTGTGTTAGCAGCGGCACAGCGTTTGCATATTGGAAGCTGTTCGTCGCATTTGACGCGGCGAGCTCTGCATGTTAGACAGCCCGTGCGGGCTCTTCGCTTTTTTTCGTGCATGGTCTAATGGTGACGAGGTGGTGTTCACCAAGCGCTGCCTCCCCCTCCCCCCTGAAATAAGCCCAAGCGAAGATTAGTAAGACAACAGCCATCATATAGGTTGACAAATTCAGTTAGGCTAAATATCTAGATATAGCTCGACTGATTCAAATCGAGATGTAGAAACTCTACATGATGACCACCGGTTTTCCTGCAATCTCCCGTTTAGCAATCCTCTCTGGCAACTCCTCGGCTTCTTCCATGAAAACCTTGGAGATATCGCTGCGGATGTTATGCTCTGCCGCAACCTTCAACATCTCTTCCATTTCCTTCACACTCGAATGTAGCGATCCCTTCACCACAATTTCTCGAAACACTAAGTTAAAAGCGTCAAACGTGAAGCCCGACTCTGGCAAGCCCAAGACGACCGCAGTGGCTCGTGGGTGGAGTTGCTGTAAGATCCAATCATTTACCTCCACATCGTCAGTGCTAACGACGGTGGCGTCCAGGCCACGACCTTCCGTGAAGTCGAGGATCTGCTGATTGGCCTCTTCTCGCTTGCGGTTGACGTAGAGATCTGGACCCAAGCTATTTGGAATGATGTCCATGTTGGAAGCGTTGTCGCGGCTGCCGATGGCAACAACACGGTAGCCCATTGTCTTTGCGAATTGAATTCCGAGAACTCCAAGACCCCCAACACCTACAATAGCCATCGTAGACCCCTTCTTTGCTTTGGCTTGGAGAATGGCCGTCCACATCGTGCAACCGGCGCACATTAGCGGTGCCGCCTGCTCAAAAGGCAGTCCATCTGGAATCCGCATGATGGCATCGTCAAAAGATATCATGTACTCTGCGAACCCTCCGTCTGCCTTCAAGATTCCGCCCATAGTCTTGTTCTTGCAGTATCGTGCATTCAGCTTGCCCTCGTGCTCGGCGGCATACCATTTGCAGTCCGCGCACGATCCGCATGGCTCCCGGAAGAGGTATACGCCCACCCGGTCACCGACTTTCCACTTCTTGGAAGCATCGGGACCTAAGGCCGCAATGGTGCCGACGGGCTCGTGTGAGCCGGTGTGGGGAAGTTCGGTATGGTAGGCTCCTTCGTAAACTTGGTAGTCCGTGTGACAGAAGCTTGCCGCGGCAATACGGACCAAGACCTCGTTTCCCTGGGGCTTAGGAATGGGGATTCTTTCAAGCTTGTAATTCTCCTTGAACTGGTTTCTCGTCAATTCTATGTAACACCCCATGCGAGTTACAAGGAAGGAGACCCACTTTGTTGAGCCGGAGGGCCTTCATGTTTTCTGGGACTGAAGACATCGTGATGTTTGAAGCGTGCGATTTGTTCTGGTGAAATAAGTATGCTAAGATGTTTGGTTCAGTGCACAATTCAGTGACGAATTATTATAGTGGATATTGGGTTCAAGAACGAAGCAGGCCCTATACTTATACATTTCTCATTAGGACTCTGTATTACTCCAGTACGCCTGTATTTGACTCTTAAACATCACAACAGGAACAACATCTATTTTTCGTGGATTGGTGATGTGACCAGCACTAAGAACGAGTGAACCGACATTGGCGAGTGAAGCGATCTTAGCGAGGGCTTTCGGTAGCGACCTAAGCGATCTTACCGAGTAAGACGATCCACCGTACGAGATCTACGCGGACGATGGGAAACTACGTCAACAAGACTACAGTTGCAGATGATCAATCTTTTCTCAGTTGGAGGTTGTTTTCAGACGTCTATAAATACTCCGACACTATTTATACTCGACGATATCAGCATTGAACTCGATATTTTTACTCATCTCCACTAGTCAAACACACGACTCAACCCAATCAGTCAATTGTCTTCAGAATGTCTCTACCATCATCTTTCCAAGCGGGTGAGGTATCAACCCCCAAAGCTAGCACAACCTTAGCTGTGCGCAGCCTGTCTGCCCTGGGTCCTAACGAAGTTGGGATCAAAATCGCCGCCACTGCAATCAATCCTGTTGATCGTAAAATGCGCGACTACGATGCATTCCTTAAGCAATACCCAGCCATTCTCGGCTCCGATGCTGCAGGCGTAATAGCGGCCATCGGATCTGATGTTAAGAATTTCCAAGTTGGGGATCGGGTGTTCTTCCAGGGTATCATCGGGATCTTCGAATCGTCGACGTTCCAGCAATACTGCAAGATGCCAAGCGAGCTCGTTGCAAAGACGCCGAAAAACATAACCGATGAAGAAGCTGCAGGGGTCTCTCTTGCTTCTATAGCTGTAGTTACGGCGTTCTACAGTAAGGATGGGCACGGAATGACGCCACCATGGGAACAAGGAGGTCGAACCGCCGGACAGGGAAAATCTATTGTCATTATTGGCGGCGCTTCTTCTGTTGGGCAGTATGCTATTCAAATGGCTCGTCTCTCTGGGTATGAGCGCATCATCACTAATGCCAGTACGAACAACCACGAATTCCTCAAGAACAAGATCGGCGCCCACATCGTCCTGGATCGCTCCGACTCCACCCCAGAAGCCGTGGCCGCAGCATTGGGCGATGTCCCCCTCGATTTCGTGTTTGACGCGATCTCTGTTCCGCCCACTCAGAAGCTTGGGGTTCAAATTCTGCAGAAAGCGAACGTGTCTAGCAGCCAAAAGCATCTTGTCACTGTCCACGTAGTTGAGCCTGACGCTCCGAGCCCAGAAGCGGTGGAACTTGGTAAGAGTCAAGAACCTCGAGTAGAAATCCGACAGATTCTTGGTATTGGAAGCTCTCCGGCGTTGAGACCGCTTAGCGAGCCTTTCGCAAAAGCAATAGGCGGTGAGGATGGATATATTGCGCGGGGGCTCTTCACTCCAAACCGGCCCCATGTGGTTGCTGGGGGTCTGGCTGCGCTGGAAGAGGCACTGGATCTCAACAAAAAGGGCGTCTCGGGGAAGAAAATCGTCATTCACCCATTCGATGCTCGAATCCGCGACACTACGCCCGCAACAGTGACGATCCTCTACCCACGTAAAGAAGGCTGGAATTTCGATCTCGACTACTACCTCTCGAAGCATTTGCCGCTCTCCGTTAAGCACTGGAAACCGCAGGGCCTCAAGTCCTACCGGGTCACCAAGTTCGCTGATGATCATCCGTATACGTACGGCTGCGCTATGAACTGGGAGAACATCGACGCCTTCAATAGAGCGAGCCAGCAGGAGAGCGGGAAGGAAGTTTTGGGGGATATTCCGAATTTCACAAGTGAGCAGCCGGTTCTGATGGCAGGCGAGGTGGTGGGATCGGGCTAGTGGATTGCATTGATGGAGGCGAACGCCTGCCTCCTATAGCAGATTTTGAGTCTTTTGGACTTGCAGTTATTCCTGCTTCCTATCGTATTTCAGATTAGTGTTGAGTATTGAATAGCGAATTTATTTTTAGTTTTCAATATTTTTTCCTTAGTAGAGTGAAGGAGTCATTTTCCCTAATGCAGGACTGCTGTAGGTTACGAGACGAAGTCCTGGGTTCTCATCACCCCCACATTGTATTCTCGCAGGCAGCGCATGCAGCATGGCAACTAGAGGCTATAGAGATTAGCGAGTAGAGCACTCCGTAATGAGAGCAGAACACGGCTGCGATAAAGCAGCAGGCCTACGTGATACCAAGATAGGGTAGCGTGTGCGCAGTAGTAGTTCGCTTACTAAACGTGTTGAGATGCAGAGTACGTGAGCGGTAATATGGGTTGCCACCGCCACCAAGGGGATGGCCGACCTGGGTACTTCCGGAACTTGGCTCGACCACATCCCGTTAGCTGACATAATTGGCACTAGTGCTGTCGCTGAGCCAACCAAGCTATAGTTCAAGATCTAGCTCACGTCGTGAGGACACTTGTGCAACTTCATTCAAAACTGCGTGCTACGTTCTTCTATTTTTGCTCGTGGAACATTGGTCTCCTTGTGTTTTGTTTTATGTCCGACATCGCGCAAATACCGTCGTCTCATGTTGAGAAAGCTTATAGGTCTCAGATATGTCTATGGCTGTGTAGCCGCCCTTTTTCCAGAAGAGGAAAAAAATGCAAGGAATTCGGACTTGATGCATGATTTCCTCGATTAGCGATACTGCCTCAACTAGTGAGAATCACATGAGGAGCATTTGCAGCACTAAGCTGGCGCATTATGCAAGCATCGCTACCGTCCTCTCTGAGCAAGTGCCTTCACGAAGCGACAGGCCTTTTTACAGTTACATGTTTCACGTTAGCTGTAATGCACTCTGCCCCGGCTGAATATCATCGGCATTATCAGTCCTTCGCCGTTTCGGACTCTCGCTGCGGTGTGCGCTGGATACAGGCAAGCTTGCAGGGAGAGACATGGCGCGTTTCCTTTTCAGGGGAGCTAGGCGCGGCTTCGAGTCTTCGTCAGGCGGAGGGGTAAGAGGATTGCAACTTTCTTGTGCAGTATCCAACCAGGAATTGACAAAATTGTGCTGAGCTCTCGAGCGGCTAATACATTAGCGCATCGTCGTTGAAGGAATGATAGTTTGTGGATGCTTAGCCCCGCGATTCGTTTTCGCAGCGGCTCGGCGATTGGCGCGCTATCACGTGATTTACAATCTGCAGCACGGTCATCGCGCTTGCGACAGCTTATCAGGCCCCACTTTTAATTCCCGCTTTAAAGCCGCTGTAGAGCCCGGCACGCCGTGTAGAGCATTCTTAAATCAGCATAGATCTCCATTTGTTCATTAGTTGCAAAGATGTAACGGAGTAGAAACATCAGTATAAAGAGATTATGAAACTTTTATTCTAAGTAGAAGGCTGATAGTACCTTATCTCTGACACAATAGACTGCTATATGCAACCGATCTACCACCTTGTGTGTCCTCCCTTTGCATCTATTACCGCCTAGCACCGTTCTTTCATGCTGCTAATATACTTCCTCACGTCCTCTAAGCTTAGCGCTGTCTACTCCCTTTCTATGCATGTTCGCAACTCTGCCAAAGTACGTAAGGATCTCTTGCTCACCCTCTGCTTCAGTACCTGCTACACGTTTTCAATCGGGTTTAGATTAGGGGAGTTCGCTGGCCAGCTCATTCTGTCTATGTTTATAGTCTCGTGAAGCTGTCTAGTGAGCTTAGCCGTGTGTAAAGAGGCCCTGTCTTCCATCAGCGTGGCATGCTTTAAGCGGTTCTAAGCATGATACGCTATCTAGTCTATAAAATGGTACACCTAAGGGAGCACTCGTTCTCTGTACACTTAGCTAGTGAGCTGGCCCCATTCCTTCTTAAACACCACAACCGGGCCCTTCCCAAACGCGGAGATACTGCTGTGGATCGTCCAGGCAGCGTAGGTCCTCAGCTTGGGAAGACAGCAAGCCTAGTCGTACTTCTCTTCTAGCCGCCGAGTAACATAGGTCCTTCCGAAGCTTTCCGTCAAGAACGAGGACTCATCGGTCCAGACGACCTAGGCCTACTGCTCCAGCTTCCAGTCTGCATGCTCAGATGCCTACGCCATGCGCACCTGTTTCTGCGCTTCTGTTAGCCACAGCTTAGAGGTAGCCACGCGGCGCCTATACGATTCTTTCTTAAACGCTGCTGCCAGCGCTTTCCGGCCAGCTGTAACGCCTTCCAGCTGGGCGATCTGTTTATAGGGCATCTGACAGTGAGTAGCATCAAGCGTCGCGCGAGCAATGAGACGCTTCCAAATGTCGTCGGTAATGGCAGGTCTTCGACCGACGGGCTTCTTCGGCATCTCCAACCCAGACCTAAGCACAGACTAGACTGTTGTTTAAGGCAGTCCCATGCTCGCGGCTATCAGCTCTGCTGGCTAGAATAGATTATAGAGTGTGAAGATGCGGCAGCGTTGTTTGTACGTCAGTCTGGTCCCTGGACGGCGGGACGGATCCTGGTTGCGTTCCGATGGTCGTAGCGTACGCTGTATGCGCATCTTTGAAGCGATGTTAGGCATGTCTTGTTGATATTTGTGAAAAAGAAAGTGCATACGTCTGTAAATGCTCTTATAGACATTGTGCGCTCGTTCTCTTACATTCCATGACGCTTCCATGGCTGAGTACTATTTATGTGCCACCCATACCAGATTGACAATCAAAAGAACTCAGTTGATGAGGAGATTGCCTTTCTTGAGAACATTGTTGTGGATAGATTAAATGTGACAGGCTGTAGCTCGTAGAACGTAAGACCCCTAATCTACGTACCCCCAATCGGGACAAAGAAATCAGCAGTGGCTATGTGCATGCATTGTCACCCCGACATGCGCCCTTCGGACAGAGCCGATCAAGAAAAATATTTGAAGGCTGTATTGCGAGAATGTTCCGTTACATAGAATGACATAATGGAAGTACGACAAGGTGTATATTCTTCGCCTAATCAGCAAGGACGCTCCGTCCACCATCTTCTGACAGCCTTGCCCTCACTTTGACTCGGACATAAGACCCTGAAGTTTCGGTTGTTGATGAGCGGCTGAGACTACCTATAGCTGACATCGCACTGGGGGCAAACAAAAGAGCTTCTCCGGTTCCGAGGCGGACAATTTTCTCGAAAATTTCCTGTGGCGTTTCTTTGCGGCTGTTAGCTGGGCCATCCTGAGAATCGGCTCCACTTGGTCCCTGTTGCTGCATGAGTGCAACATGGGCCGCGAGGGCTCGCAACCATGCTGGTGAGGAAAATCGGTGGATGATGGTAACGCTGCAAAGGTCTAAGAAAGACGGCGCTATGGTTGGCTCTTGCGTGGACACAAACACACGCACTCCCAAATGTCTTTGCAGCCTTACAGTCGACAGAAGCGTGTTTGTAAGCACCGAAGATTCAGGAGATCCGGTCATGTACTTTAAGGTACGTCAATAGCCAAACAGCAAGCTTGGTTAGAACGATATTACTCACCTTGTGCGCTTCATCCAGTGCAATGACTCGACCGCAAGTCATGCTTTGCTCGAGGAACAGACTCAAGCAAATATTAAACAACGAACAAGCTGTTTCTGGTGCGATGCATGGGCATGAGAGGTCGACAATTGTCAGTAAGCCTGGCTGATATTTTGTCAGTCTTGCTGCGATATGTACGCTGCTGAGTGAGCATAATAACCTGATTTTCCCATGAGGAGCCGCTGCCTCCTGGCCTTGGCATAAAACTCTCGAGTGTGGCAAGGCGTTGGTTGAGCGGTGCCAATTGAGCTGGTGTCAGGTCTGCGGCCAGTAGCTCTGATTTGAAGGTCTCGTAATTGAACCTTGCACCAGTCGCTTGCTGAGATAGCCGCATCTCTCTCAAAATGCGATTTAATGTGTGAATGTATAGTGGAACACTCCCTTCCTCTGATTTGACGGCCATGAGATCGAGGATGCGCTTCGTATTGAGATCACCACTATCGATTTGAAGTGGATTTATATCAACATTCAATTGTTGGTAAGTCCTCTTGGTTCTGTCAGCTTTGAATCTAGCATCATGTATTGTGAGACTAACTCGGATGGTGTTGATGTTGGTTGGTGCGCATACAACCCTTACGCGAATACCGGGCAAGGATGATAGAAAAGCGGCCTCGCAGGGAGAGCCGCCATCGTCGGATATAAATGTATCATAATGAAAAAGTAAGGCGGAAAGCGGCTTTGGTAGCACTGCAGCATCTGAGCGGGCCAAGCAATTCTCCAAAAGACAGGACAACGTATGGCTCTTGCCGGATCCTTGGGAGCCACAGATGAAAATGCTGGAGGGTGCTGTGGTGTTGAAGAACAGCCGTTTGTCTCGATGGCCTCCATGTGAACCACTTTGATCCGTAGAAATGCAGTGTTCCGTTGCTAGTCCTGCCAAAAGACCATACTGGAATAATTTGTGAGGCTTGGGTTGCATGTCGACACCGATGGAGTGTAACGAAAATAGAGGTAAGTTGTTTAAATAGTCCACTCGATCCGCCTGCTTTCTATCATGTTTTTCTAACAAGCGGCCATGGCGCTCTCTGACAGACAAGGTGGTCAGGGCGGAAAACTGATGATCGTGCATCTCAACAACGAGGCTTTGCTCTGATTCAAAAGGAGTGTATCATCAAAAACAATGCTACAGTGAGTCAATTTATAATGCAATGAACTTTGTATGACTTATGGATTTTTTGAGACGAAAGGTTGATTGGTAGCTCTCACTATCTTTGTTGTAGAATGTCACTGGTCCTTATCGAGCAAGACCGGTATATAAACTTTAAAGCCGATAAGAGTATCTATGATCGACCACCCAATCTCAGATGATCCGGAGAATAGATAAGCGGATTACTCTTTTTAAGTTACATAGTGGGTCTTACCAAACCTTTGTGTTGATAACATTGTTGATAGACAGATTAATATCGAGCTACGGGCACTTTTTTCAATCGACGAAACAATTGGATCAAATCATGATGGCGTCTTCAGAAATCAGAATAGCAGAGAATACAAATAAAGCTCTTTCGTATCCTTTCATTGCTTCCATCCTTCACTTCTATACACTACCAAGAACACATACTTTTTTCTCTATATATCTTGAAGATCAATTGGAGAACCTTGATATTTGAGGCATGGCAACTCCAGCATACATAGCTTCACTCCAAAGAGATTTGGCCTACTCTTTTTCGAATATGAGAAACCTGGTCGAGGCGCTTCGAGCACCAGGCGCTGGCTTCGATACGCACTTCAATATTCAGGGGGTAGACGGATACAGACGTCTAAGTCAGCTTGGAGAGAGTCTCTTGCGGATGATTATCATTGACGAGGGGTACACTCGAGGCGATCAGCGCGGTCAGTAAATCAATCTGAATGCACATCCCTTCTGACATCTTCAGCAACGGTCGATTCCCACCTGCAAAGCCTCCCTGCGCGAGCTCTGCTGTGTGGAAATCAGATGAACCTCGGGGACTGCATTAGTATGAACCCGAGTCAACAGGGGACAGCGCCATCTCCCAAGATGATCACCCAGTCAACAATTGCATTGTTTGCGGCAATATATGTTGATTCTGGGCGGGATATCGCCCAGCTTAAGGCGATCTTGTCCCATGTTGGCCTTTTGGATGATGGTGCTCACGCGAACGCTGACATGGCCGATAGCCCATGAACTAAGTATGGACAAATCGTTGGCAAATTGGCCAAACGGCTGTTTTGCACACTTTTCGATCGATATCTGACACCTCATAGGTGTCAAGTGATGCATATACCTGGTTTAGGCTTCGGACAAAATTGAATGGGGAAGAGCTGGGTGGGTTCTCAAATTGAGGGACATTGATGCTGCATTGGTTTTTATCAAGTTGAGATGAGTTACATTTGCGGGTGACAGATAGATTTAGTGGGCATGCTTCATAAAATAAAATCGGATCTTAAAACCTGAGATGATTCTACCTTTGTGGCTATTGCCTGCACGAGAGGCGTTGCAAAAGAAGATTGTGAGATGGACGCTAGACGTCCTAAACGGCCCAGCAACAGCCTCCCACAGCTGCGCTACATGTCGAGGTACTTGGTTAGCATCGTTCCAGTGTAGGAGCCCTTCCTAACCCTAGGCTGACCAGTTCTGGCTCCTGCTCCGGGTTTGTGATGGATCCTAATGTGGCTCCCTAGCACCGATCTAGCGCAGATGGCAGATCCGGTAGAAGCTTTTACCACACCTCGTACTGCTGTTGAGGAATGATTGCGTCTTTTGTCTGATATTGCGAAAATCGTGGAGTGACATGGCACCGAGTGCCACAGCTAAGTTGGAGTGAGACGCGTTACTACCGCCGAGGTCAACTACTGAGCCTGGCCAATAAGCGCTCGTTTGCTGGCACGGTTAACGTTCCACGGTCATCGGTGCCAGCAGCCAAGCATTGATTGGCTAGCGACTAACCGCTAGAAATTTATGGCTATCGCACCGTCAGTTCGACTAAATCAAGAGCGCTCCACCCCGCTGAGATGGAATCCTTACCATCTTCTTTCAAGACGTAGTTACCATTGACTGTGATTGTATCACCGAGCGTGAAACATCGACGTATCATCCGGCGTTAAGGCAACATCCTCGTCCTCAGCAACCGAAAACCGGACTGTACTAGGTTGTAGTGCTAGGACTCGTTCCTGCTGCGACTTTCTTCCTAGATATCAACAACGCTGTAAGCTATGACCGTGGAAATTGGATGAGTTTGAAAGGGATTCTAAGTCGGACTTTGCCGTAATAGGTTAGCGCTCAGGAACGGCAGCGACCTAGGGGCGGATCCCATTGCGGAAGCCAAAGGGAGCCATGGCACGCAGGCTGCCCCAAAACATACTCATCGCCTCCAGGATTGCGCCGATGGCAATAGTCTACCAGTTTAGTGAAGAAGCGCAGAACAATTCCTCACATAAAGAGCTCACACTTGTACTTACGAGTCGTAGTTATTAGTACAAGATGCGGTCAGAGCGCTCTCGAAAATGCACTAGACCAGCTCTACAAAGCCACATTGCGGCTCGTAGTCAGATCCACTGCGGGAGCCAGAGGACGCAGTTCGGGGTGGCAGAATAAGCTTCCGGTAACCGAGCTTAAGCGGTTGCTGCCTAATCTCCAGCCCGAAAGGATGTGGGCCCGGATCCCCCTTGAAGTCTTTCTGTTTCTTTATTCCTTTGCCTTCTGGCCATGCGTCTTCTTGATTCCAAAACTCTCCGCTTTGAGGTGTTCGAAGATGCCTTAATTCCTAGGTACGCAATCTTATCGCACACATGGGGCGATGGCGAGGTCTTGCTGCAAGAAATGGAAAAAAATGCCGCAACGAACAAAGCAGGATACCACAAAATACTTCAGGGAGCCGCGCTAGCACTCAAAGATGGTATATCCCACATATGGGTTGACACCTGCTGCATTGATAAATCTAGCAGTGCGGAGCTGAGCGAGGCCATTAACTCAATGTATCAGTGGTATCAGAAAGCGGAAGTCTGCTACGCATATCTTTCAGACGTTTCTGGCACGACAGACAACATTTTCGGCGCTTCTACACTTTCGGAATTCGAAGAGAGCAGATGGTTTACGCGTGGATGGACGCTCCAGGAGCTATTAGCTCCAAATCAATTGTTATTCTTTGATAAGAATTGGCAGTGCATCGGGTCCAGATCAGATCTAGAAGAGCATGTGACAAGGATAACTAGCATCGACAGTGCTGCTCTAGGGGGGAAAGAGTTGTGCTCATTCACCGTGGCTCAACGAATGTGTTGGGCGTCCAACCGTACAACCACACGAGTCGAAGATCTTGCATATTGCCTACTAGGTATTTTCGATGTCAATATGCCTCTACTATACGGCGAGGGGCAAAAGTCATTCATAAGACTTCAAGAAGAGATCATGAAGAGCACAGAGGATCAGACCCTCTTCGCATGGAAAGACCCTGACCTTCCTCCATCGTTCTCCACCGGCCTGCTCGCGCGTAACCCAGGCTGCTTCGTAGATTCAGGATCCTTTTCATCCCCAGAGGTTTGGAGAAGGAGCGTTCCGTCAGAATTAACAAGTAAAGGCATATACACCAATCTCTTCTTGATTTCTAGCGGTACGGCAGATATCTATCGAGCCTGTCTCAGCTGCACCGTCAACCCTCTTTCCAACGACAGCCCGGCAATTCATCTCCGCAGAATATCGAACTTGAGGACAACGTTCGAGAGGGAAAATGAATATACCAGGATATCAGCTGGTCGACTCGACATATTGGGTGGTACAGAGAAGGTTGAGGGCAAACACGAGGAAGTGTACGTCAGGAAGCTCGATGATGTGCGCCTTAACCGAGTTCAAGAATATCGTAATGTCAACGTTTTCTGGATAAGCATTGGATCATGTCGCGTGTACCCTGATAGTCAGTGGGACCCGCAATCGGAGATTTTCTGGTCACAAAATACAGCCGATGGGAAGGCGGGGGTGGTATATTGTCGTTCCCTGACGACCCCATTCTTGATCATACTCGGCATTTCTCCCTCAAGGCGGCCTTGGTGTCATACCAAAACGACTACTTGGACAGACCCTCTTGGAGCTTGGGAATCATATGAGCCCGATGGGACAGAGTGCGCTGAATCTTACCTGGATCTGGATGACTCTAACACAAGTCTCCGACTCGGTGCGGAAAGAGAGCGCTTTTCCGTATTCGTAGAGATGAAGAAATACATGGTGTATAGCACAGCAGTCTATAGAGTGAAAGCAATGTCAAGAAACGGGGACACAGGAGAAAGCTCTCGACTGTAGATATACCTGAAATGGGCATACTGATTTCACGGCCCTGATAAGTAAAGGTATTCAAACTGACCAGCGACCTCTTTTGTTTTCGATTTGTCAAGTAGTTGACGCTCGCAAATATGGCAACATCCTAATCCCGGGCTGCGGGTATCTGTCTCTGTACGCAACATAATGTTGGATGAACAAAAAAATTTCTTCGAGAGAAGATCACAGAGAGTGTGAGAATATGGTTTCTTGGTAGTTGCACTAGCAACCATAATTTCCATTGTACCCCGCATCACTACGCCGGTATGAAGTACCAAGGCTGGCACTGCGATGATGTTCGGATTGAACGAATTGACGTGAGAGGCTACTGACAATTCCGATACTCTGATTCCTATGCAAGTAATCAGCTAAACCATTGAAATTACTCTTCACACGCAAACTCCATAATGAATGTATGCTCACATCTGATACAGCTAGACATTTATCGTGCTTCTAGAAGCAATACTATGCAATCTTTTTGATGAGAAATAAAAGGCTTAGCAGCAAATTTAGTGGTACACATAGCTCAATAGCAAGACAAGTTTCTCACATGCAGCTAGCCACATAATATGCAACAAAGGAGTGTATATTGCTGGTTTACTTCATAAAGACAAAAGGACATGATGTAATGAGTGACTAACTTTCAATGACACAAACATCCCCTCAGTACGATGTCACACTACTTTTGCAAGCGCTTTATAAGGTGCTGCACCTCCACCAAGTCTCGATCACAATCCAACCAAACTGCTCCGATGATTGCCTCAACCGTGGAGGCAAGCGTAGTCTTCGGTTCCTGTCCCGCCCTGACAGGGATTTCCCTTCAACCACGTGGTTAACTTCCATTCCTTTGTGATGGTTTTCAATTTTTCATTTGTGCCGACGTCTTGGACCATGTCGTGGCCAACCTCTTCGCCCTGTTAGTCAAGTTCCAGTATGTTACTTTTACCTACTAGTGCTTTCTCCGCTGGGGAACCACTCCTCCAAGACACTGAGACGTAGAAAAGCGTCCCCAATCAGAGCTAGACGCTTGTTCCCCAATATGTCGCCATCAACATCGGGCCTCGATTTCGCAGCCCCGGCAGCTACGAAGGCCTCCTCGAGGAGGTGGACATCGTGGAAAGAATATTTGAGTTGGTTTTCCAAAGATTTGTAATAAGCCATTTTAACTCACTCTGGCAGGAGTGGAGTTGCGAGACGATCTTTCATTGAGTTGCACCTCTAATTACTGTACATCCCTGCGTAACGGAATACCCAACGTACCGCAACAAGGTGCTCTATTCAAGCATCTTGTAAACGAACTTATAAAATAGAAGACATTTGAAACCCATTTAATTGATAAATAGCCCATCCTTTCCAGTCCAGTCCAAGCAGCTTAGGAAGAGATGCTGTTTCAAGCATGCTGTCGGTCAATCCGTTGAGGGCGACTTTTCGTGTCTCAGCTTCCAATTCCAACCGCAGCAACAACTCGATGAAATATTCAAATCCGGAACTTCAAGATAAATCTACAGTATCGAAGCTCTATGTTAGCCAAGTGTAGTGAGCGGAAGACTAGAACATATCAAGTCCGAGAGCTCCGAAGGAAATCAGTGCCTTCTGGATCGTAAGGTATTGGCGCCTCGGCAGCATTATGTCAAAGTATTGAAATCTACGCTATACCTTATCTGTCAGCGTTCCGGCAGACGAGGATCTCTGTGATTTATGTGTGTCCTATCCTATTTTTAGTACCCTTTCTTCCCCGTTCCGCCCAAGGCTGACTAAGGTGGCCCCGCTATCGATAGCGATGTGCCACTCTTCCTACTTACCTGCGACGACTTCTACTAGCACACAAAGCTAGGAACAGACAAGTGCAGCGCTCCTGCCCTTTCGTGCAGTCTTATGTAACTCTATGGTAGCAACAAGACTACAGTCTTTCTGAGAACTTGCTAATCTGGTTAGTTAGGACTAGCATCGCCGCCAGACGAGTCGTTGATGTTGCTCGTTTCAGCTAGGCTGCCACGTTAAGATCCCGCCGCGACCTGCTCCTACTCTACGCACGAACATGCGCCTTTTACAACGTCGCAATGAAGATAATTATCGTCTCACATATTTTGACGAGGGGACTATACCTCCTTACGCCGTACTCTCTCACAGATGGGGACAAGACGAGGAAGAAGTTACCCTAGCCGACATAACAAACGGCACAAGAAAGGACAAGGCTGGCTACAGAAAGATCCGGCTCTGCGCAGAACAGGCTGCCCGGGATGGTCTGACATACTTCTGGGTCGATTCGTGCTGCATTGACAAGGAGAACTACGCCGAACTCTCGTTCTCTATTAATTCCATGTTCCGATGGTACCGCAACGCAGCTCGGTGCTACGTTTACCTACTAGATGTCTCTAAGATTCCTGCTAGCGAGGATGGGACTGATCCAACGCCATGGGAATCAGAGTTTCGAAAGAGCGAGTGGTTCAGCCGCGGGTGGACGCTTCAAGAGTTGCTTGCGCCTAGCATAGTCGTGTTCTTCTCGCAGCATTGGGAGAGGATTGGCGACAAGACATCGCTGAAGCGGCAGATCCGCAAGATAACCGGGATCCCGGATGCTGCGCTTGAAGGAGCGCGTCTCTCTTCTTTCAGCGACTATCAGCGATTTTTGTGGATGGAACGCCGTCAAACGAAGAAATCAGTTGATAAAGCATACGCTCTATTGGGCATTTTCGACGTTAGCATGATGCTCAACTACGATGAAGGGGTTGAGAGTGCCTTTAGACGGCTTCAAGAAGAGATTGACAGACTGAAGCGATGCCTGCAAGACTTGCGGCTTACCGACCCGCGCGACGATAAGAAGCGCATCGAAGACACAAAGGGCGGATTACTCAAAGACTCATACCGTTGGATCCTCCAGAATTCGGAATTCGGCCAATGGCGCAACGACCAGCAGAGCCAACTGCTATGGATCAAAGGCGATCCTGGCAAGGGAAAGACGATGCTGCTCTGCGGCATTGTTAATGAGCTAGAGGAGTCCGTGGCTTCAACAGCTCTTGTCGCCTACTTTTTCTGCCAGGCGACAGACTCGCGCATCAACAGCGCTACAGCTGTGTTACGCGGTCTACTGTACGTGCTTGTCGGCCAGCAGCCTTCGCTCATCTCTCATATCCGAGCGAAGTATGACCACGCAGGCAAAGCGCTCTTTGAAGACGCAAATGCATGGGTTGCGCTCTGCGAGATCTTTACAAACATTCTCCGAGATCCGAACTTGAGCCGCACGCACTTACTTATTGATGCGCTTAACGAGTGTGTAGTTGACCGACAGAGGCTGTTAGACTTTGTGGTCGAGCAGTCATCTTCGTCGTCAAGCGTCAAGTGGATTGTATCCAGCCGTAACTGGCCAGAAATCGAGCAAAAGCTTTCGACGGCGGGGCATGGGGTGGGGCTGAGCCTTGAGCTGAACGCGGAGTCTGTGGCTGCCGCCGTCAATGTATTTATTCAGCAGAAAGTAGCCCAGCTATCGCAGAGCAATAAGTACGATGCCGGAACAAGGGACGTAGTGCACCGCCATCTGTCTTCGAACGCAGATGGCACGTTTCTCTGAGTAGCGTTGGTATGCCAGGGCCTTCAAGCCGTCCCAAAGCGGCATGTCCTGAAGAAGCTAAGCAGCTTCCCGTCTGGGCTTGACTCCCTGTACGAACAGATGATGCTACACATAGCCAGCTCAGATGATGCCGACCTTTGCAAAGAAATCCTGGCCGTCGCTGCTACTGTATATCAACCGCTTACGCTACAGGAGATGGTTACGCTTGTAGAGCAATTTAAAGCCGCGGTGGATGATCCTGAAACTGTGCAAGATATTATTGGCCGCTGCGGCTCGTTTCTTACTATACGAGATAGTATTATCTACTTTGTGCACCAGTCCGCAAAGGACTTTTTAGTTGAAAAGGCTGCTAACACCGTTTTCCCGTCTGGCACGGAAAATGCGCACTATAAAGTTTTTTGCAGATCCCTCCAGATTTTATCCGACTCGCTTCATCGAGATATGTACAATCTGGGTGCGCCTGGATATCCTATCGAGCGGGTTGCACTGCCAGACCCAGATCCGTTAGGAAAAGCACGCTACTCGTGTATTTACTGGGTGGACCATCTGCGTAATTGCGGTTCGACCACTACTACAGGACCCCATATTAACTTACAGGACAAAGGAATCATTGAAAAATTCATACAGCAAAAGTACCTCTACTGGCTAGAGGCACTCAGCCTTTGCAAGAGCATGCCAAAAGGAGTGGTCTCTATGGCAGAACTGGAGGCTCTCATATATGTAATGTCTGGAGTACTACTGTACATATAGAGAAGGCTAACGTGACATAGAGAACAACAGCCGGTCCTAAGTTAGTCGATTTGGTCAAAGATGCGCGTCGGTTCATCATGTACCACAACAGGTCGATAGAGGAGGCGCCTCTTTAAGCATATGTTTCAGCTCTGGTGTTTAGCCCTACATCCAGTTTCATCCGGAAATTGTTCGACAAGGAGGCACCGCCTTGGGTCTCTATAAAGCCATCAATGACAGAGAACTGGAGCGCCTGTCTGCAGACGCTCGAGGGCCACAGCGGTCCAGTCTACTCGGTGGCCTTCTCTCACGACTCGACGCGGCTGACGTCGGCGTCGCACGACAACACTATTAAGGTCTGGGACGCAGCGAGCGGCGCCTGTCTACAGACGCTCAAGGGCCACAGCGGTTGGGTTAGGTCAGTAGCCTTCTCTTACGACTCGACGCGGCTGGCATCGGCGTCGCATGACAACACTGTTAAGGTCTGGGACGCAGTGAGCGGCGCCTGTCTTCAGACGCTCGAGGGCCACAGCAGTTCAGTCAGGTCAGTAACCTTCTCTCACGACTCGACGCAGCTGGCATCAGCGTCGCATAACAAGATTGTCAAGGTCTGGGACGCAGCAAGCGGCGCCTGTCTACAAACGCTCGAGGGCCACAGCGGTTGGGTCAGCTCAGTGGCCTTCTCTCACAACTCGACGCGGCTGGCATCGGCGTCAGACGATAAAACTGTCAAGGTCTGGGACGCAGCCAGCGGCGCCTGTCTTCAGACGCTTAGGGGCCACAGCCGTTCAGTCAGCTCGGTGGCCTTCTCTCACGACTCGACGCGGCTGGCATCGGCGTCGGACGACAAGACCGTCAAGGTCTGGGACGCAGCGAGCGGCACCTGTCTGCAGACGCTTGAAGGCCACAGCGGTCCAGTCAGCTCGGTGGCCTTCTCTCACAACTCGACGCGGCTGGCGTCGGCGTCGGTCAACAACACCGTTAAGGTCTGGGACGCAGCGAGCGGCGCCTGTCTACAGACACTCGAGGGCCACAGCAATTGGGTCTGGTTGGTGGTCTTCTCTCACGACTTGACGCGGCTAGCGTCGGCGTCGGACGACAACACTGTTAAGGTCTGGAACGCAGCGAGCGACGCCTGTCTACAGACGCTCGAGGGCCACAGCGGTTGGGTCAGCTCGGTGACCTTCTCTCACGGCTTAACACGGCTGGCGTCAACGTCGCACGATAAGACTATTAAGGTCTGGGACGCAGCGAGCGGCGCCTGTCTCCAGACGCTCGAGGGCCATAGCCATTCGGTCTGGTCGGTGGTCTTCTCTCACGACTCAACACGGCTGGCATCAGCGTCACGTGATAAGACCGTTAAGGTGTGGGACGCAGCGAGCGGCGCCTGTCTGCAGACGCTTAAGGGCCACAGCGGTTGGGTCAGGTCGGCGGCCTTCTCTCATGACTCGACGCGGCTGGCATCGGCGTCGCTCAACAGTACTGTTAAGGTCTGGGACGCAGTGAGCGGCGCCTGTCTCCAGACGCTCGAGGGCCATAGCCATTCGGTCTGGCCGGTGGTCTTCTCTCACGACTCAACACGGCTGGCATCAGCGTCACTTAATAAGACCGTTAAGGTCTGGGACGCAGCGAGCGGCGCCTGTCTGCAGACGCTTGAGGGCCACAGCGGTCAGGTCAGCTCGGTGGCCTTCTCTCACGACTCAACGCGACTGGCGTCGGCGTCGGTCGACAACACCGTCAAGGTCTGGGACGCAGCGAGCGGCGCCTGTCTGCAGACGCTTGATATTGGCCGTCCACTCTCTACTCTGTCATTTACTGCTTCTAACTCCGGTCTTCTTACAGATATTGGTGCTATCACCTTTAGTCCTGCATCATTATCCAATATCGCTACTGTCCAACAACTTGAAACCCCTCAGTACGAGGCCGCAGGACTGAGTTCTGACACGACATGGATAACGTATAATTCGCAGAACGTAATTTGGCTACCCTCAGAGTATCGTCCTTCTGATTCAGCTGTATCAGGGAACAGGATTGGTATCGGGGTAGGATCTGGAAGGGTATGGATGTGTGATGTTGAGCTTACAAAATGCTAATCTTTGCAGCGCTGTTTGCATACATTATAAAGCTTTATTTCTCTTCTCTTATATTTGTCTACTCTCTTTACTTCTAAGGGGGCCGGGGAAAGACATGAATATATAGCTCAATGATTTGCCACATTGAACCTTCTAGACTTCTCTTTACAAATCTAAAAGAAATGCTAGCTTGCTCCTACCTTACAAAGCATAGTGGTTGACTTTAACGCTAGTTGGTTAGTAAGCTTGTTGTTCCGCGACGTAGGGCTGGCAGCTTAGGAAGTAGGGAAGCCACGTGCTATAAGCCAAGTATGAGTTAGGCTAAGCGCTTCGAGAAGGTAAAAAAAAGTATAATAACGCGCTTGTAAGCGTATCCTAATCAGTATCTAATTGGCTGGCTATTCTCTGATGTACCAAGCAGGGGTGGCAATCTGCATGAATTGCACGCCATCTACAGCCTTTTCGCTCAAATAGACCTTACATAACTAGTAATAGGTTCTTAGGGCACTAAAGAAGGATTGTAGAAATGATAAAGTTACAGAAACTTAATCTTGACCCTATAGACGATAGTGCTTAATCTCGCTTAAACAGGTATACCTTTGTAAACAAGGGCAGGACACATCTAAGCAATAGTGAATTTATGATAGTTGGGATGAAAAGGGAAGAGACGAGGTCTAAGTACAAAGCTTGAGAGATCTGCCTTTTGAATATATTGAATGGCAGGTTTGTTTCGTCCCAAAGTCTAAGTACCGGTAGATTGGTCCGGTACGATGGGTATTCCGTTACGGAGGGATGCACAGTATATATTTTGCAAATCAGGCGAGTTAGTTCCAACATGGTTGGATCCAGCTACCCCGCATTGCTGTCCATATTTCAAATCTGCAGTGTAATGGACGGTGCGACCAGATGATGGTACAGGTTTCCATGGTTCAGAACAGGGCTATCCCAGACGTTGCTATAGTGTGCGACTATCGATTCCGAGGCGTCGCATTCGCTTCTTTTATTCACTCGGTGATAATCTTTCTCTGGCTGCACATATATCATGCATTGTTTAATCAAGCGTTAATTTGCGCTCTAGCAGTGCAATGTATGCTTGGTTATTACCCATACACTTACGAGAGGGTGAAAAACGATTGCTGCCAACACTCCATCACATTTCATAGATCGAATCGTAAGATAATATAGAGCGTGGTGGCCCTGGAAACTAAAGCCTGCGCTTTGGTAAGTGGGTTCGACGGAGGTGGTGGCCATGCATGGCAAGAATCATACACAATCCACAAGCTGCACACAGCACTCTTTGATCGGCTATTTCTACAACTTATCGCCTCCGGCATTGCGCCGGAGGCGATCATCAGGTGCCATTTTTGAAGACGTATAAACAATGTGCATTAGCGGGTGACGCGATGCAGGTTTGCTAAGCCTATGTGTCCGCACTTTTCTACGAACAAGCTCTTCTGGACTAGTGGGCGGAGGGTGGAAGAGACCTTGATCTCTACCTGATCCCGCTAAACCATAACAAGTAAAAGACATTTCGGTGAGGAACATGCAGGAATTGGCATCACTAGCTGATATGATCGGCGCTGGATCATGCATCTGTGCCATGAATACAAGGACATTAAAGGGCGTGTTTTATAGTGAAATTGGCTTCTTCTGTGTGAAGAGCTCCGGTTGAAATCCGTGTATGCTGATTAAAAACAGAAACTGGCGGTCTTGAGTGGATAGCTTGGGAGAGCACAACGCACTTATTCCATTCTCCGTTCTCGAAGCACAGTCTCAACGAAAGTGAGTTCTTCGAGAACAGCGTCTCTGAAATCAGATACGCCCCATCTCACTATCTTGCCTAAAGCCTGCACGAACTCTTTTGCCTCTCTTGCAATCGTCGTCTGCCATACTCGCAGTATAGTTATGTGATAGGCCTTATCAACTTGAAAGTGCACCTAGAGTTCGTGAATAGGGCCTTCTGTCACAACTAAAAAGAGGATTTCCCTCAATTTGGTTTGGCTTCTGAGAGCTTGATGCGTAGAAGTAGCTGCGGCCAGCTTCAGACCGCAAAGAATGTTAAGAGCACAGGCGCCGTTAACAGCAGCTTAGTTTTGTGCCCCTATCATATTTGACCCAGCCGCTAGGCCCTTCGCTTCTACAACTAGAAAAGGAAAATGTAGGCTAATTGCTGACTGGTGCGGCTCGCTGAAGACACGCCCATTGTCTTGGAGGTCCTATAGTATCTTGCCTTGGAGCTTTAAAAAAGATGTATAGGAGAGGCTGATAGCTATGTCTGGTTTGGGTATGGAAACACGATTCAGATCGTCAGTAGTGCAATCGCTGGGAGCATTGGATGGTGGGCTAAGAACCGGCGTCTGTGGAAGGACGGGATTAGGTAGTGGAGGAGGTGGAGGTGCAGTTATCGATAAATGAGTTTTGTAAGGACTAGGTATAGCAGGCGGGAGACCAAGTATGTCTTTAAAGGAGGGAGGGGCCGGCCTAAGCTCAGAGATCCATGTTATAATCTGATTAGCCACGTCACTGGAGCAAAACTGGTGGGCCTACGCTTCTCTGATGCACTTAGCTTTACAATCTCTGGCTACAACTCTTGAATTGGCTCTACGAGGCTGGAAAGCAAACAGCTCTTCCACTGACCTTCACTAGCACAGTCCTTAGCCATCTGCCTTGATTTGTAACAATACTTCTCTGTAAGCTCTCTGATTTTGTTGTCTATAGCTGGTGCAGCATATCGATTGTGGCTAAAAGATGCCTTCCTAATATCTTCTAGCATTACTACGCTAAATATGTGCTTAAGTTTATGCTCTACATCTAGCAGAGGCTTGTAGAGATAGTCTACAAAGATACTTGCATTAGACATGTTTTTCGATTAATACTAAGGACTTGTCTTCTTGCTTAGGCTCTAAGACCGCTGCTGTTGATAACTCAGCTTTGATGTCCTTCGCTGGCTGCTATTATTTGAGGTAACGCTCAGTGTCTGTGGGGGAGCTATTTCTACTCCGCTGCAGTTATTGCAATTATCTGTCTACTGTTTAATAGATTTTGCGTAGTCTGGGAATGCTGGTTTGCGCGAGGAGAGAGCTTGTAGAGCGTGGGGCGTTAGCGGTAGTGTGTGTAAAGGCTGTGTTGGTATATGAATTGGATAGCAGCGGTCGCCCCCGGAGGTTAGCTTGCGACGTTTCAAAAATGGAGTAACGCTGTAAGTCTGGTTAAGGTTAGGACAAGAAAGCTAACGCTTTATGTCGTGCCTAAGAATGCTGGTGCAGAGGGAGAGAGAATGAATGTTAGGTTATGTTTGTCTTGCTAAGAAAAACGTTCTAGCTATAGAGACTAGTGTGACCTTCCAAGAACCATATTAAATCTGGCTCTTGGTTAGCGCTTAGGGCTAGGCGCTTGCTAGGGGCAAGGACGCTATCGCGTAATGCAGGAGGCTCTGACCTAAGGTTGGCAAAACACCGCGCTACATACAGATGCATCTCGTTTATGTCTTTAGTTTTGGTTACTACAAAACTATCGCCTCTCGCATTGCCCTGGAGGCGATGAGGATATTTTGGGAACAAATGGAATTTCATGGTTAATCTGCGTACGTGCTATGGCTCCCAGATTAAGTTCCTGCAGTAGGACCCGCCTTAGAGCGTTACTCGTCACGGCAAACCTATAATATAGCTCTGATTTATAGCATTTAACTGACTCCACGTTATAAACCTCTACAGAACACTAACAGATCTTAGTACTGCTTTATTCCCTCTCCTAATATACGAAAGCCTAAGCTTAAACCTATAACATTGTCTACACTAGTGCATTTGCGATGGGGACAGCTAGTATATGTTCCCCCCCTAGGCTCCGTTTAAAGTCTTATTGTTTAGCTGACAAACGACTTGCTAGGCCCTCAATTTCAAGTTGGCACTCTGCTATTGCTACTGTATTAGGGACAGCAAATCCTTGCTGCAAACAAACTTGACTTATGTACCTGCATGTACTATTTTTATTACATTTTATTTAACAAGTCCTAGCTGTTCTTTTTATTAAATCTACTAATTCTGCAAGCGCTAGATCTGCGAGCGCTTGCATCACAGCTGTCCTGTCTGCTTGTTTTTAGTTATCGTATAAGGACGTAACGGCTGTTGTGCTATTTCTAGAACGATTAGCATCTGTGTTTAGTGGGTAGGAGGGTAGGGTTGAGGAAGGTACTGAGGAGATGCTGCTATTACTAACTATTGTAGAGGCGTAAGTAGGTTAAGGCTTGAACGGGTTTGCAAAGTTTATCTGTTAATGAACCGCGCAGCTTGAGGCAGCCTTTGCCTATTTACGCTCTTAATAACGTTGCACAAAGTTATTGCAGTCTTATAGGATTTCTGCTCTAACTTACTTTTGCGTAACTTGTACACTGAACCTCAAGTGTTACAAAAACGCTCTGCTCCTTACATTAGGTTCTAACCCCCATCCATCGCATCTCAACACTGTGTAATGGAGCAACCTGCACCCATCTAGCCTTGGACAACGCGAAGCGATGTTGTACAAGCTTTCGAAGCGTTCTCTTGTCACACCACCAAGGAATAGTTTACAATCGGCGAAGGCGGTTGGAGTGCTGGCCAGCTGTCCGCCATTACGCAATGCAGCTACAGTCGTGTCGCGACAGAGTTGCGCCCGGTGTGAGTTACACGAACATTGCAAATGCTGCGAATGCGGAAGAGCGCCATTGTGCGGAGGAACGTGGAAAGGATGTGGGGGGTGACTGGAGGATTGCGGTCTTGCGGCGCTTCGATAGTTGAAGGGTTCACCGCTGGACAGACGATATGGAAGAAGATGTAGGGGTTAGTCATCGCTGTGGCTGGTAAGTGTAGCTAACAGTTTACTGACTGCTTCGGAATTGGATCCTCGTGTTCCGAGCCTCCATCAGCCATGGACGCAGCAGCCACGAGCTTGGCTTATAGGATGAAAAGGTATTTTAGTTACATTACTGCAAATATAGGTTCTCTCAACGCAAGGCTCGCTTACAGTTTCTCCAGCTTACTGACGCTCGGTAACATGAACGCTCAGATTATGCGAGACATGCAGGTCGTGTATTAGTGAGGATCAGCAACTAGCTTCGGGCGGAAGTACCAGCGGGCGTGGCGATTCTACATGAATGTCTATGCGACATCAGCCACTAAGCTAGTAATGGTCTCTATGTATGCTAAAATGAACTGCATCCTTATCAGCAGATGCGGATCAGGCCATCGAGCGATGATGCGATGATTTTTTTGCATTGACTATGTACGGAGTACTCTCAGGTAGCAGTAGCATGAGATCCATAGGGAAAAATAGCAGACATCGATACGTGGGTTGAGTTGTAATAGTATAAAGTCGATGTACCGTTCGCATTTTTCGACCTGCAGGGAGGGCCAGCCGCTGCAAAAGCGAATCGCGGGGCTAAGCACACATCAGCTGACATTCCCTCCCCAAATCACGCCAGCGTGAGTTGCGAACTAAATGTCTCGCCTATCTCCTCAATATCATGGTCGCTTGGTTCCTCAAACAGCGATTCCACTAAATTCAATTTCAGATCTCTTGGCTTCATTCCTTTACTGAATCCTTCTTTTACCGCACGGTATATGACTTCTGCATAGGCCTCCTTCCAATCTTCAATGAATGCTTCTGCCTGGGCTTCTGTTCTGAAGTGTTTGTGGCAAGCATAGGGGGCTTTATCAGTTTCTTCAAAGGCACCTTTGTCTCCACTATATTTCATCAGCAAATCTATCGGTCGCGCACAGAATACGAACAACGCACTACCAGTAAGGTTTGATGCATGGCCCTTCTGACCCATAAGCTACTGCATAATACGCTGTATCGTTATTGGCCGGGGTAGTGTTCAATGCCGTCTCTTTTATCACCTCCTTGCATTCTGAAATACCCAACTCTTTCATGTACTGGCGAGCTTTTTCTATACTGGCGAATCCCTTCATTACAGCTTCACAGCCTGTCACCCTTGGGTGCGCATCTCCCCTAAAGCGAGCATTAGTATATACTACGCGACCACAGATATCGCTGCAGGTATTACCAGGAGGAGAATATCGTAGGTTCATCGACTCGACCCGAAAATACTGCATAATATTCTTTATTCTTCTTTCTTCCCATGTTTTTTTGCTTCTTTTTCGGGCTCTGGCTGAAAACGTTATTCTGATAGTTAGATAGCCTTGAGAGCGCTTGTGAGAGGTGTGTTGTGGATTATATAGCTATAAAGCCTTGGGTGCTGGAGCATGTGTGTAATATGATTTGATTGAATTAGTGGCGTTGAACCTTATAAGCAGGGAGTGCTAAGATAAGAACTGTAGGCGTATTTTGGGGAAAACACTGCTAAAACCTTGAGGGAGGGTGCGGGACAGTACCATCAGCATGCTGATGTTTTGCCACCCGTTAAAGCATAACCCCACACCTTATGACCCGGGAATTGGGCTCAACTGACCGGTCCTTCTTCTCTGTCATTATTCGCGATCATATACATGGCCCACTGTAGCCTGCTGGTGGTCGCCAGTTTTACAAGAACTCGAGATTACCATAATAAGAAAATCGATAAAAGCCTTCACCGGCAAGGCATAATAGCCAGGCAGCACTGCCAAGAAAAATGCAGACTGCGGCGTAGTGCAGAATAACTTGCAAGTAGCAACATCCGGTGAAGGTGCTTTGGCTTAAAAAACCCTTAGCGCAAGGGTGTCCCGTGGTATCTAATGCGTCTGGCGCTGGAAAAGGCCAACGTAGCAGGAGGATTCCCTCAAAATAGGACGGCAGAGACAGGCATGGTCACCAAGAAGATTGACGCAGCGTTCCACCTGGGCAAGTCAGTAGGGATGTAACAGCAGCTAAGCAGCGCTGAGGCTGCCATCCTCACGCAGCTACGAACCGGCAAGACGTTTCTCAACGAGGATCTATACAAGATCAAAGCCTCAGACACCGCGCTGTGCGATTGCGGGAGCATAGAGTCGATAGCGCACTTCCTCTTCGCGTGCAGGCGATGGAGGCAGCAGAGAGCACAACAAAGACAGTAGCACGGGCAGCGATTTGGAGGGCTGTCGTACGCACTAGGAGGCTACTCGAGCAAGCAAGAAGGCGGACAGAGTATCGACGGACCGATGGACCGGTGGAAGGCAGACATAGTTGCAGTTAAGGCCACGATCGAGTTTGCAAAAGCCACTGAGCGACTACAGCCAAACGCGCGAGACGCAGCAGACAGTGAAGAAGCAGAGTCGGAGGAGATATATGTTTCCTGTGCAGAGAGCCCGGCCATTGGTCACGAGATTGCCCAAAAACATGTCATACATGTGGCAAGAGAAGACATTGGGCAAAAACTGTTTTAGTTAGTCTTATAGTCGGACTACACAGATGCACACATGCTCGGTTTGGAAGAGCCCTTGGTCTATATTCCGTCTTTCTGAACTATAGGTGATCGACTTCAAAACAGATCAACGATTGGAGTGGTTGCTTGTCTGGTTTGCCCTGATATAGAGTACTCTGCCTTTGGCTTTTGAGACAAGTCTAAGCTAAATTGCCCAATATCGTTATACCCACCATCATTCCGTCCATTTTCGTCGAATCTACACTCTTGAAGATTATCGCTTCAATTAAAACCCATTACGGTGGTTGCTAGCATATGCTAATGCTGTCTCCGCTCCGACACATGAGGCGAGACAATTAAGTAAGCCTAGCACAATTTTGTAGAGGCACCGAGCGTGCTGATGTGATTGCATAACAACGAAACAGCTGTTGCCTCTAGAAGCTTATTCTAATCTTGAAGAACTGTCTTTTGGCTTCTGAGGTGGGTCTAACTCTAAGTCCAAATATAGCTTGCTAGTACGGATCCAGCGCATATCGGGGAGCCTGTAGAAGCCCATCCACATCTTTTATCAACAACCACTATCCTTACTTTACGTGCGTCAGCTTTCTTTGTTATGAGTCGTCCTTCACTTCTTCACCAAACCTTCGAAATATCGCCATCGGCGCAAGGCTAGGGCAGGTGCGGGTCGGCCATTGTTCCTGCTTGCGGTGGCGATATAATGTACCGCGCTAGTCATCGAGCCGCTTTACGTTGAGCCGCTTTGAACTGCTTGTACGTCATGCTTAATCAGCTGTCTTTCGCATAACTACCTAGATTGCAATGCACTCGAGGTGCAAATCGGGAAGGATACTCGAGCTAATAGATCCCCTGTTCCGTATGAACCACAGACTCTAGTAGTTCATCTGCTTCTTTGACCTGTCTACTGGTTCTATACACATCAGCAGGCACGTGCTGCGATTTGAGCTGATCTGGGTGCTTCTCTGAGCCTGAGCCTGCTGATGTAATCGCGCAATAACGAAGCAGCCGTGACTTTTGGCTCCCACAGTGGGTCTGACTAAATCAGCGAATACAAGATTAGTCTGATAGCTAATACCGAATGTCTATGATCTATCTTTCCCCAAAAATTACGTTTGCATTGTCGCCTCTGAGCCTGATTTGCACAGCGCCTTCTTTCGTGACGTAATAGACTTCGCTTCTTATAACGCCAACCTTCAGCCATTATCGCTCCAAATTCTCGTAGAACAGCGTCATCTTAGCCTGAAAACCTCCCTCTAAGGCTCAGAAGTCATTACTAGCCTTAAGCACGCTATCGCATGCAAATTCATCTAGGCAATCAGTACCTTCTTGGTCCGTTACAAAATGTTAGTTAGGCAGCATGTTCGCTAACTGACCACCCACCTAAGTCAAGTCCTGAAGCATTTAGGCCTCTACAGTAAGTGTTTTAGTTGCAATAATTATACGCCTGAAAAGCAACATGCGAAATTATCTGCTTGTTTGTAGAAGATCCGTTGAAGAGCATGCCTGGCCGGCAAGAAATTGTTATTGACGAACAGCCGCATAGAGGTACCAGTGAATTCGAATCCAAAGCCGACTGCGTACAAAGACCTAACTTGTGTACCTTGAAAGACTGGCTATTGCTTCGGATAATAAGGTCGGCATACTTTTCGTCGAGATAGTAAGCACTGAAAGACATTCAGCTTCTTGAATACTAAGTTTGACATATCAGATCGGTATGCACTTACCCATGAATCGAGGCCAACCTCATCTGCCGCTCATGTTGGCGTGTCAGACCTGCCCGTTCATAAAGGGCTGATTTTTGAGACATCTTTAATTTCAAGAGACAATCGAAATAGAAGCTGCAGAGAGCGGAGGAGGAAAAGGTTGGAGATGTGAAGAAACGAAGTGAGAGAAGAAGCGGGCAGACAGCCCATCACTAGTCCGACACACACTTGCGGCCTACCCGAGCTGGTAGGAACAGAGACAAGTCGTCTGGCCGGAAGATGAAGTGAGTTGTCCATATATCAATACGAAGGTGTGATTAGTCCGCTGTCTATCTAGGTGAGGTCGCTGAGTCAGGAAAGTCTCACATGACTATGCCATGTGTCCAATTACTTTCGCTCCTCTGTTTTGAACTTGCTCCCTATGTTGTTTTTCTACTTGAATATGATCCCTCGTTCCTGGAAGCATACGCTTCTCGAAGGCGAGTCCGGTTTGACTGGCGCGCATGCGGCATTTCGGGCAAGGAAACCCATCAACATCCAATGACATGAAATGCCAGACGTCCGCGTATGAATACCTACAAATAGTCCTGGGAATAATTCTATTTGGATGAATACCGTGCTGCTAGACTACCTCTAGGTCGTGGAGATGGCGTGATGCGGGATTGATAGTTGCCAATGTGCATCACATCATCAACAAACGGCATCAATTGATCGAGCAACATTGAAACGTATAAAATTTATCCCACACAGCAAAGATCTCATCTGTTGTCATTCCCGGTTGGATTCCAACCTACGCGATTGCACCGAGCGAAACGACCCAGTCGATAGCTCAGATGCCGTAGACAATGCTTTTCAAAAAGGGCGGTTGACCTACTTGATACAATTGTAGCAAACAAATGTGGCAATGATACCAGGACTGCGATTCTGAACATACCAGCGTGGCACACCTTTCGAACAGCATGCGGCATGCGCGAAGATTGATGCGAATGGTGCCCCTACACACCTCCTGTATCTGTACGCCATAATTGAACAAAGCTTATTGCGACACAGTAGCAAAAGTTTGTCCCTGTCTTCCCAGATCAGGCCACCATCGGTTCAAGAACAGGCGTGTAAGCGAGATGATGCGCAGCCCCACTATTCGACATCTGCGTATCGCTTCATGGCGGTGCTGCTGCAGCGACAGAAGTCTGATTCACAATAGGCAAACGCTTTCTGTCAGACAAGCAATCATGCGATTAGGCAATGAGGCAATGAGGTAATGATACTTGAATCAAGTCGAACCCATACCCACATCGGAGAACTCAGCCACAAGCCCCCACCTGTCTGTTCAGGCATCCGTCATACGAGGCATCGGCGGGGGCCATGTTTCCACCCAAAAGGGCTAAAATCTTGTACTTCGTGCACACCGCAATTCCTTCTGCCTTTCCGCTGACACTTTACAGATGTAGCCCACACATTTATTTAACTTGCAAAGTGAAGTGGCTTTTGGCTCGTGCGCATCCTATAACTTCACTGATTTGCGAGTTGCTATCGGGCCACCAACCTTTGTTTGCTTTTGCTCTCGCTGCAGACGAAAACTTCACATTCTTCCGTCGTGTTTCAATCAAGGACGCCATACCCAATAGTGTTCTTCCTTCAGATACTCTGTCTGAATGAGACGTACTAAGAGTTTCTGGGAAAGGCTGGAGAGCACTGTGATATTTTCTGCAGAGCTGGTAAAGATCTGGCTGCGTTTGCTCTGGCCTCCTTCCCTTATTTCTCTTGTACAGATTTATGAGCCATGGTGGCCGAGAGTCGTTTTTTTACTTCTCTACTTCCCGATTATAATTTCCTTCTCCATTCTCTTGCTGATACCTGCTCTTATATCTCTTATCGGCCTCCCGATGTATACATTACATCGCATCTGCTCTCGTCAACATCCCACTCCACCAGCTCCACGCTTCTACCCGCTTGAAAAGTATGCAGTCAAAAGTCGTTTGCTAAAGGTCAGGGAGAGGAGTTTAACACTGATCTCGGGTACAAATGTATTATCAGATGATGGCTCTGTGAACGACGAAGAAAAGATGGAGTTTATTGACGACATTGGTCTTGAAGAGGGCGCAACAAAGTCAAAACGAGAAACAAAAGATCAAAAAAAGATGGTCATACATAAAGTCATTGACCAAAAAGGGATATGCCGCATTTGGACGCTTCCACCGGAGATCAGAGCTATCATCTGGATGCATGCAGTCGGCGGTGGGCACGTCCATATCTTTCGATTGAAATGTAGATTGGGCAGTATTTTCTGTCCTGTCAGTAGCCCTACAGCTCCTACTCACAGAGATCTGTGCTCAGCAAGGAGAGATGATTACGGATTTCACACCCTCACAGCTTGGCCGTCAGATAGACGTCCGCTATCACTATTGACGAGCTGTCGTCAAGTGTATGTCTGATATGTCCCACCCATCTGCGGGTCACACTAACACATCTTCAGATATTCAGAGGCCGTAGTAGCTTTATACAGGACCAACACCTTCGCATTCGATGAAGCGGAAATCTGCAGCATTTTCATGATGAACATTCTACCTCGGCGTCGCAGCCTTATTAAATCTATCCACCTGGCCCCCACATTTAATCCCGACAAAGTCAATAGTGGTTACAGCAAAGTCAATTCCGCGCTACATAAGTGGAAATTGTCCTTAGAAACACTCTGCTCGATGCCGAACCTCAAACTCTCGCGCATCACCGTCACACCGACTCTTAACATATGGCCTTCCGGCCCGCCAGACATACCCGAGATCCCCCATTCCTTTTTCGCCAGTACCTTTGCAGCCTTCGCACAGACTATGAATGACTATGTTGAGAAGCGAGGATGCTCCATCACGCTCGCCTGGTGCGACCCTGGCTACGCACAGAATGGGTCCAAGATGCGCTGGGAGCAGCCCCGGTATCTTCCCTCCCCCCTTCGATTGTCATTGCGGAAGTTCGACTATCGCCCCAAGACGCAATTACTCGTGTTTTTCATACCCATGCATGTGCGTTGTCTACATTGCAAGATGCCGACGGTCATAAGGCGACGTATAAAGGGGTTTGCGGAAGTGTCTGTAATCGAAAGGGAAAACACACTTTCTCCATCGGAGTCGACCCCATCATTTCATGCCAACCACTTGGGATGGGTGCCGACGCGAAAACGGTATTGCCTTTGTCATTCAGCCTGCGGTGGGTGGATAGAGTTCCAGTACGAATCTATAAGAGGGAAGTGGACGGTGACTGCGGGTGCCGAAGAGATCAGCGAGGAGCAAGTCAGTCAGCATATTGAGGAGTATAGAGGGAGGTATAAACCTTTGAATTCATTGGACGAGATGGTAGAAGGTGTCGAGGTGATGCAGGAATGGGATTGGGAGAGTTCAGACCAGAGTGGGACAGTGATGGATGAAGAGACGTGGGATCGGTTGGTGGAGACGACGAGCACGGACATGATTCTTGAGGGTGATAACCGCCCTGGTAAAGGTCAGGCTTCAATGGCAGCCTTCCATTGCAATCCAGCAAAGGTGTAAGATAGGTTGAGCTATGACATCATTGTGTGGCAGTGTAAAGCAGCTACAGCCCTGTTCACTAACTAAGAAAACGGCTATATGAGATAGAATCTCATTCGTGCAGGAGCAAAGACCAAGCCTTCTGGTGAAGCGAAAACATCCTGTGCAATATACCCGCATGCGGTGCGTTGGTCGCGCAGCATATCAAAGAGGGGGTATGGGGCTACGATCAAGGGTACGGGCTCGTCGACGTTGAAGGGAGTACGGACCCAAGCTGCGCAGGTGCGGCGGGGTAGGAGGGTCGACGGAGTATGCACGACGCGTTTGAATCCGCGCAGACACCGAAGGACAGCGGGCGACGTTAGGAGAACAAGGGCATGGAGGGAGATTTTCGACAGGGGAGTTGCGTCTCTTCGCAAAAGGAGCGGCAACCTGAACGGAGCGTGCCAGTCGTTTTGCAGGTCGAGTGTTCTCGGGAGAATCAGCAGAGCAATTCGCAGAGCTGGTCGAACGCGCGCGCTTTCCTAGCATGAGAGAATGAAGATGAGATGAAGTATATGAAGGAATATTCGGGAATGCAGCGCGCGGGCGAGGCGATAAGGTAGTGAGAGACGGCGGTTGGTGGACTGCTGTTGTTGTTATTGGTGTGAATTGATCTGGTCGTTTCAACCGAGCGAAACGCCGACTCACGTGGTCCCGTTTTAGCTCCCGCAGTGGGCCCTTATCGAAGCCATCATCTTCTAGAGGGCCCAGGTCCGTGCTTAAAATTTCTTGGCGCGACCTACTCATCACATGACCAAGATCAAGCTTTCGCTACAACCTACGGACAGACACACATATTCTGTACCTCATTTCATCTACCAAGACCGAAACATGCGCCACCAGGCAAGGTCAGGGCAGGAACGGGTCGGCCACCTTTGCCACTAGCGGTGGCATTTCAAAGTACATCTCACTCAGATTACGCTTTAGGGTGATTCATAAGCGAGTTGTTGCATCGAGTCTATACTATTTCTGTATTACTTCTGATTTGCCGCTTTAAGTTAAAGGCGAGCTATTTACTATGTTGCTTTCTCACTACTCCCTATCTTCATCGTTCAGTTGTATAGTGTCAAGTTGCCATGTCGTAAGCGTTTCGCAAGAGGATACAGTGTCGGGATGTTCAAGGCCTAGGGCTTTCGTTTGCAGCTCGTAGCAGTCCCCGATCAATGAAATTGCTTTGCTTATAGAACCCTGAGATTTGAAGGTAAATGCGATGTTGACCATGCTGGCCAGTGTCTCGGGATGCTCGTTCCCAAGCACCCTCTTTTTTGTCTCCATCACTTGCAACCCCAGCTCTTCGGCCTCCTTCCATCGACCCTGATTGCTGTACGTTGATGCGAGGTTGCCCATACTGGTCAGCGTGTAGGGATGTTCGTCCCCAAGCACCCTCTTTCTCATCTCCATCACTTGCAACCCCAGCTCTTCGGCCTCCTTCCATCAACCCTGATTGCTGTACGTTGATGCGAGGCTAGCCATGCTGATCAGCGTGTTGGGATGTTCGTCCCCAAGCACCCTCTTTCTCATTTCCATCACTTGCAACCCCAGCTCTTCGGCCTCCTTCCATCGACCCTGATCGCTGTACGTTGATGCAAGGTTTCCCATGCTAGTCAGCGTGTCAGGATGCTCGTCTCCAAGCACTCTCTTTTCTATTTCTATTACTTGGGCCTCCAGCTCTTCAGCTTTCTTCCACTGGCCCTGATCGCTGTACGTTGATGCAAGGTTTCCCATGCTAGTCAGCGTGTCAGGATGCTCGTCTCCAAGCACTCTCTTTTCTATTTCTATTACTTGGGCCTCCAGCTCTTCAGCTTTCTTCCACTGGCCCTGATCGCTGTACGTTGATGCAAGGTTTCCCATGCTAGTCAGCGTGTCAGGATGCTCGTCTCCAAGCACCCTTTTTCTCGTTTCCAATACTTGCATCTCCAGCTCTTCGGCTTCCTTCCACCGGCCCTGGTTGCTGTATGTGATCGCGAGGTTTCCCATGGTAGTCAGCGTGTCGGGATGTGCGTCTCCAAGCACCTTCTTTCTCGCCGCCATCACTTGCAACCCCAGCTCTTCCGCTTCCTTCCATCGACCCTGATTCCAGTACGTTGACGCGAGGTTTCCCAAGCTAATTAGCGTGTTAGGATGCTTGTCCCCAAGCACTCTAGCTTTCGTTGTCACAACTTGTGTGAGCAACCCCTCTGACTCTCTGTATTGTCCGTCGCTCAGAAATGCTTCAGCACATTTTTGTACCAGACCCATTATCTCCGTACCCTCTTGGGTACGGGGACTATTCAACAGAGCATACTTCGCATGTGGTAGCATCCGTCTCCATTTACTTCGATTACAGTAATCATCGTCTGGGAATACGTTTGATAGCCGGACGATAGCTGTCTGGGTCCATTCATCTAAAATTCCTTGCTTCCACAGCCATCCTCGCAAAGCATCGTGTACTAGCCGGTGAAGATCCATTGCAGATTCGGCAGGCCGCCTCGTAACCAGCTTGTAGCTATTGATGATTCGTATAGCATCTTCTCTTTCGCGAGACGAGGGAGCTTCTAGAAAATCAAGCAAAATGTCTTTTCGGTTGACACAGGCCGCCAGGAAAAGGTACCTGGCTGCTAGTGGACTCTCTCGGCGGATCTGATTTATAGAGAGATGAAGTGTCATAGCTACAGGGCTTTCTATATCATATTGCTGTAGCGTGTCCTCTGGTACTGCGCTACTAAATTTGAGTGTTCTCTGCTGTTGCTTGGCCAGCTGCGATTGATAGTCATGCAGTGTGATATTCCTGGTGTTGATGAAGGCTGCTGCCTGGACAATAGCCAGGGGAAGATGTGACAAGTTCTTCAGCAAACGCTTTGCCTCTAGCTTTTCAGTCTTCGCCATTGGCGTGTTCAAATATTGTTCTAACATAATTTGCGCTGTGACGTGTTCCATTTTCCGTATTTCGATGGTCTCCTGAGATGTTAACCTCTTAGCGGCGTCTCTACTCGTCGTAGTGAACAAGATGAAACACAAGTCAGACCGTGGTAGGTAATCTATCAACGTGATATTTCGCTCAATAGACATTCCTGTCGACCCTAAGATGACACTATCAGCATTGTCAAAAATAAGCAATGACTGGCCAGCATCCCTCCTACTCAGATGTAGCTTCACTATCTGCATGATGTTTGCTTTTTCGTCGTTCCACCCAGGGATATCAAGCTTCTGGGCGATGCTTGTGTATGATTGATGAACTCCGTCTTTGCTGCTAGCATCAATCCAGAAGACGGAGCAGTTCTTGTTTCTTTTTCTTGTTCGATACGCAAATTCGAGTGCGAGCTGTGACTTGCCAGTTCCCCCAGGTCCTACTATCGCTATTCTTGTGGTTTGCTTATCTTCAAAGATCATCGCTTCAAGATCAGCGAGGTGCAACTCTTGACCGACAAAGTTTTCGTTCTGGGAGAATGGAATGACGAAAGGCGCGCCATTGCCCATTTCACCTTGAAGTCGTATACATGCTTTGTCGCGTCCCTCGCCGTAGGATGCAGACATAGACACGTTCAGAATTCCGAAAAGGCAGTATACAATGTCTTCGTCTTCAGTCGTTGTGCGCCCATCAGCCCATCCCATCCGCTCAGAGATAGTAAAATCGTCTGGTGCAAACTTCTGAAGCGCCTGTATTGGAAGGCGTGTGATGGCATGTAGCAACTGCTCAAGGGATTGTTTATCACCCAGTAGTTGTCCTTCCAAGGAGAAAAACTCAACTGACCCCGGAGCAATAAGCTCCTGGAGCGTCCAGCCTCGGGTAAACCATGCGCTTGTGCGAAAGGACTCCCACGCGGATTGCGGAACAGCCTCTGAAGCTGTAGGCACAGAAACATCCGGTAAGAACACGTAGCATTTTTCTGCATTTTTGTACCAAAGGAACATGGAATTAATAGATTTAGAGAGCTCATTGAGGTTCCATTTGTCAATGCAACATGTGTCGATCCAGAAGTATTGCAGATGATCCTTGGCCGCCTGCTTAGCGCAGAACTCGATCTTTCGGTATCCTTCTTTTTCTCTATAGGTTCCGTTTGCGATATCAATGAAGAGAATCTCTGAGTCTCCCCATCGGTGCGACAGAATGGCATATGGCGGGGTAGTCTTGCCGCTGAAGTCTGTCAAGAGCAATCTTCCAACCTGATCGAAATGAAGAAGTCTCATGGTTGGAATCTTGGCGTCGCAACCAGACTCCAAGAAGCAGAATGGCGAATGGCTTGAGTCAAGACGCTATCCAGAGTTAACTAAAATAGGTAGCCAAAAACAATGAGGCAAGACAGCTGGAGGTGGGGCGCTGATAGCAGCTTTTTATAGCAATACGCATAAACGTGCAAGGTAGGCCAAGCCACCGCAGCCCCAGGGGCGTTGTGGGGCACTCACAGTCTTCCCATTCATAAGGAAGAAAGCAGTGCCAACCAATAAAATCTCATTCGCGCAAGAGCAAAGGCGCCCTTCGTCTTCCCATTGGATCGAGCCAAACCTTCCGGTGAAGCGTAATCACCCTGCACAACTTGACCGTAAACCCTACGTTGAGAGTGTAGCATTTAAGAAGGGTAAATCGCCTGGTGAAACTATCATTATCTAGTGACGCGATTTTAAAGCAGCAAGCTGAATGCAATGCGCAAATAGCATAGTTGGGACACAAGGTTGGGTTGACTAATCAGCGCAACGCGCAGTCTATACGAGACGATACGTTGCGTTGCCACCAGCTGAAAGGCGAATGGCCGACCCGTTCTTGCCCTGATCTTGTGCGAGAGGCGATGCTCTCTCATTCGAATCCAAATGAAGAGAGACAGCGTGCGCGGAGTAGTAACCATAAGCATCTGCCGAGTCGGTTAGATCTGAGTCAACAAGCGATCGATTTTGGGCCGGAGAACCTGGGGCCCACTATGGGGCCTAAACTCCGAACCTACGCACGACCCCTGATTGCTTCGAATAGTGGTCAGCAACGGTAGTTTTACTGTTAAACAATATGGCGTCTGCCAGATAGGAAATTTCCTTTATTTGAAGGGGTTTTCTTTCCAAAATTGCTGGATTCTTCTAGATCACAACTCCTGTGAGCCTTGAGACTAGATTCATCTGCACAATGCCCCAAAAGTCACCAACAAACTCGCCCCCTTCTTCCATCAAGTATCTGAAGTCCCTGTGTTTCCCAATAGTATCTAACTCGCAAGCGATGTATTGCACAACTAAGTTTCTGAGATCATCTATGCCCCCCTGGGATGTTCTATCTGGGCCATGGTCGTATGCGTATCTCGCAAGCTCCAGAACATCACCGACCCGTCGATCGTACAATTGGAAGCCCCTCAGGGTCTTGTGGAGCTTGTGCAACGTTAAGCTCTTTAGCGGTTGCACGAGGTGCATATTAGCAAAAGTATACAAGCGTGCATGGGCTAAGAAAACTGGAATAAAGTTTTGTCGAGAAGACGAGTTGTACTGAGGTTCGAAGCTCTGGAGCATCCCTGCCTTCGGGTCTCCTGTGGATAGATAGCTAAGCTTGTCGAATCCTGACCGTAGCGATGGCTTTCCTTTCTTCTTCTTTCTCGGTATATCCCACCTTTCCTCCACAAATACCGATACACCCTCGACAATCTCAGGCGCTGGCTCATCCGCGATAGGGGGAGGTGGAGCTGGAGCTGGAGCTGGAGCTGGAGCTGGAGGTACTCCTTCAAACTCGGGTGACGCTGGATGCTCTAGCGCTGGAGGCGACGTTTCTCAACGTACAATTAGGCCTTGTCGTCATACATCCCTGGAAAGCATACCTTTGTCCTCCATATATGAAGGTATTGTGTAATCGTGACAATATGCATATTCCAAAAACCGTACAAAATCCTCGGGCTTCACATCCTGAAACTCAACCACTCGTGTTTTCGCCTCCACCATGTCTCCGTTGACCAATGCATTGAAGTATTCCGACGTGGCGGCAATCGCTTCCGAATGTACTACGAATTGTTGCTTCTCCTGGCCAATGCAGAAGGTAAATAGACCCGACTGAATGAAGCTAGCTGTTTGTTAGATTGGAACTGCGACGATGAGATTGTAGCGTACTCTTCAAAACAAGGCATTGAGGATGTTTCGCTCATGGCGGAGTTTTTTACTCGAGGATGTCGAAGAGTTGAATGTAAATGTAGTAAAAAGAATTGAATTTGCGTGGATACAGTATGTGCCTTCTCGGCGGGGTACCAGGCGTTCAAAGCGGGGCAGCGTGTCTGAAGCCCACGTTGGGCGAAATCATTGGTTATGTGGCATGTGCCGCATCATCACCATCATCATCCGCAATCATACTCTGATAACACCACTTTTCTCACGGGTAAGAGATGTGAGAGCCGCTAGCAGACGACAGTAGCAATAATGAACACGAGTTTTTGGTCTGGTAAGCTTTTGATTCATGTAATCCCGTAATCACTATCGCTTTCCGCTATACGCTTCGCGGCCCTCTCTTCTTGCTCAACGTATCTTGCTTCATCGCTTGAGTTGATCTCTTCTGGAGGAGTTTCCGATCTTTTTCTCTTCTTGATTTCTGGGGGAAGAGCATGCTCGCCAAGTAATTCCACGCCTCTCACCATGGTCTCCGCCGCGTCAAGGTATTCACAAAGCTGCCGAGTAGATATGACTAGCTCTCTCCCTTCGTCCCCGAGTTCCTTAATATACGGTGGCGATGGTAGATTGCCGGCTCGAAATCGAAAGCTTGCTGAATAATCCGTCAGTCGAACCATGATATTTCGAACGGGAACCTAGGAGAAGATTATCGTGAGCTTGAGCTCGGGCTCCCGCATGTTAGGAGAAACGACGAAGCAACGCTGGGATCTTTCAGTATTCTGCGAAAGCTCATGAAGTAGACTTAGTCGAATGTTATGAGTTGGAGCTATGTTGTGGATGTCAAAAGTTCGAAAATGAGTATGGCAACTGCATAGGCTTGGAAGGGCTTTTAAGGTTGAACTTTGCCGTAATATGTTAGCGCTCAGTAATAGTAATGGCAATAATCTGGGGCGGGTTTCACCCACTGCGGGAGCTAAATCTAAGAGCCATGGCACGTACGCAGATCAATCGTGAAATGCCATCTGTCCCAAAAACATCCCCAACGCCTCTCGCACAAAAGGTTAGGGCCTGGGCAGGTCGGCCCTACTGACGGACACCAGTGGCAAGATACCAGTAAATGCACTGCCGCCACGCTGAGACAACGACTATACTCAATATCTCCATATAATATATAGAATAATCATGCTGTAATGTGCAACTAAGACTCGTTCAAACATTTGCCTAGCGTACATCTCTTAGTTACAATAGTATTAATATAGCCATTGCTGGCTACCTGAAGCCAAAGAACTAGTGTCAGCTTTCATGTTGAGAATGCGACGCCTTAGGTTCTATAGTTTCTGCGTCACGACCCTAGTATTTTCACGTAGAAACCAGATCGTCCAAGTTTTTGAGCGTGTTAGAATGGTCTGTTCCGAGCTTCGTTTTGCGAGTCTCAATCACTTATACATTCAACACTTCGGCACCCTCACATCGGCCTTGATTTATGTAGTTCAAGGCCAGACAGTTCATGCTTTTCAGAGTGTCGGGATGGTCTGCTCCAAGCTTCGTCTTCCGAGTCTCCATCACTTGCACAAACAGCGCTTCGGCATCTTCCAATTGGTCTTGATTTGCGTAGTTCAAGGCCAGACAGTTCATGCTTCTCAGGGTGTCGGGATGGTCTGCTCCAAGCTTCGTCTTCCGAGTCTCCATTACTTGCACATTCAGCGCTTCGGCATCTTCCAATCGGCCTTGCCTGCTATAAATCGAGGCCAGACTGTGCATGCTAGCCAGCGTGTTAAGATGGTTCACTCCCAGTTTTGTCTTCTGAGTCTCTATCACTTGCACAAACAGCGCTTCGGCATCTTCCAATCGGCCTTGGCTGCTATAGATCAAGGCCAGATTGTGCATGCTTATCAGCATGTTTGGATGGTCCACCCCGAGTTTTGTCTTCCAGGTCTCCATTACTTGCAAATTCAGCGCTTCGGCATCTTCCAATCGGCCTTGGCTGCTATAGATCAAGGCCAGATTGTGCATGCTCATCAGCGTGTCAGGATGGTCCACCCCGAGCTTCTTGTTGTAGGTCTCTATTACTTGCACATACAGTGCTTCGGCATCTTCCAATCGGCCTTGTTTGCTATAGATCAAGGCCAGATTGGGCACGATGGCCGTGTCAGGATTGTCCATTCCGAGCATTATCTTTATTACCTCCAAAGCTTGCACATCTAGCGTTTCGGCATCTTCCCATCGGCCTTGGTGCTTGTAGGTCGAGGCCAGATTGTTCATACTAGTTAGTGTTCCTGAGTGGTCCGCTCTGAGCTTCGTTTTGAGCGTGTTTATAACTTGTAATAATAGCGTTTCAGCCTCCTTCCAAAGCTCTTCTTCAATGTACAAAGTGACAACAGATACCCAGAGAAACATCATTCTTTCGTCACTTAGTCCTAACTCTTTGAGGCGTTCTATGGTAACATCCGGCATGTGCGTGAGGAGGTGCCTTCGGAACTGCGGATTTTCCGTGTTACGAGAGAGGCTTACGTAAGCTGCCACTACGATTGCCACGTGCCAACGGTCCCACGGTGCTTCTGGTTTGGACCTCATTGCCCGCCACTGCACCAGTCTGTGCATGCTCACTCCATACCACTCACCATGCGTCCGCTTCAGTAGGCTGTACCGCAGCAGTATGTCGCGCGCCTGGCGGTAATCGAAGTCATCCCATTCCCCCCTATGGCACGCGAAAACGCGAGGGAGCCATGAGGGGAGCTCTGCCACATCATCGCACATGATCTGAGTCGCAACAGAGAGGTTCTGGCTTGCCAGTCGGAGCAGCTCATCCTCCACTACGCCGCCTCGGAAATGCGCCAGGAGAGCAAGCAGCATTCCAGGGCGGAGCTCTCCACCGCTTCTCTCGATGCGCTCAAGCGTCGTGTCCCACACTGTCCACACCGTCTTGTCGCTCGTCGAGAGGCCGCGAAACTGTTCATTTTGTAGCAAATCATCCTTGTGCTTGACATAATCGACCAAATATTGCTGGGGGGCCTGCTTCGGATCTTCAGCATTCCCCATGTATGCGCCGGCGAGGTCGATGGCTAAGGCCAGATATTCGAGCTGCTCTGCAATCTTGCTGCAATTTTCCAGTACGTCTTTTGGGGCCGAGTTAATCTTGAACCTGAGGTGTTTGAGGAGAAGACTGATGGCTTCTACCGGCTCCATATGGCCCACCTCTACGACTTCGCAGTCCCTGATCAGCCGCGATGCCTGCCTGTCCTGGCTTGTAATGATGACGGCCCCTGCCGGGCCCGTTGGAACCACACCCTTGGTCTCCTGGTTAACGTTGTCAGCACTGTCGACGATGGCGAGCCACCTGCCGTCTGTCTCTTTGCGGTTTCTGAGCCAGCGAAGTACAGCCTGCACCGCGGGAGAGTCCACAAGCTTGATGCCTTGTCCCACGCCGCGATCTACTGATAATCGGAGCTCGCTTGCGCACCTCTCGAAGCTTGAGCGAACAGACTCCTCATCACGAACTTCAATCCAGAGGATCAGGTCATACTCGGCTTGGTGATCCTCCACGTACTTCAACGCCAGCTGACTTTTCCCTGCACCGCCAAGTCCATGGATGGCAACAGCGTAGGGTACGGTAGCCTTATGGTGTCGCACACGTAGCTTCTCTTCTATTGCAGCCGAAAGTGTGGCTCGCTCTATGTAACTGTCCACTGTGGCCACAGGAACGGAGTAGAACCGCTGTTGTTTCTGTAGCGCGAGGGGCTGAAGAATCTGAAGAAGCTTTCCAAGGACCTGCCTATAATTTTCATCTTTTGATGTGAACTTGTTCAGCTCGTAGTGGTTGACGTACAGGGGAATATCTTGCGACTTCCCCAGTCTCGCCGACTGTTCAGGGACGCACTGAAACCGCAGTCAACTTGTGCCGGTGGCTTGCGCACGTCGTTATCAAGGTTGCACGTACATACTCTTCCCACTGATAGAACCACACCTTCAGTATTCGTGTCTTGCGTGTCTCGTAGAAGTTGATCACCTCTACATTTTCACTGAGGACGTTTTCAAAGTCTCTATGTAAGTCGCTCAGGGGGAGCGCGTCGTAGACTACTTCTCCGAGCAGGAGTGGATTCGATCCCAGCGGCTGCAAGAGCCGCACAAAGACATTACCCCACGCACTGAAGTGCGAGCCCCGATGAGGTGTTCCCAAAAAGAAGATTGCTTTTACGTGCCTGAATATGTCTACAAATCTCTTGTTGTGCCTAGCCTCTAGAAGAGCCTGAGCACGTCAATTCCGTGTTTTTGGCGAACTAACACAGGCACCTTTTGAAGACAAGGGAGAAAAGATCTTACTTGCTTGATCACAAGACCTCCATAGCTGTGCCCAACGAGCAGCAGATCACGCGTCCGCTCCTATATGCCCGGTCAGTGCATCACTCCATTTCTCGATGCTAGACGCTCTGACCTCTTCTGTGCTCCGAAGCTCGAGGTTTATATGGCTGATCAAATGCTCTCCATACGTCCGAAGCCGTGCCTGTATCGCATCTCTCTTGTAGTAGGTTTCGTAGTTGTAAAAGTAGATCCGAGTGTGATTGCGTAACGACAAAGGAATGTCTTCGGGAAGGAATCGGTTGACCCAATTGCCGTCCTTTGGTCCCCAGGTCGTGTCAGGGTTTGAGCCGAGTCCATGGACGAAGATGATGCTGAACGCCAGTCAGTGTGTCTTCCAAGTCCCCCAAGGTGTGTGGACTTGCTCTATTCCATGGGCGCGGCCCGGCGCGTCGAAGTTGTCCGCTCGCACAAGCCCGAATGGGCTACTAGGCGTGTAGGCTGGTTGCAAGCGCGATGGAATTATCCTCTCCACCAGGCCATAGAAAACCGATAACAGCGCGACGAGGAACGAGACCCGTTTCAGATACATCCCCTAATGTGAATGCAGTAGGATTCAGTTGTGATAGGATCTATTTGCAATTATTTGTTGAAAAAAGAGCTTTATACTATACAGTGTTGATGATCATGGTCATTCTGTAGTAGATAATTCGCCATCACGATGGCATGGTGAGGGCACGGCGTGGGCCAAGCCTTGGGAACGGTTACGGGGCGCAGCGCAGCGCATAGCCACTTGGTCCACACAATCCCTGAGCAAATCAGCGGTTCAAGCTCCAATAACTCGCTTCCATTAAAACAGCGCGCCCAAAAGCTTGATAGCCAGCTATCACACCCTTCCCTCCCGCCCCTTCCTCCCTTCTTCTACTCCGTGACGCCTGCTCCATGGCTAATACGATGCCGCTCTTGCCACCCTTTTCCGAGTCGAGCGCTCTTTCTTCTCAGCGCCTTGCCACTGTATTGGATTCTAACCAGACGGTTCCTGTCAAAACATCAGATTGCAGCTCTCGTGTATCGACGAACGGAGCAGTATCTTACCTTCCTGGAGAACCAAGCGTAGCCCTTTCAAAAGCCGCTGTTGGGCGCTTTCTCGTCTCGGAACTCAGCACCCCGGTTCTTGACCAGCTCTACAATCACCTATGGTTTGTTGCACGAAGATCCGGCCAGAGCATCGATTCATTGCACAAGCAAAAGATAAAAGGACGATCTATCATTCCTACGGAAGATCCTCACCTTCACCTCGTGTGGCACCGCGATAAGACATATGTCAAACCGATGCCGGAGTACTTGCTGAACTACCACTTTTGGACTGCATTTCTATCCACATCGCCTGACAACAAAGAAGCCAAAGAGGAATCTGCAATAATACCAGAGTTTGACCGAGCAACGGCTTTAGGTTTTATGCGATCTTACTCTTATCTTGTGCAGCATCGTGTCGATCTTATCCTCGCACGCGAATCGCATCTCCTTCCGGTCGAGATTGATTGGATCCAGTGGTCAGAGTTTATTGCCAATTTTCGACAGATTGAGGATTACGATGTATCCAAGCGCTATCACTATGGGCAGCTCCGCCTCTCGCGATTAGATTGGGCGGTTCGTCTATTTCGGCCTTCATCTGCAGCAACAAAGTGGTTCTACGAAATCCCTCACTGGTCCATAGGCATATATGTTGAGCGATCAATCGCGCCGCTCCTCTTTGGCTTTGCCAGCTTTTCGCTGGTTCTATCGTCCATGCAAGTTTTACTGGCGGTACCTGATGAGGGTTTGAAACTCCATGGTGTTGGCGATCTGTCCCTAGTATATATGAGGCGAGCGTTTTGGGTGTTTTCAATTATCGTGCTGCTCTTGTCTGGAGTGGCCTGGATACTGCTTTGTGTGATTCCATTCACCGGATTCATGTGGCAGATATTATGGGGATTTAGGAATAGAGATAAGCCTTCCGCTTATAGCAAGGGGGCAGCATGAAGATTGTGGACAGTGGGGTGCTTCTAACGTAGAATCCGAATGCTGATAATTAGGACCGAGTCAAGGGCAATCAATAGGCGAGCGAAAAGTATAGAAAATGGTGCTAAGGTACATGCTGGATATTACAAAGCACAGATATTGTGGATTTTCATCAGCCTAGCTATGAAGCGAATCCGAGCTGCATAAGATAGACCACAAGCAATTTCGCGGCCCTTCTATACATCGTATTCGCTGAAAAGGCACACAAAGGGTACATGAAGAGGTTGTAGCCTAGTCGTTCTGTCAGCATAGCGGTGGTGCATTTACTGGTATCTCGCCACTAGTGGCCGTCAGCATGGCCGACCCGCACCGACCGTGACCTTGCGCCGGTTTGCCACTGTGAGAAATCAATATTGTGCAGCTGCGATCGCTTGACTGGAGTCAATTATGATTTGGAATGTAAATGTGCATCCATTGAAACTTCAACGCAGCCATGCAACAGCCAAGCATCGAAGCGTGGATGTGCCACTACTGTAACCAAGCTACCCTCTACAGATTCTATTCTTCTCTCAGTCTCTTGTGCGGTGGAGAAAACGATTCTGGCGCTGATGGCTGCGCATCAAATCTCGGTGCAGTAGTGAGCGGATGCCCTACTAGCGCTGCAGAGCTGGCCATAGTGTCTGTCGAAGACATCGACTTCTTTGACTGTCCCCGCTTAGGACTTTGCATTCGCGGCAGAGGTAGCGGTAGACTGGCAATGGCAGCCTTGATTTTGTTCAACCGCACGGTCACCGCATACTCGAGGATGTTGCGGAGCATCTTGCGCATGTCGACCATGCCGGTATCTCGTGATGTCAGCGGTCTTAAAAAAGCTTGGCTAATTAGTTCCATATGGTAGTCCGTTCCTCTGTCTTCTGCGTTCTCCAGCCAGTGCACCCACAGTTTTGCACTGTCGGTGTCGGTAGTAAGTGAAAAATGTGCCGTGTCTACTATCGATGTCACATACTGCGCACTCCGATAATAGTCGTGAAGATTGCGCACGATAGCCGCTCCATCCCGTGCGCCCTGTAACGAAGCATGATAGTGACCTTCTCCACTCTTTTGACTCTTCCACTGGCAAGTAAGAAATGGAAAATGCAGTTGGGAAGTCAATGCGTGTCTGTCCTATTGTGTTAACTATGTACTTGAGTTGAAACATAAGAGTAACTAGCCTCATGATCTTGTCCTCCTCTGTACGCTCCAGTGCCGCTTTTGAGCGAGGGTCCATCGAATACGCGTCTTGTTGGGTAATATACCCAACAGCATGATCGGGCCGCGGCTGCTCCAGAGCACCGTACTGTCTCTCAACCCATTTATTAGGCGCAGCAGGAAGCCAATGGCGAGCGAATGTGACCTCGGGGAGAACCTGAATAAGCTCCTCACCATCGTCAATCTCCGTCTTGAAAAGCAAGTCCCTTGCGAGCATCTCCTTGCCCTGCGGTTCGTTCATACCACGAGCTCTTCTCGAATTACGAGCAAGCCGTGCAGCGGACGGTGTAGCCTCCTTTCGCATATCCATAACAACCTCATCAATGTGTTTCCTCAATACCTCGGGGATGTCACCGCGATGCACAAATATGCCGTATGCCGCTTGCCGTCTGTCGATGTCTTTCGCGGGTTCGACTGAGATGGAGGCCTCGCTACTTGGGGTAGACTGCATGTCTGGAAGATACGATGCTTCGTGAAGCAGAAGATTCTCGCGTGTGAGATGTGTAGGCGCAGGGAAGGTCGCGTCAGTCGTGGTTCTATCGTAAAGAGGGGCGGTAGGGAAGGATTGAGATTGAGGAGGCTCAACAGCCTCTGGCGATTCGTGCTGGCGATGATTGCAAGAGGCAGACGAAGCTTGATATCTGACTGAGAACTGCAGGTGCGTGAGACGATATTTTGTATTATAGAGGATTCGTTGGGATGGAGAGTGTGATGCTGAAGGACTCGGGAGTGTGCAGCGCGCGCGCTTTGGAGACGAGCAGTCGACCTCTGGTTCCGTGGAAGCTGCACGTTTTGGAAGCATGAAGCCGAAAAGATAAAAGACTGTTTTCTTTGGTTGGAAGTGTTCGCAACGGAGAGTTGATGTTGGTATGATAGGTTGACGTTCAGTCGTCGTCGGTCTATGGTACAGTTATTGCGAGCTGACTAATAAGTTGCTGCCAAGTCGTACAAGCTTCCGTTGCGAGTTCAAAGCACGGGGCAGAAGCTGATCTCTTAGCCCCACCCAGGTAGTTTCACAGTGTTCGTAGCAGTCTCGCACATTGAACCACGGCTTAGCTTAGATACATTGGGGAAGAAATCGCCTCCAGGGCAATGCTCCGGAGGTAATTCTTCATGTTCATGATTATCGCACGTTTGTCTAGCTTGAACATCATCTTGCCTAGACCAAGCCTCATGAAGCTGCAATGATCCATTCAGCTACAATAAATAGTTCCCAATATGCACCTTGGTACACTACTAATGCAATACTTCATAACCCTCTTCATCAACGGACGCAGAACGCAGCGAAGAAGCTTTCTCAGTATCCTCAGTAGTTTTCGTGATTTTCTCTTCTTGCATTTTGGGGGGAGCATCCTCCTCGATTGCTTGATTTTTTCCTCTCTCCTCTTTCTTCTTCTTCTTCCTTGCTTTCTTCATACATTTCCTGCATATTCCACAGTCTTCCTGCAGAGCAATTACTGGAAGAGCTTCTTTCGCATCCACGGATTTCCATGGAGCGTAATCCCACCAATTAGTCTGGCCACAAATTTGACGAGTATTCTTCGTGCTTGAACCAATGGTTGGTTGCTCGGGTTCGATGGAAGCGCTTTCTGGGGCAGGGGTGTCGGCAGCGATCTTTTGAGTATCAGGTCCTCTAGAAGGTGTGTCTTCAGCGATTTGTGGTTCTCCAATCCTAATTTCTTCCTCAGTGCCTTTGACGGACCGCTCAGGGTCCATTTGGAGAGGTCCGGTTGCGGTGTTGGATGTTTCTAGAGTTTTCCTGTTGTAGAGGTCCACCGTACACTGTACCAGGAGTTTGGCCAAGTCGACATTACTGACGTCCTCCAAGAAGATATTTATTGACAGCTTGCTGAGGTTCTGCTCAAAAGTAGAACTAGCTTTCTCAGATATGTATTCATACACCTGGTGTTTACCGCTTGGAAGTTTTGAAAAGTCTTTGTCGACAGTCGCAATGATGTCAAAAATGCTCATTTCTGTTCCGAAATCTCGTATTTCTCGCATCGCTAGCTGCTGCAATCCAGGTAGATTGTAGGCAACGGCTGCTGCAAAAGTGAGAAATGCTCTGTGAAATCCGATTTTGGACTGTTTTTCAGGAGAACTATCCGCATCCTCGAGGGTTTGGTATACACCGGTATACAAGTAATGTACTAGAACATGGCCAGTGCTTTCGTCCACATCGGGCAGGTTTACGACACCCCTATCTAAGCAGCTGGGCTGTGAGAAAGTCAAATTTGTGTTTTCCAGGAGACACTCCGGTATATAGAATTCTCGCTTTTTTGGGCCGATACGCAATATGACAGGACCGATTGTATAAGGACTGGATAGGATTTGAGTTAATCATTTGCGTCTCAATGAAGTATACAAACAGTAGCACATACGATGTCTTGATTTGTTGATTCATGGCCAAAGTGCCAAGCTCGCTCGCTGACCATTTGTGGTCCAGCTTCTTGCTTTTTTTCTTTGCCATTGCAGAGTAGAACGCAAAGGTTCAGATAGTTCCGTGGGGAAGAGCTGGGGAATGTAAATTGCATGCTAAAACTAGCATGCACGGGTCCTTATAGCAAGCATGAACATGAAACCAACATTCTGGAAGCTTTAACCTACCCCGCGGCTAATAGCCACTCAGCGTCGGCCACGCGACTAAATAGCAATCGCCAAGGCTTGGTTTACAGTTAGATTGACTGCATGTAGCAGACCGATCCCAAAGAAGTTTTTGGGTGGCGTCCGTTTGATTGGTCTTATTTGGGATCTCTTGATCACTAACCAGTGGACGATGATGAGCAAAAGTCTGGCACCATTTGCCCCACTAAATCAATAAGATAAGGGATGAACTACAGTAATTTATAGCGGCAAAGGTATATGCCGATAGTCTTCGCACTTAGGGTGACGGCAGCTGTTAGTACGAGGTGTAATAAGAATGCAAACGTGGAGTATTTTTTAAACAATCTAAGAAAGATATCGCAGCGTCTCAAATGAACGGATATAAGTTTACATTAGCGCTATTAGAATACATTCTGTTATTATGACTGGTGAGGGCAAGCATGATCATGTCCTTGGAGAAAGGACGCCGCATCTAATACAGGTCGTTCCCTGCAAAGGAGTTCTTTAATCGTGGTAGACTCGTAGTCATCGTAACAGGAACGTCTCCCAGTCCATATATCAGATGTATGGTCAAAGAGCACTCTTTTTGTCGTAATATGGTCACACAACTCCGACAATCTCAGGCTATGCAGGTTGAGCATATTTGGTATTCGAAATAGAACAGATTCCCAACTACCTTCTCCTGGGGGCAGTGTGACGTGGGTTAACGTCAAATGTCGCAGGCTTGAACTTAACGAGGATAAGAAGCTCACGATAGAGACTTCCTTGACAACAATTTCGAGAGTGAGTGTGCGAATTTTAGACCACGGTCTATGTTCCTCAAGGAGCGCCAATAGCTCGGCAGGTCCATCGCCATTGTCGCGTCTTTCGTATTCGGTTTGCAGACTTCCGTCCACCAATCTACCAAAGGCCAATCGCAGTTCTTGGAGGTTTTCAGCGCAACATAGAAACTGAAAAAAGGGTCGAGCTACTGTGCAAAGCCCTCCGTCTTCTTCTTCCTCTGAGATCGAGCAGTCCAGTCTTACGAGCTTATTGAAAGACTGCTCCATAATTATCAATTGCCTCAGACAGTCATCTTTTCCCAGACTATTTTCTGAATCTTGATACTCCCGTGCCTCTACGACGTTACCGAAGAGTCTCCTATTTTCTCTGATTTGTCTGTGACCTTTGCCGTCCCATAAGCTCTGCAAGTTGTCGATTCCCCAAAATGCTGGACCGCCGACGTACATTTTTATGGACTGGAGTCGAAGATGATGTTTTGCCCATCCCAGAGCTCTGAGAGTGTATGATAGTTGCAATGCCTCCAAATCTTCATCTTCTTGGTAGTCTGTGAGACTAAGAAGCGCCACATAGCTGAAACGAAGCCGCCGCCAGCGACTGGCCCAGGTATTGTCGTGCAAGAAACCGGGCTCACATTTGACTGTGTGTAGATTACTAAAATTCGCTATTGCCTTGTCGAAGCGCTGCACTGGGGAAAGCTCTTCTATTTGCGTGGCATCCATTGCCGGCTTTGGCTGTACCGTTCGAACACAATCCAAGGTGCGGAGATATGGTTGTAACGTAAGCTCTCGAGACTGGTCTTGGTAGCTTTTACGGTCTGCTTCGTATGCGCTGTATAGCTCCTCCTTCTCGGAATGAGGCAGCAGTGACCAGTCATGATATGACATCAAGTCTTCGATTTCTTCACGATGAGCTTCTTCTGCGTCTTCAGCCCAGCAGCGCTCGTCAAAAGAATCAGCACCAGGGTCACCCGGTTGACTGATGCTTCGTTCCCAAGTGAGGAAATCCTGGAGGTTCCGCAGTCCACGGGCTCGTCGCAATTTCAATACTTTGACTTGAGTACAAAGCTTGGCATCTGTAGAAATTTTATGGAGACGACTGATCTCGGGTGTACTGAGCTCGAACGCCAGAGTCTCAAAACAGGCCGGTGTAGCAATATCCCTCATTTGGGTGCTCAGCAAGCGAACTCGCAATCGGGCGTCAAGAGAAAGATAACGGAGGATCATCGTCCATATCTCCATAGGAACACTGGATCCGAAGTCATCATATTGTTTCGGTACGTTGTGTGCCATGACTCTCGTTCGTGGCTTAACGACTGGCTGTACTTTGAATGTAATAGACCGTGGCCTTGTATGTGTCCCGCATCGGAGTTGCCAGCTCACTCTCGCTAAGGCCTCTGTCAAAAGCTACCCGACACGGTCACGTGATAGATCCTGACGTTCAATGACTGGCCTCATCTATTTTCAGCAGAGCTATTGCGCTTGCGATAGCTTATCGGGCCCGTTTTGGTACCCGCTATGGAGCCCCTACTGTACCTCACTTAGTAAGCATATTCAAACCTTTGGCAACATGTTGCAACACCACAAAAATATCGCCATCGGCGCAAGATCAGGGCAGGTGCGGCTCGGCCGCAATCCTTGCTAGTGGTGGCAAATTGTATCAGGCTCAAGGCGGGGCGGCAATGACTGGCTCGGTCTTGCGCGATTTCATCAGCAGGCTCGGCACCCAGCAGACATTTAGGTCGACGAGACAGATTGTTTGTTTCCAAAGGGACGGGCCAAGCTCTTCGCTAGCCCTGCGCCGGGATGCCTTTAGCAATAATTGGAGCTAGTTACCTTGCCTATCTTCTTTTTAGCTAGTAGCAATCCAATGTGGTGTTCTATGTACGCTGCGAATGGAGCGTCTTGAGTCTATGTTGGAAGGAGGGGTGAGAGGATTACATCGTTTTTTTACAGTATCTAATCACGGCTTTACAATAGTGTACTAAACTGTTAAGCTCGCTGCATTGATTGGTTATCGCTGGTGGTATGACAATTCGTAGACGTCTAGCACCACGGTTTGTTTTCGCAAGAACTCGCTTATTGAAGCCCCTGCTGTACCTCACTAAGATACGTCCATAGGGTGCCTTTCCTGATCTTTAGAGAAAGGTTGCATATTTAGTCACACAAGATCGAAGTCTTGGTACGGTTCTTTTTGCACCCGTGCTTTGAAGAATTCCCCAGACATTATTCCATGTACGTAGCATTCCCCCACAACCCGATACGCCGTCCCGAACGGTCGGAGTAGAACGGGAAAATCACATCCCAAAATCACAGCTATCACATCACCGTTCTCTACATCTTCTGGCATAAGACCTATATATCCAGTAGTGGTTGTTATGAGCTTTCTTCCCATGAGGGAAAGAACAGCCAGGCGCAGATGGTATCCGAGAGCCTTGTTCCGTTTTTGGGAATGGGCCGGAAAATAGCTTTCGAAAGGTTGACCGCTCATGGGAAAATCCTTATTTATGTTTTGGAATTGTCTAAATTTCTGGAAATTTTCATCACTTAAGATGTCTGACCATGTTGATTGAGAAATCCGGTTCTCAATATCCCATGGCAACTTCAGTAAAGCTGGATTCTTGCGCACTTTAGGGTGATTAAGAATCAAAGCTTTGCCAATTGCATTGGCGACCTGGCCTTTGTAACGTTCGTGTGTATGTCTTGGGTAGATTGGCTCATTCTCCAAAGTTGGAGAGGCTGCAATACCATCGATTGCATCGACTCGTATCCCCTTCACGCATAGTGTCGGATTGCGTGTCGAATCTTGATCCAAGATAATAAATCTGGCGCGCTCGTTTCCGCAAGCGCTAGATTGATGTAAATATTTGACATGATTACGAGGGAAGGGCAAGTGCTGATCAGGAACCCATGATGACCATCCCGTTGAGAACTTGGCTCCGTAGATAATGTTGTTGAGATTCCCAGTTGATTTGATGATCGATGTGGTTAGAGACGTAAAAACCTCGTATGCTGTAATGTTGTGGCTGTAGTCGGGCTCGATTTGAGAAGCAATCGCCTCAGGTAATATCCCACGAATGCCATATACCTTATCCCTGGGATCAGATGCGATGGAGTCGCGGGATAGACCTAAAACTTTCCCCAGAGTATCGTTTATAGATCGATCTACTTCCAAATCTACAAGACAATACATACGTCTTGAAATTGACCATATATCTTTTTGTCCCTTTAAGGGAAAGCGTGAATCGTCTCTTAGCAGTTTGTTGCAGCAATCGGCGGCCATTTTAATCATTTGTCTGGTAAGTCTTTTGGTCCCACAAAGGAAGAGGGTGTTATTGTGATTTGCCGCAAGCTCTTGTACTATCCATAGACGGGTCCAGTACGGCTTCTTCATGAACCTGTAGAGCGCATCCCAGTCGTTTTCCTCAAAAGATGGCGGTGTTATAATCTTGTTATTCTGGGAAGTGTCTCTATACGTAGTGTTCATGGCTCGAATTGCCTTGTCGTCTTCTTCCATCTCAGGCCCTAACCAGACTACAACAGCTCTAGCGAGCGCGTAAATGTTCATCATTCGTTTGACCTGATGATTCTTTTCGAGAACATCCTCCTGATTTATACAGAGCGCATCAATCCAGTATCCCATCCCGTATGCGGTTTCTGGCAGGCTATGCAGTGTATGTAGAGCCGCTTCTAGGTGACAAGACACCTCCATCCGTACATCGTTGAGCCAAATATATGACTTATCGTGCTGATTGCCCCAAGCATACGAGAGAGCCTAGTAATCTCCCCAATCATAACGTGTTATTGGTGCTTGAGAAGATTGCGCCCTGGCAAAATGTATTTCATTTGACGCCAGACTGCGTGACTCGATCGTTTGGGCGAACGGATTTTGCTGGGTGTTGTTCGTCAGTCGATATTTGCAAGGTTTGTTCGGTTTCAGTGAAATCTTGCTCATGGATAACCGGAGGGGATGCTGCGATGATTCTGAAGACCAAGGGTCGTTGAAATGCAAGACTCGAATCTCCTCTCTCTCATCATTAAGGGTTTCATATGCCATCTGAATAGAATTGAGAAATCCGGGGTGCCATTGAAGAATATGAGAATCAACTGAGCTGTTGGCACATGCTTAGAGTCAGATAGTAATAACCTTGAGCATTCATCTTGAGCAACCCCGAGTCTTGGTTTCACCGGCTCCACTGATTTCACCGGCCAGAAAGCGGGGCCAAAGCTCTTCAATGCATATGAGATATAGGCTTGTGCGGGGTAAGAACGAAAATCTGCAGCAAGGTTCTTAGTGTGCTTGCATAGACATTTAAATAGGGTGCGTGCCCCACTTCACCGGTCAACAGCAACATCTAGTGGGGCTATCTAGAGTCGATCAACTCTTAGCTAAGGTGATAGGCTTCAAAACAAACTAGCGACTAAAGTGGTTGCCTTTCTAGTTTGCCTTATTATAGAGTACTTTTCTATGACTTTTCGAGACAAGTCTGGGCTAAAATTCCTGATATTATTATACCTATTACCATTCTATCCTTCTTAGTCGAATCTACGTTCTTGAATAATATTGGGTGAATTGAAACACACTACAGTCGTTGCTAGCATATGCTAATGGTCTCTTCGTTCCGACACACCAGGTAGGTAGATAAGTAAGCTCAGCAAGCATAATTCTCTACAGGCACCGAGCGTGCTAATATAATCGCGCAATAATTCAGCAGCCGTGGCCACACAGGACTATGTTCCAACCCCTATTAGAGAGCCTATAGAAGCTCCCACCACACACTGTACTAGTAATCATTGCCCTTACGTGTATGCGTGAGCTATTTTTGCCAGGAGTCTTCCTAGTTACCCTTCTTCACCAAATCGATGAAATATCGCCACCAGGGCTGGTCATGGTGGGTGCGGGTCGGCCAACCTTGTTGTTGGTGGTGGCAACTGCGCAGACGTATTTCAATAATTACACCGTTATATAAGAAACATTGCGTACGTAATGAGTCAACGCGCAGCTTGCCCCGCTGTACTTCAGCCTGGTAGGCAGCATCCTACGCACCTTCGACCTAACTCCTAGCCATGGCTTTCTTCTTACACCACGCTCACCACTAGTAGTCTTACATATAGATCTTGACTATCTCTCTTGAGTGTTTTCACAGCCCTTGTCCTTCATAGTTAGTTCCTGCCAAATACACGATCCAGAATACAGTTCTCCATAATCTCAGCCTTGCTCGTTGGCACACCTTCGCATCTCACCTGAGAGATCTACCGTAGATTTCTATGCTTCGCCATTTTATCCGCTGCTCTGATGATGGCCCAGCATACTGTGGTTCGAGGTCACAAGTAAGGCTATTGATCTGGAGGGCTCTATGCTATTTGCTGACGCTTCTCGCTATTCTAGCAATAACCTCTGGGCTCGAGCAGCTGTAGCTTTGTCTGATAACAACAAGCGAAACATAAACTTTAATCGTGCAGACAAGCTGAATATCCTCGCTAAACTGCATGTCGCAGCCGAGAAAAGTAGGCAGAAATCTGTGGAGTCTAGGTGGAGATACACTCGCAAGAACGGAGACATAGTCATAATGAGAGATGTGTTCGGGAAGATTGTTAGATGGATTGAAATGTTCAAGCAGGTTGGGGATGTTGCGGTTCAGTACGACCCGGCACATGCTGCACTTCCTTGGGCGGGAATTCGCTTTCTTTTGCAAGTGGGTACCATTGCGGAAACAAGGAAGAATCCTGCTCACAGCCTGCAGATGGCCGTCAACGATACTAATAAACATGCATCGATCGTAGAAGGCCTTACTCGAATAGCTGAGCTTATTTGCCGTTCCGCTGTTACCGAAAGTCTATATCTCCATGGTACATCCAAAGCAGCAGCAGAGCTAGAAAGGGCTATGGTGCAGCTGTATGCAAATATTTTAGTGTACTTGTCAAGGGGAAAGCAATACCTTGAGCAAGTAGGCGCAAGTACGTGGAATATTCCTAATGCATCCACAGATGAAAACTAATTCTGAGTAGAGCGTACGATCCAAAGCACATTCCTCGCAGACACGGAACTTACTTCCAAACTAAGTGAGATCCAAATAGCAGAGAGCGATATCAATCGATGCATGGCTCTAGTTGATTGGAATGGCGGGTATCCTAAGTAACGAGGTCTCTCAAAACGCTAATGTCCCTTCCAGATAGCATTGACAACCATTCCAAGCTGGCGGAGCTTTTGGATCGCATTGACCAACCCTTGCGAAGGATGGACAGTGATTTGAGGAACATACGTGATGATCTTGAAGGTGAATATTCTCATGCATTCGCGGACAGATTGCTCACTATTAGAAGTATCTAAGCGTAGAAAAATCCTCAAGTGGCTTTCGTCCGAACCGTATACCCGACATCACAAGCAGACTAAACAGGATGTTCTGACAGGAACTGGCCAATGGCTTTTATCTGATCCTGTCTTTAGAAGATGGAAGGATGACAGCGCATCTTCGATACTATGGCTCCATGGCATTCCTGGATCTGGCAAGAGCAAACTCATGTAATTTGTTGGTATGCCTACACCAAAAAGTGATTGCTAACGTGTTTAGATCGATAGTGATCGAGGACACTTTGACGCGTTGTAAAGCTGGTGAATGTCCGCCGCCAGTCTTCTTCTACTGCTCCCGAAACCCGGCAGAGCCTGCACGTTCTGATCCCGATGCGATACTTGCTAGTCTGGCAAGACAGCTATCGTGCCTGGGGCCTGGAAAGCAGCTAATGAAACCTACCATTGACCTTTTTGAAGAGAAAGAGGAGGAAGGGGTTGACTCTGGAGCGCTCTATATGGATGAAAGCCTTCCCCTTGTTCTACAGCTAGTCGAACAGTATCCTCTCACAACCATAGTGATAGATGCCATGGATGAATGCAGCCCTAAGAAGCGGCACGAAATGCTCAAATCTCTCAAAAAAATCCTCCAGAGTTCGACTAGCCTGGTTAAAATATTCATATCAAGCCGGGACGACCAGGATATCGTGTGGCGTTTGCAGCATTATCCGAATCTTGAGATTGACTCTCGTAGGAATGGTGACGATATTTCACGGTTCGTAAAAGACCAGGTGGAGCAACTTGTTCAAGATGGAACATTGTTACACTACAGCACCTGTAAACCGGAGATGAGGAAGCTCATTATAGAAAAGGTGATCGAGGGGACTGCTGGAATGTACGTTTACAACAACATGCCACACTGGCTGTAATAACCATTGTATTCAGGTTCCGTTGGGCAAGCATGCAGCTACAGTACCTTTGTTCGTTCAGCGTAGATGATGACATCAAGAGGAGGCTTGGTCGGCTACCTCCAGACCTGCACACTCTCTACGACGAGCTTTACCAATTGCTTGCCGCAGGACCGGGCGCAACTGAGGCAGCAGTTTTCAAGAACGCCTTACAATGGCTTTTGTGCGCTCGAAGGGCATTGAGGACTGAAGAGTTCTTGTGCGCGGTTTCATTAGATGTTCAACAGGGTCAGATTGTGAGTCTGGCATCAAAAGACCACGTGCTAAAGATTTGCAACAACTTCGTCGTCTTTGACTCAGAGCTGGACACGTTTCGCTTTGCACATCTGTCCGTACGCGAGTACTTGGAGCAGAAGCCCGAATACAGCAGACCAACAACGAACGCTCTAGCAGCAGAGGTTTGTCTCTGGACTGTAATTTCTACCAGCCCAAGTAAAGCAACCCAGAAATTGCTTGCGGAAATGGGCTGGCAGGCAGAAACGCTTCGAGCTGAGTTGAAGGACCTATCCAGATATGCTGATATCTATTGGGCTGAACACTGCAGGTTCGCAAAGGAGTTCCGAAGCTCTGGTAGGCTGAAAGCGGCACTGGAAGATATGCTGTTAAGCAACGGTGGCGCGAGTTCCAGCATTGCGCTATGGAACAAGCGGCTGGAACGGCACTTGGAAAACTATGATTATCGATATCTCGGAATGCCATTGGTGGACACAATACCAGCCACAGGCTCACTGAACTGCACTGGATTGCTCGTTTCGTGCGCCTTCGATTTCGTGGAGCACATAGAGGTGGTTCTGCAAAGCCGAATAGAAACAATCCAGTGTGTGAATCAACGAGGCCATGGCCCACTGGATATAACAATAGCTAATGGGAATTGTGCAGCTTTGGCATTCCTGTTGACGCTGGACCAGCAGGAAACAAAAATCACGCAGAAAATGGTTGTCGCAGCTGCAGGGAACTACAGGAATGGCAAGGAAGTTATGGCACTCCTGCTTGAGCAGCGAGGATCCGACATTGAGATCACGAAGGAGGTGGTTGTCGCAGCTGCAGGGAACGAGGACAATGGTAAGGAAGTCATGGCACTCCTGCTCGAGCAGCGAGGATCTGACATTGAGATCACGAAGGAGGTGGTTGTCGCAGCTGCAGGGAACTACAGGAATGGCAAAGAAGTCATGGCACTTCTGCTTGAGCAGCGAGGATCTGACATTGAGATCACGAAGGAGGTGGTTGTCGCAGCTGCAGGGAACTACAGGAATGGCAAAGAAGTTATGGCACTCCTGCTTGAGCAGCGAGGATCTGACATTGAGATCACGAAGGAGGTGGTTGTCGCAGCTGCAGGGAACGAGAACAATGGCGAGGAAGTCATGGCACTCCTGCTTGAGCAGCGAGGATCTGACATTGAGATCACGAAGGAGGTGGTTGTATTAATCTGTTGCAACTTTGATAAGGAAATCGTAGCTCTCCTGCTTAAGCAGCGAGGATCCAACATTGAGATCACGAAGGAGGTGGTTGTCGCAGCTGCAGGGAACTACAGGAATGGCAAAGAAGTTATGGCACTCCTGCTTGAGCAGCGAGGATCTGACATCGAGATTACGAAGGAAGTGGTTGCTGCAGCTGCCAACAGTGGTTAAGAGGATGTTTTTCGCCTTCTCGAGAAGGCAAAGCGCATTGATTTTGACAATGTACAATGGTACAGTATCGCACGACTCTATAATGCCGCCAAGAATGGAGAGGTTACGACCCTTCGCCGTCTGGTTGAAGAAAATGTCCCTTTTGATAACCGAAACATCTACGGAGAAACTCCTCTATGGCAAGCAGCATTATCTGGGCAAAAGGAGGTAGTGCGAATTCTTCTAGCGACGAATGCCGTAGATGTTAATGTACGGAGCAATTTTGTGCACACTCCTATCTTTTGGGCCTTAGCAGATGGAGAGGTTGAAATCGTCCAAATGCTGCTAGGCCATGGTGCCGAATATCGTTATACAGATGAGGATGGGAGAAGTCCACTTTCCGTTGCTCGATTATATGGTTAATCTAAAGTGGTGGAGATACTTGTTAAGGACAGTGCGAACGTTTCTGTCCGTATGAACATTAACAAATAGAGCTGGACGGGACTGTATCCTTCACTCAACATCTATGAAAGCAATTGTTTTTAACAGTTCCAAAAATCCTATTAATAAACCTACCAACGCTTAAATATTTTTCTTCCCTTTTCCATCTTTTTGGAAGCATTATATTAGTAAGCATATTGAAAGGAGCTTTTGAAACGGTATGGGAAGTGGCGAAGTAGCAAGATATCGCTACCACTAACAAGCCGTTGGACGACCCGCTCTTGTCCTGACCTTGTCCTGGAGGCGATGAGGATGCTTTTAGGATAACTCAGATGGCATTTTATAGTTCATTTTCGCATGTGTAATAGTTCTCTGATTTAGCTCCCGCAGTGGAACCCGCTCCTAATTGCTGCTGTTACAGAGCGCTAACCTATTACAGTAATGTTAGACTTATAGCCCTTCTAAACTCATCTAGGACCTACTGTCATTTTTGAATAACATAGCTCTAACCCATAGCATTTAACTCCTTTTAGACTAGTGAGACAGGGAACAGGAAATCTCTTTTACCCCGTCCTACTAACCCATCTTTAGTTGAACTAGCTTTTATCTAGAAAGTTTAAGTTTTTTTTAAGCTGCTACCTTTTACTAGCAGCAGTCTTTGTTCGCCCTACCGCTAGCACAGTTAAGCCTAACAATATAAGCTTATTATCACTAAGGGAAATTATTTAACTAAAGCAGACAACGCTATAATATATATCTTTACTTTTATAGTCCTCTGCAGAAGCACAGGTTTTAGAAAGAAAAAGAAAAGAAAAGAAAAAGGGATATTTTGCGCTGCTTCTTAAGATAAATTTATACTTAGTTGTTGCTAGCTTTAGTTGCCTATTTTATTTAACGCGTTGCTCTAACTAATAACTTAGCTTTTGCTTATTAAACTAAACTGTAGTAAGATTAAAAGTTAAAGTGCAGATTGCTCTTATAGTTCTAGAGAAATTAGAGGTAGGGAGCCGCATTACAATGTTAGCAGAGCTTTTTCTTTTGCGGTTAATATTATGCTATAAAAAAGTAGAGAGTAACTCTATCTAGAATTTTACATATCTAACCTCAACCTAGTTATAGTAAAGAATCCGCCTAACTACAGAGTTGTTTACTTAGCACTTAAAGAGGTATTTTAGAGAAACAATGCTTAACTCTGTTAGAAAAGAAAAGTGCGCAAATTAATTAAAAAATACAAGAATTAAGTTAACGTGCAACGCTTTATCTAGGAGCATACTATTAATAGCCTATATTATGTAGCTAAGGACCTTCTAAATAGCTAAATATTTAAATCAACATTAAAAGCTAAGATTTGCTTCTCTAAGGTCTTTAAAGTTTCTCTTAATTAGACTGCTAAAAGAGCTATATCTAAATCTAAAGCAGCAAGAAATAAGGATGCGGCTATGCAACTAGTAATAAAAGAGAGTAAAGAAGATTTAAGAAGGCATAAAAGCAAACCTGCTAAGATTAGTAAGTGTTTTTTAATAAAGTTAAGTACTAGCAGCTGCTAATTCTTTAAAACAGGTTTTTGCTGTAGTAATTACTAAATCTCTGCAACTAGCATCTTTTATAACGTTACTTTACCCTGTGTACTTTTTATTTAATGTTTAACATTAGCTACTTGTTAGAGTTTAACATAAACTTAAACAAGCTTATTATGCTTTTGCTTAGAAGAAGCTTAGTAGAGTCTTACAAAGAGAGGAATAGGATTGTATAAAAGCAGTTAAACTTAATTAGTAGCACAGAATCTTTCTTACATATTAAGATTAATTCTATCTACATAATGTAAGGGACATCTTAAAGCTATTGCCTAACCTTCTAGATTTAATTGCTTAACTTTAACATGCTGCTGTTTACTAACTTTAGATAATAGCAAACAGAGTCCTGCAGTTTATTATTAACGCTAAGTTACTTATTACCCTATTCTAGAACTATAAATTTATCTACACAATTTTAACAATCTGGCGACAAACTTAAAGCACAATTAAAGAGTTAGAAAAAAACAAGGATATGCTAGAGCTAAAATAAGCTAAAATTAAGAAACAGTTTACAGCAAAGAGAGCTAAATTAAATTTACAGGAATGCAAGGAGATTAAGAAAGTAGTAAAGAAAAACAAAGAGTATATTTTCTTTGCAGGTATAAATCTAGAACAATTAATAGTTGCACCTGCTACTATTATTTATACGTAACTCTCTACTAAGGCGGGGTCTTTTTTTAAAATAGACTTTAACTAACGTAGCACAGATAGAACTGCAGTTTACTGTATGCAATGTTAGAAAGTATTATAAAATATACTTAATTTATAGCACAGCTTTGCTATGTTATTTGCTTTAATATTAGAGTCTAAATTCTTTAAATGTTGCTGCTATTTTTATCTAGAAAATGCACTTCTTTCTATAACACTTTTTCTACTACTTTAAGTAATATCTCCTTTAATATCTCTTTAGAGAATCTAAATAGTCTCTATACACTCTTATATTAGATATAACACTAGGCCTTGCGCGTAGAAATTTTACCCCTAAAAAAAAACTTTTAAAATATTGCTATCTACGCAGTTACAGCTTGCTACATTTAAGATATTTATAGTATATGTTGTTAAGTTATAGCAGTTCTAAAGACTAAGCTTAGTAAAGAGTAATGTTTTAGTAATTTGTCTTGCTAATCTGCTAAAGAAACTCTAACTTAGCACTAACTGCTAGGTCTAGTTTTTATTATTCTTATCTTTTTCTTCTACTTCTAAAACGCCTCTACGCTACGCTAGAATCTACCCTAAATTAGTAGGTCTTGCAATCTTTATAGATTTTAGTTGCTTGTTTTATAACTATTATTTTTATTGTCTTTCTAAGCGCTTTATCTATTGCGCTTTGTTGTTATAATAGATGCGTTGCAACTAGCAATAATTAACGCAAAGCCTATTAGGCGCGAATTAAATGCAGTTTACAATTCTGCTTATTTACTTTTTATAAAACTTATTACTCTTTATTCTAACACGTTATTAAATTAAACACGCAGCAATAGTAAGAGTGCTATACTAGTTTTAGTACTTACTAACACACATAGTCCTTTACAATTACGCCTTTAATCTTATTCTAGCATTATAGGCCCTCCCTGCGTCTTATAGTCTGTTATTTAGAAATAGTAAGAAGAACCTTTTTAGCAATCTCTCCTAACTTAACTAAGCTATTAATGCTAGAGATTTTAATATACAACGCGTAATACCTCTTCTTTACGCGGTCCTTAATACAAAATCTAATACTATTATCTAGAAGAAGGTGTCTAAAGTAATTATAGAATTAACATTTTTAGCTACTAATAAACTTTCTACGCCTTTACTATTAGACCCTTTACATACTGCATCTTTTTAACAGACGCTTTAAATGTTTAACATAAGTAGCTTTGCAGACACATTTAACTTTAGAAAAAATATAAATTCTATACTTAAAGATAAAGTAAAGAATTATCTTATAATTAACTACTTAGACATCTTTAATGCATTTTTTAAGCAGATCTTGCAGCTTTGTAAAATAATAGTAAAAGTATTATAAAGTTGCAAAAAAGGGGAGCTACCGCTTTATTAAGAGGGCGTTAGGTAGGTAAAATAGCTAGAAAAAAGTAAAAAGGCAGCAGTACTACAGTTCCTGCGCTAGCATGTTAATTACTTTTTAAAATTTATAGATAATTGTAGTTTCTGTTTTATAAAGCGCTATTGCTGCCTTGCTACTCTAAACAAGCTAATTTCTAAAGCAATTAGCAAGTAAAAGCTAGACATTAGCTTAGTATGTAATTCTAGCAGCAGTTTAGAACAGAGCAATAGGCAGAGTTATAACTAGTTCTATATCTTTATTTTTAGTAAGCTAAAAAGTAATTTACAAGAGAACAAGCATAGCAGTATGTAGCTAAATCTTATAAAATATACTTAAGAGGTGCTTAGCGCTAAGGCCGCTTGCTAATTTGCTTTTAGATTTTCTCTTTGTAGTTCTATAATGTAGCTATAGGAGTTTAATTGCCTTAAGGTAGTTAGATCTATATTATTTAACATTAATAAGGATAGCAAGATGTTTATTTCTATAATTTTAAAGTTTCTGTAGATGTCTAAAGAAGAGCTAGAAATTAATCTTATAATTGTAGAAGAAAATTAAAGGTACACTAGCATTATGCGAGGTAACTAAATAAAATGTTTTTACTTAAAAAGCATAATTAAGCAGCAACGCTTAGTTGCTAGTTAAGTAACAATCTACTAGAGCAGTTTTACTAAAAATATGCCTAATAGACAACTTATAATTAAAGACTTGTAGGAATATAAGGAATAGCTAGAAGAAAGCTATCTTCTTAAAGAAGCAATAAAAGCTAAAGTTAAAAACGTTGCGCGTTACTACTACTACAAAACTATGCGTATTAAAAAATAAATAAATAATATATGCAATAATATGCGCAAGGGACTAAGTAGTATTATTAGTTATAATCTACTACAATATAACATCGCCGCATAAAAGTTAGTGTTAAAGGGGATTAATATTGCTAAGGCGCTACTAGTTAGTGTAGGCAGCTTAGCAAGAGCGCACAAAAGGCGCACCTAGGGCACTAAATAGAGACAAGTGTTATTCTAAATTATTAGAAGGGGATACCTTTTAAGAAGAGCTATCTTTTACTATTACTAGTAGTGTAAAGCAAGTACTATTGCCTATAACTACGCCTTACATAATAACACTTCTTAGCAAATAGCTAGAAATAGCTCCTT